TCCATGAGAACGAGGGGGAAAAACTATGTCAGACTTGGATATTTCTCCAGTGGCCACACTGGCAAGCAGATTCATACCTAGATCATCACCAACGGACAGGGAAACAGCAGTTTCGGAATACTTTATACAACTTTCAATCAAGGCATTTATGGAACAAAACGAAGCCTCAAATGACTTCCCAGGTTTTGATTCATTCAAAACGGAACCCAATCCATCAACTGATTTTCCAATTCCATCCGTACTCATTCTGTGAGCTTGGCCAAGATTTTTGGGTGATCTGCCACTAGCATCAGATCCAACCGTGGTTTTCATCTCATGATTTGGCCACGATTCTGAATCAAAACCTGCCGCAATACTAGCCTGAAAAACATCAGTCTTCACTTTTATCTCATGATCAACGTGTCCACGTTTCTCAGAAGTCCCCGTAGACGATACTCTACTGCCAGTGACTGAAGGCTCCTCAGGAGAACTTCCACTAACACTCTGTGCAGGACTCAGCACAGGAATTGGGAGCTTATCAATCCCTTTGTGACTTACTTGTTCTATAATAGGCAGACCAATGGCTCTTTCAACGGTCACACCATCATGAGATTCTTTATTAGGTGTGGGACTCAGATTTAGAGAGCCAGATTTTACCAGAGGTTTTCCAGAAGCACAACTTCCAACAAAGCCACTTGATGATTTTGGGTGACGGGGTGAACTGCCATTGGTCTTGGTAGTAGCCACTAAACAAGTGGCAGAGCTTCTGGCATCTTCGTTGAATGAAGAGCCTGTAGCTTTTGCATGATTGTTAGGACAAGATTGGCTCTTGCTCAGAGATTGATTGGAACTATTTGTCTCCTCCTTCATTAATGTAAGTGGAATTTCAGCAGTGCAAGTACTGCCTCCTGTCTCAGTCTGTGAATCTGTTGTACTAACAGACACTGCTGCAGGTAAGGTTGATGAAAATTTCAGGGACCCCGAAGGTAATGGATTTGATTTTACGCCAGCATCCCCATCACCAATCTTAACAGGCAATGATTTAAATGAAGGTTGAGGGACAGCATTTTCTATAGCTACCTCACTGGAAGTGGGGCGCCTGCTTCCCCCATACGAGACTCCTGAGAAACCTTGTTTGCCAGACCACGAAACAGCTTGGCTTGATCCAGCGGATTTTGTATCATCAAGTTTTGGCATCCCGAGCTTTGTCATTTCTGCATCAACACGTTTTTTCCATGCATCAACTAGATTTCTTGCCATCTTCTGAATTTCTGAATTCTTGTGACTACGCAAATGATTCACAGATTTCCCAATGTTACAAGTTTGAAGAGCATTGAGGTCGACAGGCAATTTATCAAGTGCATGGAGTATAGCCAAAAGAAGCTCATCAACTGTTTTACTACCTTCCTTTGAACTACTACCATCACCATTCTTCCCTTTATGTGCTTCTTGGAGCCAATCATCTAGGAGGGGAATGCCCCTTAGATGGACAAATCCACTGAGGCAATCATCTGTATCTGTAGCTGCAATCACATCTGCCAGCAACATCCTGTCTGTTAGACCAATTTCCCTAGCACCTTTGTCAAGCTGCATAAGTTGCACCAGTTTCTCAACTGCATCGTTGTTAATGAGTCTACCTTTATCAGCTAACTTTGTGATCTCATCTTTCAATTCGTTATCAGCATTAAAATTACCAGGATCTCTAATGCCAGCTTTTGAGGAGACATCATGCTCAATGGACTCTCGATATTGATCACAGCCTTTCTCACCTCTCTTCTTTCCTTTGGTTTGTGAAGGAAAAGAGGTGCTATTATTCTGTCCACTATCAGAACCAGATTTTAATGGCTGTGTTGAAGAACCATTCAGCGGTTCTGAAGAACGCCCTCCTGACTGCAATACTGCACGCATTTCTATCTGTGTTTATTCTAATAGCTGATTACTTCCTCCTGATGTTATTGATAAAATAAAAACCAGCAACGATATCAACTAACGGAACAGCAAAATGATTGGAGACTAAAAAAGTTGTAAACAAGAAAAGTAGAAACAACAAGATGCGCAGCTCACGTTGATGTGATCCTGATCAGCTAGCCACCATGACATTTGTTCGTAGTATCATGTACTCCCTTTCAAATAACTGAGGTAGCCCCTGAAGACAGTTCAATACCTTATGAATAAAAGCAACTTTACATGGATAGAGTGCTCCAGAAGATATTTAATCTGTATTGAGTAGAGGAACTCATTTGGCCCAGCTTCAAGAAACGTCACTTTCCAAACCTATAAACCAAATATGAGCTTGGTGAAATGCTGCAAGAAGACTGGAACGGAGAATCTAGGTTGGATAGTAGATAGACGACAAATCCCAGCAGAGAGGGAATAATCTTGTTCAGGATTCCAAAACGTAAATAAAATTTGCAGTTCATATGTGGTTCCAATTTTGAAAAACGTTTTGAAATACCTAGCCACCACCAAAAAGCAAGAGTCCAACACACACACACCAAACCAGATACCCTCTGACCCCCATGTATGAAAGCATCAATAGGCCCCAAAAGACCATATATCCAAAGAAGCTGAGCTAAGGAGCGCTCAATCCGTAATTACCCAGCTCAAGACACTCCCTGCGCACAAACAAAAGCATCCAAATCCCACCTAAAAGAGCAGAAGTTCAATTGTGAATATTTCAATATCTCTTGCCTGGGACACCAACTCCACAATATGCTTCAAGGCAAGCTTCATGTCTCTTCATTTTCTGACTGTCCTATATCATATCCTCGTGACCATATGATCCATATAATCAACACCATTGATTATAGCCTCACTTTCCAATAAGTAATTAGCGTTTCTGGAGTCAATTGACGTCACTCATAACCCTTGACTCATTTTGCAATAAGTAATCGACATTTCTGAAGATGCTATAATTAGTACTACTATCTATCCAATTCACAATTAAGTGTCCAACAATCTACGCCCCAAGATCACAAAAATAAATTGAAGTCAATTATACCCGGGAAGTGCATGGCCAACCAATCACACGTAAATAATCTCAGTATGGAAACGTTCCACTCCAGGCATAAATATCATGGGATGTTTTCAAATGTTTTTGGTAAATATGCAACCACATCAGCCATCAGTAATGGAAAAAAGAACACATACTTGAATGAGGTATAACATGAGGCTCCCATTTTTTATTGGACGTCCTCGTCATGCACTAAATTGTCATGTCCCAAAAATTTCAAACTACCTTAGCTATTCTGACTCTGTATCAAAGTGTGTACTCAGGAAGTTTGGACTGCATGAGTCCACCGCAGCAATGCACGTGTAGTGCCTCCTTACTCCCTTCCACCAAGAATCTCTCGATAACACTGGCTCCTCTCTTCCATCTCAACTTGCATACTCAGTTCAACAATCTGTTTCCTCTAAGAACTGATAAAATATGCAAGATGTTAGAAAAGTCTAAGGGACCAAATATTCCACTTCTATTGCCTACATTAGTAGTTTTCTTTTAGCAACTTCAACTATGAGAACCCGTTCTCTGAACTGTAGTTGTGCGGTCTGTTTGCCCACAGCATCTTGAACAAATTCTACCCCTAATAAAACCAACTTCTATCCTTCAGCACCGAGAATTTTCCTCGTTTTACCATCACCTGATTAATGAATACACACCGTACCAGGTGCAGTCAGTCCATAATTGTCAGATGTAGAAGATTGGTAAGAGTTGATAGAAAGGTATCTCTTTATAAATCTATCTAATAACAGAATCCCCTAAATAAATGACAGATAGCAACGAAATAAAGCAGAAAAAATATTTAACAGATAGAAGGCCTGTAAGATGTTAAAAACATAGGTTGAGGGCAACAGCTTGCAACTTAACCCCCCCAAATAAAAGCATAACGTGCCGAGAACTGCAATAATCTGTGACAATCAACCTTGAAATATCGAACAATACAAAGCATGATCTGCATAACCCATAAAGCAGGTTGGAAAAACACAATCTCGAAAGCAATATGTCAACGCCACCAGACTCGTCCAGACCTTAGTCGGCAGAATCTGCTTCATCGAGTGGCTATCTATGCCCAAAAGTGTTGGACTGACGATAAGGCAAAGGTGAAATGCTTATCATGGAAGGCACCTTGAGAAAGGAATCACAATGGTTACAACAACTGCTGCATCTACTGGTGTTAGAGACGGGTGGTGAAAAGGAGTCGTTGCAGCTGTATCAGGAGCAGGGACCGGGCACACAACCGAGACCTTTCCTGTCCTTACGTTCCCGCCCGCGCACACCCCAGCATCTTTCCAGTTTTTTGGGGTCTGCGCGAAACATCGGTCTGGCTACGGCCTCAAAACACACCAAAAACCCTAAAGAAGGCCCACCCTCTCCCCAGATCCCCGCGAACCCTAGACCCCCAGTGATCCGAACTGCGAGCCGAGGAGGGGCCCTTAACTCCAGGGCGCTTTCAAGAGCACCACCACCCCCGTGACTCCCCCCTTGCTGCCTTCAACAGCCCAGGCAGCGGATCGAGGTCGCCGAGCAGCGGATTCCTCGAACCGAGCTCCAATTCCGAGGCACACGGTGTTCGTGACGCCCCAACTCCAGGACCTGAGCACAGCCCCCGGAAGAATCGGAATTAAGGAGAAGTACTTCAAGGACTGAGACACAGAGAAAGACAGAGAGAGGTAGAGATAGAGAGAGAGACGGCAAAAGAGAAAGGGACAGGCGGAGGTACCGCGGGTGGACAGTGAGAGCGAATGAGAGAGAAACTGAACGCGAGAGAGAGAGAGAGAGACGGCAAAAGAGACGGACAGAGCCGGAGGTACTGCCCCGGGACAGTGAGAGGGAATGAAAGAGAAACTGAAAGAGAGAGAGAGAAATGGGCAGTGGGTCATGTCAGCCAAGGTGGCGTCCAGGAAAGTGGCATCGCCACGTAGGCTTGATTGGTCTACGAAAAGAGGAGACTAAACTGCGTCGGATGTGGCCGCCGCGTCGCTTTCCGGTCCCGCACCTAGCGTGCGTCTGGCAGCTTTCCGCTGCTAAAGACGACTGAGCTAACGTGCACCGCTGGCACACCTGGGTGAGCGGCGCAAATGAGAGACTCCGAACCGAGTACTATCCGAAAACCTTACTGGAATATTTCTTATATATTTTTGTATAAATAATAATTTATTTATTTATTTATTTCTTGCCAATTTGGTGGAGCTTATCAAGCCTTGGGCCTAGATAGAGTAGACCCATGATAGAAAAAGTTGGAGAAAATGGATCCTTTATGAAATACAAGTTCAAAGCAACTAAAATAAATGAGAAAATTTTGATGAATATAGGTTCTTATATAGGTCCTAGTGAAGTCTAGACCCATATAGCATAGAACCCGTAATAGGAAAAATTGGGAAAAAACATGTTTTTTGGCATAATCCTTAAAAAGCTAGGCTTGGACAGATGAACATCCAATGGTGGTAAATCCAAAGAAAATAGGTCATGAGAGGGAATCACTATGAACCATTAGAGTAGATCCAATAGAGCTAGATTGAGTACTTCAAGGAAGAGGGATCATCAATGCTGATTTTAAGAAGACACGATCTATTACACTGGATGTATGAAAAATGGATTTTGTGTGGCTACTGGGAATGTAGTTGCTTGGGTTGGGGGTTGACTTTGAGCTTTTTGAGAAAATAAACCAATTAGAGGTAGATTTCTAGGTGTAATATTCTATCATTCTATTAGGCCATTGGGGTTGACTAACACTCATATGAAGCCCAATAATTGATTGACTAATGTTTGGGTCATATATAAGGGCCAGATTAAGGAAGAGCAGGGGTGTATCGTAGAACTCGAGGTTGGGGCACCTCAAAGTTCTATGTTAGAGTTAATCTCCTATCTCCCTTCTTCCCCTCTCACTTCTTGATAGTATTTTCTCTCTTACTTTTTCCACCTAGAATCTTTCTTTCACTCCTATCAATCTATCATTTTTTGCGATAACTATGTTGGGTCTCTTACACAATCATGTTAAGTTAGGACTAGCAAATTTCAAGTCCATGTGCATTCACCTATTATTAGTAAGCCATGTTAGCAATTATATATTCTAACTATGGTAATTTTATTAGTTATTTAATTGCCTACAGTATCAATAAGTTACTAACATACTGATATGCATATAGAAAGATGCTCTGAAAGTCTACCATTATCCAAAAACAAGTTTCATTGGGTAAATGCGTTTGAGGAAAGAATTTATCCACAATTTTCAATGTAATCTCCTTCAGAACTCATACCTTATCATCTTCAACTACCCATCTCAAAGAGATCTTGAAACTGATGAGGGTCAACTTGGAATACCATTTACATTTTAGAATATTTGTGTGCATTGGCATCCACAATGAACTTGCACTTTGCACTAGCCATGAGGCTTATTGTCGCACATGATTAGATAACATTGAATCTAAATTAGGTAGAAGGAGTTTCTTTTTCTCCTTTTCTCTTCTTAGTAATATTTTTGAGAATTCTATGCAAAAATATTTTTTTCTCCTAAATATTGTGAGGCACTATTTTGTGGTCATGATCACAATTTTTATATTCCAAACAACTTTCTTTTTTAAATAGAAATAATTTGATGATATCCTCTAAGTTACATCCATAGAGGGATATCCTATTTTGAGCATGGATAGGTGGCACTAAGGGGTAGCTAAATCTTTTCTTCACTGGGTTGCTGACCCATTAGGGGGTTTTTATTTTGCCTTTTTCATGTATATTTATTTATTTATGTAGTGATGAGATGATTGTGATTTGGATAATTTTTAATTATAATGAAATAATATTGTTCCTCCCTTGTTGTTTTCTTCTAAAAGGGTGACGTCTAATCTGACAATCACCTTGAACAAAAAAATAAAGGGACAAAAATATTTGGTTAATGAGAAGGGTGATCGTCTTTTCAACTATGGGTTTCCTACCAACACCAATATCATTTGATGCATGCAGAAGAGAAGGAAAATGTAGATAATTGCGTAAGAACGTCGCTGAGAGAGGTAGAGGAGGGAGGGAGGGAGGGAGAGAGAGAGAGAGAGAGTTAGGGTTTACGCGGAAGAATCGATTCGTGCGTATACCGGGCTTTCTAAATGGGCTGGCCCGGCGAGACACAATCGGGATAAGGACGTCGTTTGCATGCGCTACCTACAAATCGATTCTCTTATGCCGGGCTTTTCCCGATCGAAACCGGGTTTCGGCCTTGCCAGGAATCGATCGATTTATGGACAGCTCATTCAAACGCTGTCTTGGTCCGGATTTTGTGTCTCGCCGGGTCAGGCCCATTTGGAACGGCCAGGGAATCGGTTCGTGGAAGCCCTGGCAAACGCAGGGATAGCCCGGATTTCGTGGTGGGGGGAGGGGGATCTGGTTTTGGGCCTTCGTCCCCACATTCGACCTGAGCCCGCTCGTTCTCGCCGGAGTTGGGAGCGATCTGGCGGCGCTGCTGGTTGCGCGGCGGCCGCAGCGGCGGCGGAGGTAGCGGAGCGGCGGCGGGCTGCAGAAAGGATGGACGAGGGAGGCAACAGCAGTGGGGATGACTTGGCTGTGGGTTGCATCCTCGCCATTAAGACGACGCTGGGGGAGGAGTTTGAGGGGCAGGTGGTCACCTTCGATCGCCCCTCCAACATCCTCGTCATCCAGGAGGGTGCCTCCAAGGCCGGCCCTACCCACAACGTCCGCCTCCTCAAGGCCAACTACATCAAGGAGTTTTCCCTCATCGGCCGGGCCGAGGATCCTCTCGATCTCACCAAGTGCTACCTGGATCTCGCCGCCGTCCAAGCTCGGGAGGATGCGACCATACGGTGCGCGCGTTTCCCCCTTGAAGAGTTCGTTATCTTTCTTCCTTCCTTTATTACCCTACATGAAGGTGTGATTATCACCTTTGCCGAGCAAGCCGTGCGTTGTTATCTTATTTAATTTTCATAATTTATTTTGATACCTTTATTACTATTTGAATTGGTAAGTCCGCTTTTCAGTCAGGCAGAGATTGAGGCCGAGAGAATTGGAGTAGGGGTCACTGCGGAGGCTCAGAATATCTTCGACGCATTGTGTAAGACGTAAGTAAATGTCTTCTTGACATTTTTTTTACAGTCTCCTTCCACTTCTGCTTCAACTGAAGAAAACCGGTTAGCGACTGCTCTTTGGCAGATGTTTTCCCCTGTCGTGGAATCACGGAGCATTCCTTCAGTTTTATTTCCTTGTCATGGCAATTGCAATATTTCAAGGTTTTTTATTTTTGTGACACGGTATTACCTGTTTATTAGGCTGGCGACTGTTTAGTAGAAAATTACCAGGAAGTCAACATTATTGGAGTGGGCTTTACAGTGTGGTTGACGATCGAATGATGAAAACGAATTCCATGTCCTTCGGAGAGCTGTTATAATCTCAGTTTCGCATATCGGATTAACTGGGTCATTATAAAAGAGCCGGCTTTTCGCTCTATTGGAGTGTAGTTCTTGAGGATTTGCATTCCGGTGAAAAGGCTCAAGCATTAGATTAGTTCATTCAATGTTTTTGAATCCTTCAGTTTTGGGTGGTTAATAAGTATGTCTTTGTTCTCTCAGATGGAAGAAAACAATGAATTTCTCGTCACAGTCGTTTTTGAATATTCTTGGGGCAAGGTCTGTAGATAAATGGGGAAATATTGATCAGTAAAGCAGCCATGTCTGATTAATTATTTATGTTTATGCATGCAGAACTAATATGTCTGACCAGATGACTGATAGGAATTTTCCCTGGTTCGACTTTTACATCTGATTGATAAGTTTGGTGAATACAATGTAGAAATATATCCCATATTCCGTCTTCAGAGATGTTCATTATATTGGCGGATATTAAAAATGGTTTTCTTGTGGAGATCATCTCTGGTGACTTTGAAATGTCTATCTGTAGTCATCTGCAAACTGAAGGAACAAATTCATGCCTCCCCCATTCAACCAGACCTTATCCAACTAGGTATCAACTTGAGCTTTCCTCTGTAATCTGCTCAGAACATCTGCATCTAAAATAAAGAGGAAGAATGAAAGGGGTCACAAATATTTTTTTCTCGAACTGTTGTATGGATTAAGGGAATATAGGAGCTGGATGGCGTTGGGCTCCTAGACTGCTGAAGGATTCTCATTACTACTCAGAGAAATCTTATGAATCAAATTCCCCTTTCTTGACTCTTAGGACACCCGGACTTCATTGCAATAAAGGTGAGGGATAAAAAAATCTAGAATTGGGAGGATCAAAGTTGTAAAAGAAGAAAGGATCCATGTACTTGCGATTCTGACTATCTGGCCAGCAGAGTGGGTTTTGTAATGGAGAAGCTGAGCATGATACACCCAGTCATGGTCGGGTTTGGGGTGTTCGGGGAAGAGACTGGAATTGAAATGTCGGATATGGTGGATCTTGTTGAAACTATACAACTCTCTGACATCCTATGGAAAGCTGGTGTAATTTTAGTAATTTTTTTCCCATAAATTCCTAGGAAATTAAGTGATCATTAATATTACAACACTGATCAAATCCCGTGGCACCCAAACTAAAACGATAGAAGACTTTGGAGCGAATAGTGCCCTTGGAAATAAACTCTCTGATGCAGCTTGGTGGGCGTCATAGCATCTTTTAGAAATTGAAGTATTCAAGAATCTAGTTAAACATTGTGGGTGAGGCAAAGCCTAGAACATTGCATTGTTCAATCAATTGAAGGTCTACCCATAGAGATCAATTGCAATTCGTAAGATGCAAGTAGAAGGAACATTCGGATGAGGAAAGGAAGGATACTGGGCTAAGTAAACTGAATAGCGAACTTATTGGGTGCTAAATGATGTTTTGTGTAAGGAAAGTTAGTGCTTTTTTCGGACGTCACTAAGAAGTAGTGGAATATGGAAGGTGAAGGGCAATGAGTTTCCTCAGAAGTTCTTCCCTGATCTCAGTTAGGATGGGTACATTGAATATGGAGAATGATGGTGACGGCCTAAAAGACGCAGATAAGTTGAAACGGGAAGATCGTACTGAGTTCAATGCTGTTGAGGGCAATGCATTATTGGAAACTAATGCTACTTAGCCTTCTGATGCATCCATTTTTTGTCTAATGATGGGTTTCACCCCAGATTAAAACTCATCACATAGTAAGCAATGGGGAGAACAGACCGAAGGTAAAACAGGTAGTACCCTCAGTTTATTCCTATCAGAGGGGAAGATTGAGAAGGGGAGCAGGCAACACTAGGAAAGTTGGAGGAGGCAGAATAAGTAAATGCAGATCTTTTGCTGATTCCTCATAAGTGAGACACCAGGGCCCAGGAGAATGGATGGAACTTCTCCACGTTGTGAGATCATGGGGAAACTATCTAGTGACTGGAATGCCTACAATCTAGAAATATATCACGGGGTCTACAATTTTTGAAGGAAATGACCAATGTTCTTCCATTGGTGGTGTTGATACCTATGGACATACTGTTCAACACTTCATGCCAGGGGGAAATGTAAAAATAAAAAATGAGTTACGAGGTTAGGACAGCATGGAAGAAACTTTATAAGATACCCGTGATTTGTTGAATGTGAAGTGTTCATAATCAAATGACAGCTTGGAGTCAGTTTCTAGGGCTTGGTTTTGTCTACTCTGAGTGTTTGAGTCTCTTTTTTTGAAACTATATCTAAATGTACTGGCAATTTCGGAAAATTACAATAATTTTATTTTGATCTTAAAAGGATATTTTTTTGGAAGATTATCATTGGTAGATTTTTTTGCCAATACCTTTCAATTAAGAACAACAAAATTGCCTTATCATTCCTAGTTGCCTCTATGATGGTTTAGTTTTGTTCTTTTCATCTCCTACACTATCTCTTACCCCTCATCAGAAGCATATTATTGGTTGTATGTCTCGGTAGTATAGCTATTTCTATCTTATACCAACTCTTTATAAGATGATGCAATTTTGCATTGAAAGGTGACTTAGATTGTTTGTTGGAGTCTTTCAAAGATGTATAAGATAAGGCAGCATTTATAAATCCATTTTTGCTGCATTTTAGGCCATGCAACTAGGTAGCGATCTTCAATTCTTTATTTCCTTCTTCATGAAAAGTGAACCTTCAAAAACCGAGGAGAGCTAAATTTGACGTGGGAATATTGAAAATATCCGCTATCACATTTTGTCATCATTTTTTCAGCAAAAATGTTGCGCGATTTGGAGAATATCCGATAGCTAAAGCGTCTCAACTTAATATCCAGAATTATTTGTTGTCTACTATGAATGATATGATATAATTCATAGTACGATCACATATCTGATTGATCTACCCCTTGGATCAGTTTTGACTCATCCCAACGGAAATGGCACTGTCTTCTTTAATTGGTCTTAGATTTTGGACCTACTGATTCAAGCAAGTATGCATGAATCAAGGGAAACATGTAATTTCCTCTGTAATCATCATTACCCATCTTATGCTGGCCAAGAAATCCGTTCGAACAGATATGATATTGTTACCATCCAGGAAGTGTCCGGTGATAACTAATTAGGCTTGCAAAAACTTCGAACTTATATATAATATTACAGCTGCTTATCGATTATTTTTGGGCTCAGATGAATGAACCATTTTCGTTGATTCATCAATAATCATCTGCTTTTTGTGCTATTTTTTTTTCTCTGCTCATTTCCCATGTAAATATTTTATATCCCATTTTTTTCCTTATCTTATCAGGCTTCCAATTCGCTGGGACAAAACCGACATAATTGTGATGAATGAAGTGCGCGTCAGCAGCCCATATCTCCCAGAAAATGTTGTCGGGGGAACTCCAGCTGCCAATGACAGGGTCAAAAAAGTGGTGAGATTTCATTTCATCGATTTGTAAAAAAATCATGGATTCGAAATCGCATGATAATTTTTTACCATTTTCTGCATTAGCTTGAACTTGAGAGGAGGAGGTTGCGGGCTTGAAGTCCAGGCCAATAGGTAATGCGCTCTTTGGCTAAAAAAGGCAAATCCAGGGTGTGGAAAGCAGGCATGGAGCTTTAGACATTCATCGAGCTACTGTAAATTTTCTTCTTGCAGTTGTTCAAGCTACGAGCGTTGACTTTTGACTATGGTATCTATACAATTGGATTTAGCTAATGACACTATCACTGGAGAAAAATGTATGAATGTCTCTACTTTTTGCCAAAAAAAAACAAAGGTTAGTTAGAAACAAGTTTTGGGTTTTTGGTAGTCATTACTATAATCAGAACTATGATCAAGGTTTTGAGCATGCCCTCTTATAGTATGGTATGTCCACTTGAACAAGCGTCGTTTCAATCTCAGCTGGTATTTCTTGCTTGGTCTTTTCTTTTTATCTGAGAAGGTTGGGTTTGGAAATATTCACCATATTATCTTCATAGTTCATAAGGTTGGGATTCATCTTTATACAACCGGCATCATCATCTACCCAGTTGTTGTTTCTTGGAAGCTCTATCCTGTTTCTTGGACCATTTCCCATTTTAGATCCACATTGAATGTGTTCATATGGTTGCATGGTTGATCTTACTTCACTTATTTAATAAAAATCTTCTGTTGCATGTGCACCATTTATGCTGTTGAATTGTGTGAGCAGGAGCATACTAGAATGATCTGGCATTAGAAATAATAAATAGAAGTCCGATTATTATGTGGATTGAGTCTTCCCCATTAATTTCCTTTATGATCTACTGTATTGTGTGATCTTCCTGGCCCTCCTCTATGGAATTATGTGCCTAATATGGAATGTTCTTAGATTCTAGTTTGGATTCCTCTCCTTTCTTTGTGAAAAGTATTCATGTTGCTGTCGAATATTTGCCTGATGGATGGTCTCTGTTTTTTTCTGTACAATCTTCCATCTGATGCCCTTCAAAGAGAGTAGAATCTTCAGGGAACTATTTAATCTTTTTTAGACGTAGTTACTTGGGTGATTAGGATTTTCTCTGAGTTGGGTTGGGCCTAGCCTTGAGAGAGATATATATATGTATATATATAGAGAGAGAGAGAGAGAGAGAGAGAGGAGGCAGGGAGTAGGAGAATCCGAATGTGCTCGCCCTGCCACGTCGAGCGTCAAGTACCCAGCTTCTCGCTGCCCCACTTGCCCGGCCCACACGAGGTGGAGGGAGAGGGAGCGGGAGGCTCCCCCTTCACTGGCCTCACCTTCAGCAACCTCCTCCGCTTATGCACCTCCTCCTTCGCCTTCCTCCAGCAGCTCCACGCTCATCTTATCACCCGCCGCTGTCCCCCCACCCACTCCCTCCACCACCTCTTCGTCCGTTCCTACGCCGCCCATGGCCGCCTTCTCCATGCCCGCCGTCTCCTCGACCGTTGCGGCGGCGGCGGCGGCGGCGCCCCTCTCGTCACCTGGAACGTCCTCCTCCAGGCCCATTCCAAGTCCCCCTCCTCCGCCGAAGCCGCCATCCTCCTCTTCCGCCGGCTGCTAGCGGGCGAATGCCCCGCCGCCCCCGACAAGTACTCCTTCACCTTCGCCATCGCCGCCTCCTCCCGGGGTCCCTCTCCCGCCGCCGGCGAGGCCCTCCACAGCCTGGCGGTGATCGCCGGCGTCCTGTCCGACGTCTTCGTGGGGAACTCCCTCATCAACATGTACTCTGCATTCGGAAACACAGACGACGCCCAGCGAATGTTCGACGAAATGCCCCTTAGAGACGTGGTCACCTGGACCAGTCTCCTCGCCGGCTACCTGAGGGCCGCCGACGTCTCCAAGGCGGAGGCGGTATTCCAGGAAATGCCGCGCCGGAACGAGGTCTCCTGGGCCGCCATGGTCTCCGGCTACGTCAAGGCGGCGAGGTTCAGCGACGCGCTGCGGTGCTTCCGCGTCTTGCTGCGGGGCGAGGAAGCGGAGCCCAACGAGGCGGTGCTCGTCTCCGTCCTCTCCGCCTGCGCGCAGTCCGGCGCCCTCGAGCAGGGGAAATGGGTCCACGCGTTTATCCGCCGGAGCGGATCTCCGGTGAGCTCCGCCATCGCAACGGCGCTGGTTGAGATGTACAGCCGGTGCGGTGATATCGAGTGCGCCCGTCAGGTATTCGACTCAGTGCCCAGGAGAGGTTTGCCAGTCTGGACTAGCATGGTCTCGGGGCTGGCCCTGCACGGCTGCGGCGGCGCCGCCGTCGAGCTCTTTCGGCGGATGCTCGACGAGGGGGTGAAGCCCGACGACGTCGCCCTTCTGGGAGTCCTCAACGCCTGCAGCCACTCTGGGCTGGTCGAGGAGGGATGCGCTATCTTTGACAATATGGTTTCCTCGTGGGGGATATCACCCAAGGTGGAGCACTATGGCTGCCTGGTTGACCTCCTCGGCCGCGCCGGGCGGCTCCGGCGGGCACTGGAGGTGGCCGCCAGCATGCCCGTCGAGCCCGATGCCGCCATATGGAGGTCCCTCCTCAGCGCCTGCAGGATCCACGGCGATGTGCGCCTAGCGGAGCTCGTCGCCAGCCGGCTTGCTTGCTACCCTCCTGCCGAGCGGGGTGGCAGTCTGGTGCTGCTGTCGAACCTCTACGCCTCTGCGCGGCAGTGGGATGAGGCTGCCAGCGTGAGGAAGAAGATGGCGGCAGTGGAGGGGGAGGGGACAGTGCCGGGCTGCAGCCTCATTGAGATTGACGGTGCAGTCCATGAGTTCTTGGCGACGGACAGACGGCACCCATGCATCATCACCATCCGGGCCAAGCTGGGGGAGGTCCTAGCGAGGGTGAGGGCGGAAGGCGGTTACGCCGTTGACACAAGCGGCGTGACCTTCGACTTGGAGGACGAGGACAAGGAGGAGGCAGTGGCGGGGCACAGTGAGAAGCTGGCAGTGGCGTTCGGGCTGATGAGCCTGCAGCCAGGGGGGCCGATGAGGATCGTGAAGAACCTAAGGATTTGTGAGGACTGTCACTCGGCCATGAAGGCCATCTCCCTGGTCTTCCATCGGGAGATCCTAGTGAGAGACAAGGCTCGCTTCCACGCCTTCTCTAGTGGGTGTTGTTCCTGCGGCGATTATTGGTGACTCTCCGCCGAATTATAAGTTTCAAACAAGAAGAAAAAAAAATCTACTGAATCAAGAAGACGACTTTCCACATTAGCCCTTGCTTTTCCTCACTGAACACCGAGATTCACTTCCCTCCATGGAAATATTTCTGCGGAAGTGAGGAGATCTGCATAAATAAGCTAACCTCGTCTGCTAAATACCGTAATATCCACAGCAAAAATGGAATGAATTTACAACAGTTTTCTGTGAAAAAGAAATGGTTCTCCTTACCGTAGGATGGATGATATTAAGAAGATAACGCGGAATAGTGAGCACCACGTATGATGCAAAGTCAGACATTCGTAACACTAAAGATGCATTGAAAGCATCAGATTCCTGAGCCAGAAGGAAATTTCAACAGCCCTGAATCTTGGACCTTGGTTGGGACATAATTCGCATCAGAGACTCGGCGCAAATTCTTCATGAATATTGGGCACAGTCTGGAACTTGAAGCAAGTGAGACCATTCAAAACCGAGAAAAGGCTCATTTCTCTGGCGACAGAGAGCCATTATATCAAAACCAGGGAAAGCGCTCATGTGAGCTCCCCGTTGCAGGAAATGAATAAGAATGAAACGAGAACCTGAATTGCAGTATCATTCCACAGAGATTCTATCTCGTTTGCAAGCTCCATTGTAAGGCAAGGGTAGTCCAATCTACCCCCAATTTCAGATACAATGAAGAACTTTCATTAACATCACAGCTAATGGGTACCAACTTGGAAGCCATACTATGAGTAGACTGTGAGGCTAATACAAACAATGACATGTTGTCTATACCGCGGGATTACAAACATGTCCCCTTTCATCTAAGTTGAGGCTGAAAAAAATTATGCAAGTAAATACTATCGGTCCCATCAGACCAGCTCAGACTGAGCACCATCAGAACTGACCCACAGATTGGTTTGGATCTAAAATCTCTGGCCTGTTGTGTGACTGGCCCGGAGAATGTTCTTCAGATTCCGTGCAGGGGTCATAAAGCACTCAGGGAAAAAAAGGAAAAGATGGAAACTTTCCAGAATTTAGAGCGGCTGATATGGAACGACCATAGTTTTTCTCTCAGGACAAGTCTGTCATGTGAGCCGTGCATTATTAGTTCATGGGCACGCCATGTTTGGTTAAAGAGCAATAGCAAAATGATAATTTTCAGCCTAAACTGTTTATGATTTTAAATGAAAGGGAATGATGAGCAAATTAACAAGCATAGGGATAATCAAATCTTATTTTCATTTTCATTTTGTGTAAATTCCTTAGCTCCATCATACAGTATCTGCAGAAGACAATCCATTAATGCTCAAGGAAAATATCATTCTATGGATCATTAGATTGCATAACGCCCCAATGGTTCCCAATAGCAGACGCTACGAACACAACGGTACTGATAACGTAAAAACAAAACAAAACACGCCCTTTTCAGAATTGCATGCTTTAACTGTCTGAAATACATTAGCATGAATAACTGGTATGTAGCTCCGAAGTTCAGCCTCATCAAATCCAGTTTGAAAGAGGAGTCTTATCTGTAGATTGATCCCGTGTAATATTAATTTAGCTACACCAACCCGCTTAAATATAGTTGACTTTCCTGATTTTCTCCACCCCCTGAAGTAATGGAAGATCAGAAAATAGAAAAAAATCTCAAACACTGGAAAATTGTCATGCGTGTGTGCGGAATCAATTACCCCATAAAGTCATCATCGATCATTCTTAAGTAAGGTATAAGTCAATTGACGCAGGGCTAGACTATTTAATAGTGGCGCACTTCCAGAAAAAAAAGAACTCAAGAGTTTACACTGGTGATAAAATATAAAGTAAGCTTTATAAGTCCTCCAGGATTAAGAATAATTAATTACTCGTATTAAAAAATTGAAAGTCAAGTAGTAAGCTTAACATCAATGAAGAAAAGAAACTAAAATCGTAGAGAGTAAACATTTATTTAACATTCCAGTAAGCTTTTCATCAAAGGATTATCAAATTCCTATTTGACAAGAATTACCGAGCAATAATACTTTCTGGATGTGTTCTTCTGCCTTGGCCTCTTGCGCAATGCGTTTCTCTACCTCAGCAGCCTGGAAATTAAAACGTACAAATACAGTGAATGACCAGGATAACAAAAACTTTTAAGTCCAGGAATGTCTTTGTTGAACATATTTTGTAATTTTATTTGGCTACAAGCTTCGTAAGGCACTATAGAATCATATGAGTAAAGGATGAACCTTTCACCTTTGCATTTTCTTCAGCATCAGATGTCCTGACAGGCTTTTGTTTGCTACATAGGCAGCCCATGACTTCCAGAGTGTGAATCACTCTAGTCGAAATTCATGGACATTTTTCAGTGCACACCAGACATGGAAAAAAATCATCTTCAATCAAGTAAACTGCTCCAGAAAAATAAAAAGGACTCTGACATTTGATCTAACTAAACCAGAAAAAAAGAAATCTGTGACAAGAAACAAGAGGAACATCATGAATCGTATTAGTATTTAACGTTTTTATCCAAATGCAAATCACTGATAGTAGAGAGAGCGTTTATTGAATTTTGTGACCCGCCCGATAATCTCTCTTTCTCTCTCTGTCTCTGTCTCTCTCTCTCTCTCTCTCTCTTTCTCTCTCTCTCTCTCTTCCTTATGCAGCCTGAGTTCCATGGAGATGAGATCTCGTCAATGAATTGATAAGAATAAAACTTTTGAGAAGATTCTTCACCTTGAATTCACAAAACTTAAAAGTTTTTACCCTTAAATCCACAAAAAGGTGATCTTGAGCTTATAAGATCTATAGGATTCTTTTGAATCTAAAAGAAGAAAAAATTCATGGAAGAGAATAAATCTCTATAGCATTATAATGTTGGGCTTTTAAATATGCCAAAAGTATATTAGACTGCTCCTCAAAAGGTGTCTTAATTTTGAACTGCCTATTTTTAAAACTTTAAATAATTAAAATTAAAATTTACTTAAATTGAGAAAATTAATTTATGATGCTTTTTTAAGACATATTTTATTATGAGTTGCATTAGTTAATGGGCCATTTGGAGGTAGTAATTCAGCTTTCATGCTTCTTGAACTTCTAGTCTACTGTACATTGGACATGGGTGAGCTACATCAGTCTCTCATACTTTAAAAGAATTTGTGCTCTAGTCTTATGTGGCTCTATATAATAATTATAAATATTCAAAGTATTGAAAGTAGAAGATATATTTATTTTATTTAAAAATTTAATAGCATAAATATTTTTATTAGTTTTATGTAGTATTTTGAATGATCCTTATTTATTCGAACTTAGTTTATTATAATTACCATATGAGAGACTTTTTTCTCAAATATACCTGAATCAACTCACCAACTTGAAAATCTATTTCATTCTCTTGTTATCAGTTTTCTCCTTATAGTTGTCATAATTAGTCAAAATCTTATAAATGATTATTGAGACTTCCATGTACTGCCTAAATATGGACTCTAATTTTATTCGTTGTAATGCTTGTTCAAATTTTTTTCATAAATCTGTCAAATCTATAAAAATTATAGAGAAAAATAATAAATAAGTAAAGCTAAAGATTGATTATCAAAATCATTAATTATAGAATTGTTAAAAAGTCAGCTTGAGTCAAGGCATAATACGACTATCTTTTTTTTCACCTAAAATATAACAATCAAGTAATCAAGTGTCATGTTGACTACTTTTGTTTGAAAAAAATTTAGATGGTGATTTAAAATACTAAAATTTAAATAATAATTAAATCTAATTTGAAGAGTACATTAAAAATGTGAAAATAACTTTGAATCTCAATCTGATGTGATCAACTCTTGGATACCATGCAAACAAAATATCTCTTTTAACAATAATTTGACAATTTTATTACATCATGCGTCCATCTACATGCAATGAAATGTACATCTTTGGAAAATGATCAGCAAGTACAAAAATAGAATCTACTCCTCTCTAAGTTCATGGTAATCTTAAAATGAAATCTAAATAAAATTTATCCCACTGTAATTTTAGAATTGGTAGTTAAGTATAAAGTTTAATATTTTTGTATTGTCTTTTATTCACATAGCACATTATATATAATTTTAATTATGATAAAAATAATATTTCTTATTGATTGTAGAGTTTTATCACATCTATATGTAAGTCACATATCAATAATATTTCTCAATCGTACTATATGTAAGTCACATATCAATAATATTTCTCAATCGTACTATATGTAAGTCACATATCAATTTCTCACATAATGAGCTTCATAGAATGGATTATTGTACAAAAAAAAAAATTTATTGAATATGAAATCCTTTAATTGATTGACCTTACAAACATCCTAAATGTTAGCAAAATATTTATTGTCTTCATATAACTATTTTAAATATTAAAAGATAATTAACAAGAAATTGAATTTTATTGTTGAATCCATTTGTAACTCAATTGAATTTTCCTAACTTGTGTTAGTTGAGAAAATTAAATCTTTGAATGAATGTGTAACAACATTGTTCTCTAGATGAGAAGATAAAATAAACGCAATGAACTTTCCCCCCTTAGTAGATGGAGTTTGTCACAGGTAAGAAGAGGAAAAGAAAAAGAGATAGAAAAATAATAACCCCTATCTACCTTTTCAAAATGATTGATGTCTTTCCTTTTGACCCTCCATCTTACATAGTTAGTCACCCTTCCCTCTTCTAGGACTAGTCCTACTAGGACAGCTCTTTTGGCCCCCAACATTTATGGGTTGGGGTTGGAGGCATGACACTTCCTCCTATTACCTCAAACACCTTGTCTCCAAGGTGTATGTCAGGAAAAAGGTCATAGATGTCTTGGGCGAGCTTCCATGTTGCCTCAAAGAATGGTAGGTCCTTCTAGCATACAAGCATAAGCTTGTTGTAGTAAGTGAAGGTCATAGAGCATTATTGATCAAGTAGTGTTTCTGCTTTTGGACTACCAACACGATGACCATCAATTCCCACTAATATATAGGCATCACACGATTCTTTATTGATAACATATGACTAAAATAAACTAAGGATTAAATTTATTGTATCGAAACTATACTAATGTAATGTTTAGAGGTGTTTAGAGGATAAGTATGGAGAACATCACTTCCTTGAGTTTAAAGGTCTCTTTCTCGACAGTTGTCTAATAGAATATATCTTTTTTAAGTAGTTGATTCAATAGCCATGAGATGCTAACATAGTTGACAATAAACCTAATATAATCCCTTGTAAGATTGAGGAACTCGTACATTGATCTTACTATTGAGGGTGTAGACTAATCCTTCATCACTGCTATCTTACTTGCATTAGTTTTGACTCCTTGTGATGAGACCCAATGGCCATAGAACTCATTCCTTTGGTAATCAAATAAGTTTTTCTTAACATTAAGTTGCATTTGGTGTGTCTATTAATGCCAAGACTTGTATGAGGTAGTTAGAATGGGCTCTAACTGATTTGCTATAAGTTCAAATATCATCAAAAAAGACAAAAAAGAACTTATGAAGATGGGGTTGAAAGAATTTTTTTGTAAGTTTTTAGAATGTGACTAGTATATTCTTCAACCCAAAGAGTCTAATGATGAACTCATAATGTTTTAAAATGTCATCTTATAAATGTCTTATGGTATCATTGGTACTTGGTAGTAATCTGATTTGAGATTGATCTTGGAGAAGACTACTACCTTACATAGTTCATCAAGCAGCTCATCTAGTATTGAATTTTGAAAGTGATTGGGAATTGTTTTACTATTCAAGGCCCAATAGTCAATACATAACCTCTAGCTTCCATCTTTCTTACACACAAACAAGGCAAGGCTAGAAAGTGGGCTAGCTAAAGGTTGTATAGTCCATGTTAATGCTATCTCTTGTATTAGCTTATCTATGGTGTCTTTTCATAGATAAACATATTGAAATGGTCACACATTAATTGGATGTGCTTGCTTTAGATATATATATATATATATATATATATATCATGGTCCACCTCTCTTCCAAGTGGTATTCTTTGTAGCAACCCAAATATTGTCAAAATTATCTTTTCAGGCTCTCCATTGATGATGCCTAGTCATCTTCAGATTGGTTGAAAGTTTCATGTAGCTAGAACTGTTGTATGTCATTCATTGGTTGAAAAGTTCTTTGATGATGATTGAATTGAATAAAACTTCTCTTTGTGTTGACATAAAAATTTCAATATTATGTTGAAAACTTCTCTTTTGAAGAGTCACTTCTCTTGCCCCTCATTTGATAATGCATCACAAATAGGCTTCAATGAATTGTTGTGTAACAGAGAATTTACAACTATTTTATACTAAATATGATGTCGTAGTTAATGTCATCTAAGAGAGAAGTTTTTCACAATTTGTATGTCTTGTACCCCAAACTAACTTCCTTATAGATCCTTCAATCACGAGTTGTGGAGCTATTGTCAAGTTGGATGGTGTAATATAATGCTTCATCAAGGATGAGGTTTAATTTATGGACCATTGTTGTAGAGATGAGGTTATTTTTACTCTTAGATCCCTGAGCAATGATACCTTTCAATAATGCAATGGTTTTGTCAACTTTAATGTGATGAGGCCGGTACACCTAATTTGGTGCTATGGAAAGTCACTTTTGTCTTAGATAAAGACATGGTTTTTGTATTAGTCTATAGAATTTATTTACTAGAGTTGTGATAATATGCTAAAACTACTAATTAATTACCTTAAAGTGAATATATTTTAAGATCGAATGTCTTATTTTAGCATGTTATCATATGTAAAATAGCCAAATAATAATTTTACAATGATTCTAAGAACAATTCCTATTTTAAAAATATTCTCAGATTTTTTATGATTTTTTTAATATACTTTGATATATTTAAGCCATGAGGATATTTAAGTAATTTAGGAAAATACATATATTTTATTTCACATATTAGAGTTTTTCCAAAATTTTATGCACATGTTAGTCGTTGGATTTTTATATATATTTTTTATATATATGTATTATTATTTTTTCTTCTTCCTCCTCCTCTTCTTCTTCTTCTTCTTCTTCTTTTCTTCAAAGGGCTTAAAAAAAAATCATGGGACATACAATATTTGGATGAAATAGATAAGAAGAACACGAGAAACACTAATTATGGGGATGATGCAAAAAAATGCATGTCATGAGAAAATATGATGAAAAAAATAAAATATGATGAATTGCATAAACTGCCAAGATGAATGAGAGGATAATAGTCAATTGAAGTAGACTGAGGCTTATAGTGTGGAGGATGAATAGGTGAAATAAAATAAGAAAAAGAAGAACAAATAGTTGTATGCCCAAGACTTGATGAACTCCTTAGTACCTCAATGAGATGAAACTTAGTTAGTGACTTATGAACTCTAGGATATCTAAGTAGAATCTTGACTAAATGATGGAAAATAATGTCTTCAAAGGGGCTAAGTCTCCACACAAGATGATAGTACTTCTACCGTTTGATTTTTCAATCCTTTTTCTTCTCACTAGTTTCCCTACCATCTATGTAACCAACCATTCAAGTTTTTTCTTGGTTTGTCTAGACCATGGTTAGATATACATCTCATTAAAGTGTGTGCATGATCCACTCAAATAGTCTAACTCCTAAATCCAACTTTTTTGGCCTAATGTGAACGAATGATCTAAGGTGGGGTTCTTAGAAAATTTCTTTTTAAAACTAGACATCATCATTAATGAAATAGTAGCAAAAGTTTTGAATTTTTTTTAATAAAATCACATAGATACTGTTTAACCTAATCCTCCCCCCCTACTTAAGCATGTATGGTCCCTCATACAAGAAAAAATAAAAAGAGTTATAGGACAAATAGTGGATAATTAAGCTCCCTTGTTGTTGACTTTGACCTCTTTATGCTTCAAGGAGGTCGACTTGATTAACATCGTATCTTGAAAAATCTACTCAACTTATAATAATATCTAGCATTGGACAAGGTGAAAAGATAAAAAAATTAGGATTTAGTGAACCCTTTCTTTGGTTTGCTTTCATCTTAGTTAAATGTTGAGTTGTAGGTTTTGAATTAAATGCTAATCTGATTCTCTTCGATAATGTCTTGATTAAGAAGCCTTATCTTGAAGTCCTTCACCTGCTAACTTGAGCTTTACAGCCTCAAAATAACTATTAGATCCTAAGGCTATTAAGTAATCTTTTAAGAAAATAAGGTTAACAAAAGCAACAAATTAAAATAAATAAAACAAACAAGAAACTAGTAACTAAATGGTCATAGTGCTCAAAATATGATCTAAAGGTGGTCAAAAAGAGGATCATGAAGGTCCTCTAAAGTAGGAGATGGTTGAGTTTCAAACTCTATATATAGTTTTAACCGTTGACCATTCATCATGAATTCTTTGCCACCATCAAGGTTTGTAATCCTAACTATTCCATTTTCATAAGCTTCAAGGACCACAAAAAGGTCATCTCATCTAGACCTTAACTCCCTTGGAAAGAGTTTTAGTCATGAATTATATAACCACACTCTCTAATTTGGATGAAATTCCATTCTTCTGAGATGCTTGTCACAGAAGGTTTTCCTCCTTTCTTTGAAGATGATTGAATTCTCAAATGCTTCATTTTTTAACTCGAGCTCATGAAGCTGAAGCATCCTCTTCTTTCTAGCCTCATCTAATGAGAGATTGAACTTCTTAATAGCCCAATATGCCTTGTGCTCAATTTCAACTAGAAGATGACAAGTTTTCTCATATATAAGCCTATAAGGAGACATCCCCAAAGGGCTCTTGTAGGCAGTTCTATAAGCCCATAGAGCATTAGAAAGCTTGTTTGCCTAGTCCTTCCTATCTAGCCGAATGATCTTCTTAAGAATTTTCTTGATCTCCTTATTGCATATCTCTTCAACATACTCTTGAAGAATGAATTGTTGAAGTGTGACCCTACATCACTCAAAATTGCCCTGAGACATCCAAACTGTGAGAAAATAGTCTGCTCTAGAAATTTAATGATAATCTTATGATCATTAGTCCTAGTAGGGATAGCCTCTACCCATCTAGATACATAGTCAACTACTGTCAATATATATTCATTTCCATCGACGGAGGAAATGGTCCCATAAAATCTACTCCCCATAAATCAAAGATCTCTATCTTAATGATAAGTTATAAAGACATGGAATCTCTTGTTTATAGTTTTTTCAGCTTGACACTTCAATATTGCTAAACATATTCATATGAATCTTTAAACAAAGATAGCCAATAAAATCCAGCTTGAAATACCTTCATTGACGTGATCTTAGGAGAATAATGACCACCACAGAATGAAGAGTGACAAAAATTAAAATACTTCTTTGTTTCTCTTCAGGCACACATCTCCTATAAATGTAATCAACTCTCAAATGAAATAATTCAGGTTCTTCCTAGTAAAAGTGATCAATATTTTTGATTTTTTTTTCTTATGCTATAACTTTATTTATTTGAAAGTTGACCACTAACTAGATAATTTACAATGTGTGCATACCATGGTGACCTACTAAGTTAAACACTTAGTATGTGCTCATATGAAAATTCTTCTAAAATAAGATTTCTATCTCTTTGATGTAACCTAGAGAGATAGTCAGCCATTACATTTTCGACCCTTGGCCTATCTCTGATTTCAATATCAAATTCTTGCAACAAAAAAAATCATCTAACTAGCCTAGGTTTAGCTTCTTTTTTTTTTAATAAAAACTTTTAAGTAGAATGATCAGAAAAAACTATAACCCAATTGCAAAGTAAATAAGACCTAAACTTATTTAAAAGAAAAACTATTACAAGTAAGTCCTTTTTAGTGATTGTATAATTCACCTAAGCCCCTCCTAAGATTTTACTTGCATAGTAGATGACCACAACCCTTTGTCCAAGAACAACTCCCACAACATAGTTAAATACATCACACATCAACTCAAAGGGTAGATCTGACATGACTTAGTTGTTGTATATTAAATCACACAAATTTAAAATTTATAAAACTAGAAAATACGAATTTTCGGATATTTAGAAATATTTCTAAACAAATATATCAATTATAATTTAATAAAACTTCCAAAAATAGCGGTAATTTTCTAAGTCGATCAAAAGGATGTAATATAATATCTGGTAATTATTTAGATTATTTTTGCAAAGAATACTATTTTCTATAAATTTTATACTAGGAAATAAAAAGGAAATATATTTAAAATTCACGGAAAAAGAAAATAAGGGTGCGAATGTCAGGATGATGTCAGCAACCGGCAAATGCGAATCGGACGGAAATAGAGTTATGTCTGACGATTCTTATATAAGTGATTACATACGATTTAATTGATCAAATTAAGATCTGTAAAAGCCGGAAGAATCGTAATGAAATGAAGTATATATTGGTAAAGTTTAAATCAACAAATTATCACTAAATGTAACAGAAATAAAGTTATAAGTAGGAAAACAGAGTTCCGATGTCGCGGCGGTGATGCGTCGGCGATGCACCGGAATCCTGAGCGTTTAAGAGGATCGTCATGTAGTGTCCACAGCCTCGAAGGCTCTCCTTAGACAAAGATAATGTGGGCAATCTCTATATCTCGTTGCGAAGTCTAGAGATCAATGAAATGGGTTGTCAAATCATCTCTGGCAGCTGTCACCTAGCGGAGTAGAAAAATGACGACTTTGTGGCTCTCCGACGGCTGTCACTTGACGGAGAGGAACTAGATGGAGGTGGGGGGCATGTCAAGGAACTTCATTCTCAAGTCTGCACAACAAGAGGAGGCTCTTCATCGCATCCGGTATGCTCTCAGGAGGTGGCGACTCATCTCTCGGCGGATCATCTTCTTCCCGACGACGGCTTGTTCGTTGATCAATCGGAGATGCTTTACTCGATGGATTCGTCATCCTTTTATCGTGAATCGTTCAACAATTTTAGTAACAATGCTCCGTAAATCACATTGACGAGATTTTTGCCGATGATCTAGTGATTTTGGTTACTTAATCCTTCACCGGCGATTTACAAGAAAGTCGCGATAATCAGATAAAAAATATAAATTTTAGCTTTGGGAGGATTTGAACTCGCACCGATTGCCCGCCCCTTTTGGGGAAAGTGTGATGTGGGTTTAGTCCCACATCGGTTGTGCACCGAATTTTCGGACGAATATATAGTAATGTTACATTTCAAAGCAAGTCCCTTTCTCGCGCATGTACAACCACTCCTTGCCCCACAACCGATTGGCCACTAGTAACGTGGAAGGGGAGCGGCGTACACGTGCCCCTATTAGTCTAAGGTGCTCGAGCCCTTGCTCGTGGCTACTCCCCGACTGTGCTTCCGACCCGCTTGCGAGCCCAGCTGGCCAGCGGGTCCCCCCCCTATTTTGTCTTATTTTTATTTTTATTTCTTTTTCTTTATTTGTCTCAAAAGTAAGATTGTAAAAATCATATAAATTCGTATAAAATTATATAATTACTCAAAAATTCACGTTAATCAACTGAAAACCACTTTTCACACTTTAACATAAATATAAGTCTATTTATCATGAGTTAAGGCTAAAACTATATTATTTACTAATTATTTACTCATGATAACAAAGACTTATCAAGATCCCTCCTTGGTGCTTGAAGGATGGGCTTCTAAGAAGGCTGACTTGATATGTTCAAATGCTATCTTCCCTACATCATTAATAATAAACTCCACATCCTTAGACAAAAGGTTAGTCAATGATTTTGAAATTCTTACAAAATCTTTAATGAACCATCTATAGAAGCCTACATGGTCGAAAAACCCTCCAAGTTCTTTGAGGGTTGTGGGCAGTGACAATCCTTGGATTACCTCTACCTTGATCTTATCCAGCTCTAGCTCACGATTGCTCACCATAAGCCCCAACACCACCCCTTCCTTCACCATGAAGTGGGACTTTTCCTAGCTTAAGACCAACCTCTTCTCTACGCATATCTGCAAAACATGGGTTACAATATCTAAACACATGTCAAAAGAAGAACCATAAATCGAAAAATCATCCATAAAGATTTCTAGGCCCTTCCCTACTAGATCAAAAAACATAGCAAACATGCATCTTTGAAAAGTAGCTAGGGCATTACACAATCTAAAAGGCATTCTCTTGAAGGCATATGTACCACATAGAGAAATAAAAGTAGTTTTCTCTTGATCATCTAGATGAATAGCCACTTGATTGTATTTTAAATAACCATCTAAGAAACAAAAATATTCTTGTCCAGATAATTTTTCTAGAATTTGATCAATAAAAGGTAAAGGATAATGATCTTTCTTTGTGACTAAATTTAATTGCCTGTAGTCGATGCACATTCTCCAACTAGTAGGTAATCTTTCTTATAATTCTTCTCGTAGGTCATTCTTTACTATAGTAATTTTTGTCAAACTCAAAATTTTCAAGCTAACTCTAACTTTGCTCGTCTACATCTTTTCAACCAAGATTTCAGGAGAACCAAGGTATGCATTCAATTAGAACATCCAAAGAAAAAAGAAAAAAGGGATGAAGAAATGGTAAGCATGAGGACCCAAATGAACATGATGATGAAGATGATGGAGAACATCAACATGAAGTTCGAGGGAGGAGGACCTCAGCAAGTCAACTTTTAGAGAGGTAAAACTCATGAAGAAGCTTCAACTAGCTAAAGGGAAGGTCGATTTCCAACCCAACCTAAGATAAATCCTAGAAATCTTCATCATGTAAACCATGCTATATATGATGTTCCTGAAATTTTTGAAATGTGGAGAGCATGCATGCTATTTCAAACTTGAGAATGGAAAAGTTTTACTTGATCTTTATTTAATTGATAATGCTTCTCTTGATAAAGATGAGGAAAACTTTAGGTTAGAAAAACCAAGTGATAGTGGAAAACTTAGGGAAGAAGAGAACATTAGAGATGATGAAAAACATTAAGTTAAAAAATCCAAAAATTGAACCTCCAAAACTTAGGGAGTATCAACCTAGAATTCCACTTCCATAAGCTTTAAAAATTCCTAATGGAAAACAAACCACATCTGATGAGCATATTATGGAAGTTTTTAAGAAAGTCACTATCACCATTCCTTTGGTTGATGCCATTCAAAATATTCCTTCTTATGCAAAAATTGTGAAAACTCTCTACACCCCAACTAGGAGTAACAAGAAGGAAAGAGTTTAACTTTTTGAATCCATTAGTTCCGTTATTTTGAATGAAATACCTAGAAAGAAAAAAGATCCAGGTGCTCCTTTAGTGTAAGTGGACATTGGAGGAATGATTTTTTCTAGATCAATATTAGATACTAGAGCTAGTGTAAATATTATTCCTAAGGTTCTTTATAAAAAAAATTAGATTGTGGATTTAGAAGAAAGTTTGATTGAATTACAATTAGCTGATGGATCTACTAAAAAACCCTATGGTAGAGTGAATGATATATCAGTCAAAGTTGAAGGTTTAGAATTTCTAGTCGATTTTATCATTACTGACATGAAGGTTATAGAAAATCTTAATCATGCACCTATTATACTAGGGAGACCTTTCTTGACCACAGCTAGCGTAGCAACAAATTTTAAAAAGGAAACCATCTCACTTAGTGTTGGGCAGAAAAAAGTAGAAATTGACATGAATAAGGTCATGAAATGTCCAGAAGTTCTAGTGAGGATGTCTACTTAGTTGACATAGTAGATCCTTTAAGATTTCAAGAGTCTGCATTTTTAGTTGATAATATGCCAATTGAGGATGAAGAAAGACATGAAAATCATTTTGAGGAAAAAAACTTTTCACTAGAACCCCAACAATGGTTGGCCAGAGTGAAACAACTTTTATTCTAAAGATCCATTTTTCTTCCCCTTCTGTGTAATCTTGAGTGATCAGAAGAGGCCTTAAGGGCAAAGTTGAGTGTTGAGGATTGAGTTGCAAGGAGTAAAGTGCTGGAGATCAACATGTCGGAGTAAATCGCCGGGCCTTGGTGATAGATAAAGGCCCAAGTTGAGCAATCTTCTTCCCTGTACTTGTTTCCTTTCCTTCTCCCATATGGTGAAACCTAGGGTTTTAGATATATTTTAGTAGTTACATTATTCCTTGTCAACCTCGACCATTCTTTCTCATTATAATACTTTCAAAACACCTTTTCTACATCTCTTAGGTCAACCCTGATCTAAGGTTTCCTTCATTAGATCTCATTTCACCCATATTTCTCATCTCTCACTCATCTCCCATCTCTCTTTCTCTTGTCCATTTTCTAACCTATTTCTTCTCATTACTTAGGATTTCTTAAGATTATTAGTTTTTCTCTTTGTGGTTCGACCCCTATCTTACCCTTTCTACCTATTAGAATGATTAGGATAGTGAAAATATAAATAGTTTCAGATAACCTCACTTAGGACTTACGAGACATCCCAAGTATTGAGTTATCAAGTTGTCTATGTTTTGCTCAATTTTTTCATCAGTGTCCTCTTTATGCACCAACAATAGCTAGATGCCTCTCTTATTAGTGGCCTTTTACTTTGAAACTTTTTATTAGTGAACTAAACCTTTTACTCCTTTCTTTAGGTACTAAATGGTTTTGGCTTTGGTTGTACAATGACTACCAAAGTTTTCAAGTGTGATGAGACATGTTTCAGCCAATTAAGTTAAGTCAATAGTTTCTTTCAGCTTGAAGGATTTGAACATTCTGATTTTGATGACTATTTTAATTTTCAAATGATTAAGGACCATTCCCAATAAGACAATGACTTTGAAGTCATTAAAGTTCTGCAATTGTCCTATATTACTTCAAACAAAAGAGTTTTTTTGGTAATAGTCATTAGCATGTGGATTTCCAAAGCATTTTAGTAATTGATTGCAAAAGTCATGCCAATATCAAAATGAACATTGTTTTAAAATCTAGATGTACTAGCTAAGGACATCTCCTTTCATTCTCATTGCTATAGTGGTGATCCCACTTTGTTTTGTCGTGTTGCTTACCTTGAAGAAGAGTTAAATGTGATAAACCCACTATGTAGGGTTGTCCTGTGTGAAGAAGAGAGTCTCTAGCTAAGAAAGCATCGTGCCATCACTTGAGTCCAACAAGGTAATGCCCACCATGAGACTTGCTAGTGGAGCACTAGGGTTTTGGTTTGGGCTACACTATTGGCTATTGTTGGTTGATGGTATACTAAAAAGTATTGTACTTGGTTCACCAAGCTAAGAAGACGAGGGTGGTTACTCCAAGCAGTTGAGTCATTGTAGAACCTAGTCAAGGAGGAGGTCTAAGGTGATCTTGATCTAGGTCACCCTACACTAGAGCATGCTGACCTCATTTAAATTGAGATGTCACCATCCAAGTGGTCCATATGGGTTTTCAATCCCCTAGATCCCATGGTGCAATAGGTGGCATGGTGGCTATCAAATGGCTCTAATACCAAATGTGATAGCACCATTCTCTAGATGAGAAAATAGGAAATACAACAAATTTATCCCCCCTAGTTGATGCAGCTTGTGTGGGTGAGAAGAGGAAAAGATAGAGAGAGAGAAGAGCTAGAACCCTACTTTGGGGTTTCAAGGCACTCCAACCTCTATCTACTTTTTCAACGTGATTGTTGTCCTTTGATTTGATCCCTATTCCCCCTTACATAGTTAGTTGCCCTTCTGTCTTATAGGACTATTCCAACATCTATCGATCAAGCCTAGGGACTTTAATGTCTGATAAAATTTCATTAAACACAATAGAAACTATAGAAACTACTCACCTTATTTATATTCTTAGGGATTGACCATGTTTTAATAGTTCATAACTTCTCTTAATCAACTTTAATGTTATATGTACTAATTGGATATCTCAAGAATTGTAAATTCATAGTCATAAAAATACATTTCTTCAAAGTTACATATCAATTTGTTCTAAGACCATTAACATAGTTATCAAATGAAAAATATAATATTCGTCATTAGTATTGTTCATCAAAATGTCATCAAAATAAAAAAAATAATTTTTCCAACAAATAATTTTTGTACTTGATTTGTCATGCTCGTCAATGTGTTAGGCACATTTAACAAAGAAAATGAAATTGCAAATCATTCATAAAGTTCTATTGTTGTCTTAAAACTATTTTTCATTCATCATACAGAAATTTTGGATTTGATGGTATCCACGTTTTAGATGAACTTTATAAAAACAATTAAGCCACACAAGATATCAGAAATATAATCAAACCTTCAAATTAGATATCTATCTATATTTAATGAGAATCTTGATTATCTACACATATCTGTCAACTTTGATATTTGTTTTGGAACTAATATTGTAGAAACCAAGTATGGGGTCATGATTTTTGAATAAGTCTTTGTCTACTAATTTTTCAAATCTATCCTTATAGAATGTAATTTTAATAATCACTCATCTGATAATGAGGAAATTTGGCAAAGTAGCTCCTTAAATAAAAATATGATGTTGTATATCTTTGAAGGGAAGAAAGAGATTTGGCATATGTTAGTTGACAATAAAGTCACTTAACACTTTTTTAGTAGTCTCAAATATTTTGAGAATCATAGGAAAAATTTATTTTTTTCATGAGCATAAATATTTCTAACTCTAAGTTCATTTTGTTGAAGAGTTCTTGTTTATCAATTAACATGAAATTATTCTTTTTTTCCCTTCACATTATTTGAAAATCAGTGTCTTTCATTAGGCATAAAAAATATAAATTTCTCTATTTGTATAATAATTATTATCTCTTAGTGTGTGACATCTAAATCAGATTGTCATAGTTTACCTAATATAAGATGACATTTACCTATATCAATCATATCACACTGAATTTGTTCAAAGTATATTTTCCAAATTAAAAAGCTTACTGAATAAAAACTATGTTACTTTGGTTTCATAATCTTATTTTATCTAAGCAATCTTTTATAAATGTGGATATTTTTCTATTTTCAGTTTAATTTTTTGTACCATAATTGTTGAAATAATATTTTTCGTCATTATAATAATCAAATGTCACATACTTTCCCATTGATAGTGCACCTCATTCAAGACATGTTATGTCTTTGAGGGTGTTCCTCCTTGCTTGGTGACTAAGAGAACAAGATAGTTCTTTCTCCATTGCCACATTCAATAATGTTCTATTAAAATTCTTCTTAATCTTTCACTTTGTCATTATCTTCATCTTCAGTTACTTTTATAAAATTTACTATACCATGCTTGGACTAGTATTTTATTTGTGTCATTCTTTATTAGATTTTTAATATTTGATAGTAGAGTAGACACATTTTTGGGTACAAAACTTTGTTTAGATGGTATTTATTCCCTTGATTTTTGTGTAGTAGTTGTAGTCCTGCCTCTAGATTGATGATTTAGACTTGTCCTCTTGAAAATATGAGATATTTCTAGAATCCTAAAATCTATTTTTTGCTTTTTTTAACAAAGATTTGACGTGTTTTGTTGCTATAATTATATCACTTAATTTGAAAAATGATTGTAATAATAATTTTTTTCTTCTATATCCCATCAAAGTCAACTTTTAAATCTAGAAATCATGTAAGAATCATTTTTTGTCAAATGCATTCCCAAAGACAATTGATAGAAATCAGATGGAGGATGGTGAACATCAAAATGAGTGAATAGAGTAGAAACCCCTATTCAGGAAATAGGAGAACCAACAAATGAGAGAGGAATGTAGATGATCTAAACACAAAGGAACCTAGAGGAATTTAAAGATCAACCCGTAGGCTATCCTATGCAGAAATCACCCAAAATGACCATATAAGACCAAAATATGTAGATGTAAGCCAACAAAAGAGCCACTATATCTCATAAGGTGTCCTAATCCTAGAGTTCTCCTATAAGGAAGCAGAACAACTAGCTACCCCATTCAAAGAGGCTATAGTAGGTAGGTAAAGTTAAGAGGAACATACCCAATTTAATGATCATTAGGGATGAGCTTAAATGGGTTGGCAATTTAGAAGGAAAGGTCTTTGTAGGGGCTTTTGATGCTAGGCATGCCATATTGAGATTCAAACTAAGCTCAGAGTTTCAAATTGTGTGGAGCTGATCACTATGCAACATTAAGGTGGAGATAATGAACTCATTTTGTTGGTCTCCTTTTTTCTCGCTTGGCTTAGACCCTCCTTTTGTTCCAATATGAGCAGGTTTCCCTAGAATTAGACCACATTTTCTAAATCCCTCAACATTCCAAGCTATTATAGAAATGCTTGGAACATTCATATGTATATACAAAGACATAACCGAATTCATTAGACCATGGTATGCCAGAGCATGCATTGTAGTAAATATCTCCCACCCAATCCAAGAATATGTTATGATTAAAAATGTGGATTATGGATTATGTGGAACTATGGTATAATAAGAAAGATCATAGATTTCAAGGGACTGACCAGCATAGGGGAGGGGATAAAAGATGGTAAGGGTGTTTAAGGATGGAGGATTGTCAAGATGAGTGGGCACAAGACAAGCTTTCGAAAGGAATATGCCATGTTCATAGAAGGAGACTGATGTAGTTTACAAAGGAGGGAAGGGAGGAGAATACGAGTGAACAAAATACAAGAGGAGTCTGAATGATCAAAAGATGATAGATATAAAGATGATAGCGAACAAAGAAGAGGCAATTAAGGAAGGATATGATGTAGTTTATAATGAGGGAATCAAAATTGATGAAAATAGTAAGATAAATGAGCTTCATAGATTGAATAGTATTGAAGAGATGAAAATACCTCAACTAAACTCCATATAGGGGATAGAGGAGACAAGTCACTATAAAGGAGGTATGTGTGTCACCCTTAAGACATTGATTGATGTTAGATCAAATGACTGAAATGGTGGGGGGGAGATCAGAGAGTAGAAAGGAACCTACTTTTGACAGCATCATCTATGACCACACAGGGTAGTAGAGAAAAAGGAAGAAAGGCCAAAACAAGAGGGAAAAAACACTGAGGAGGGATTGATGAAATGTAGGAAAATAGTCCATCAGAAAAACATATAGAGCGAATCTCCTAGTAGATCAGATCCTCAATTCATTACAATTAATAGAACACTTCAGTTTTTCAGAAGATAGCGAAGAATCAATCAATGATCGCGAGGCAGATAAGGTGGAATTAGAGGTTGGGACAAAGGAAAATCTGAATACTGAGGAAGGGATGGAGCAAAAATAATGATTCAGGGGAAGGTAGGTAAGAAGATGAATTGTAGTGAAGAAACCTAGTATAATAATTAATAGCTCTAAATAGAGGACGAGAGTTAAAACTTAGTTCCAATCTACTGGAGACTTAGATGTCTAGCATAATAATTTGGAATTGTAGAGGCATTAGTAACATTTCCTCTAGAACTAGAATTAGAAAAATGTTAGATAAACACAAAACTGAAGTACTTGCTATCATTGAAATATTTATAGAAAGTCAGAAAGTAGAAAATATATAAACAAAACTGAGTATGGATAATGTGTAGTGCAATAAAAGGAACGAAATTTGGATTTTCTAGAAAGACTATGTAAATCTCACACCTGTTACATACCATGATCAATGTGCAATTCTAGATTTAGAGGTCCAAGACAGCCTTGAAAATTATAATATATGCATCCTATGAGATTTATGGGAAATCATGGTGGAGAAATAACAAACCGTTGCTGACTAAGGGGATTTTAATATGATTAGAAATTATGGAGAAAAAATTGGGGTGGCCATCCCAAACTTTCCCCTAATGTACGAATTTAACAATGTCATACAAAGGTTAGGATTAAGAGAAATGAAGCATGAAGGAAATAATATATCATGATGCAATGGGGCCAAAGGGTGTAACAAGAGGTTAATAAAGCTAAAATATTTAATAAGAATTCAAGATTTTGACCATTTCTTCATTTTATCTTAAGTACAAGGTAAATCTTTTCTTGATCTTGCATGAGTGAACTGAAGTTCATCACACAAAGAAAATGCGCCACCCTTTAATTTATATGTAATTAATCTCACCTATTCTTCATCAATAATTTTCTTATCTTGGAAAAATCCTTCAACTTTTGATATCTAATTTAGAAATTCTTGAATTTTCCAATGGCTATTAAAATAGAGCAACTCAATTTTATTCAAAATTCTCTATTATCATTCTCTTTAGATTGACTTCATGTACTTATGTCATTTGATAGATTTCTCTAAGTAAGATGCCTAAAACCATTGTTGTTTTGAACATTTTGAGCTCATAAATGAAAAATCTAGGTCAAACAAAAGAATAGTTTCTTTGAACTATCATTTATATCTTCAAATTTCTTATCATAATGTTCTTGAAACTCAAAAAAATATGTTTGATAAAAAGGACATATGTCAAAAACTTTCTCCTCATAAGTGTGAATTCTTTTATCACATGACATTTTTGGTGATAAATTATGGAAAGTAAAGCCTTAGTATAATACTAATTGATCCATACTAAGTTGTGTATAGATGAAATCTTGTCATTGAATCTACAAAGATCAATTTATTAGAAGATTCATTGCCTTCAATTGGTAGAAATTGAAAATTGTGATCCTTGAATCTACAAAAGGCAATTTTCAATTCATAAGGTTGATAAGATTTCTCTGAATTCAAAAGAAAGGTGCTAGAATTCACTAGCAAAGAGATATAGTCTCAACAAAGAGAAACTTTTGTAGAATATAATGAATGCCTCTTGGACGATGCCTTTAAATATGGCAGAAGTTTATTGGATTGTTGCTAAAAAGATTGTTATGTTATGATGACACCTTAATTTTGAATTAATATTAATTTATAAAAAATCAAATGATTAAAAGTAGAAAAATAAATGAAAAAGTGAAAAAAAACTAATTATAATGCTTTTAAGACGTATTAGTTAATAGGCCATCTAGAGCTAGCAGTTCAACTTCACGCTTTCTAGACTTCTAGTATATTTGAGTTGGGCCGTGGATGGGCTACGTCACCCTCCCCCTTCTCTTTCTTCTCTCTCTGGTGACTACTGGTGACCTTTCGTAGTGATCCACCTAGCAATCTCTCTCTCTCTCTCTCTCTCTCCCCCTCTCTCTCCAGTGGCCGGTACTCCAGGTCCCCAAAGTTGATTTCGGGCTCGAGCTGGCCCGGCCCGGACAGGCCCGGCCTTGGCTCACTTTGCCTGCCACATGTAGTAAACGCGTGTTTAAAAAAAAGACGCGTGTTTCGACACGTGTGTGCGCGGGGGTGATACAGCGTGGGGGGCAGGCACCTGTCGCTTCATTTTGGCGCGCATAGGATACGAGTGAAGGATAGTTCCTTCATTTTGGCGGCCCTGGGAGGTGGGAGGTGGGTGATGGCGCCCAAAAGGTCGCGCCCAGAGGAGAAGACCCTCCTTCAGGTCGACCCTCAAGGGATGTTTCGCGGGATGGTGGTCTTCCTGATCGAGAGGGGTGTCCAGCCCCGGAGACTACAAGTAATCTCCTCTGCTTCTTCTTCTTCTTCTGTTTACTGATGGTCCTTCGTCCTGGCACTGTGGACCCTTAATGCGGTATCGATGCTGTATGAGACTGAATGACGTTTGATTCAAGTATGTAGGATTCAAATATTCGAGTATACCCCAGTTATGTGTAAATTATAGGAGAATTCGATTCAAAATGCGGGTAATACTCCGATACGTGTGACCATGATGTAATTTTTTTTCTTGCTCTAAACTTATTATTTGATTCATCTCTGAATGCGATGGCCAGACAATTCCATTTGTCACTTAAGACATTCTCTATGCAGTAAAACGTTACCATTTCCTTTTTCAAGATGGCTGGGAGTAGTCCATTAGATGATCATATCCTTTTTTTAATGCCTGAACTTATCTAGGACCTGGGTTGGATTTTATATTTTATTCAAAAATATAATTTGACGATGTCAATCCATTGCGCTGATGATTGTATCAGATCGCAGTGGTGATGTATTCTTTGCCGGTATAATCAGTGGATTGATATGTAATTCTAAGATCTGATGGGAGGTTGATTACTAATAAACCTGTACACACCTTTTCTTGCATTTTTTGCGTTTCTAGGGGTTTAAAAGACTTTTAATTTGTAAGATTATTTTATTCAGAATTAAAATAGTCAAAGATGGATCAATGTGTGGTCTCCAGTGAGAAGTAAATCTAAGATCTCTACCTTGCATGGGTAAAATTGTAAAACTAAATTATTTGTCTTTATGTTAGAGCTGCTCAACGAACACAGTGGAAGATTTTCTATGAATTGTTTTTTACTCTATGCTGGATACTACGGATTTTTTAGGTTCTGAGACGATTACAGGGCCATCATGTACGGCAGAAAAAGACAGATAATTTTTGGTTGAGATGTTGGGTGGGTTGTCTACATATCTGGGCATGAGTGTTGCAAACTCATCCAAAACTTCTAAAACAAGAAAAATATTTATGATGTTATGCTTCAAAATTCTATGTTGTACATCATCCTTTTTTTTGTCTATATATTCTCATTGAATATTTTTCTTATCTTTCCATGCCGATTTACTTAATTTTGTGAGCCCTCGTTTTTCTGAATAAATTTCATTTGTAGATCTGGAAACAGAAGCTCATCCAAATGGGAGCTGTTATTGAACATAAATTTAGAATGACTGTTACACATGTTTTTGGCATGAACTTGGAGTACATTCTGCAGGAATTGGATATCAAGAAACTGAAACGTTTCAAGGGGGTGTGTGCCTTTACTTCTTTCTGTACAACATTTTACTCTTTCTAAGTTCTCGCAGAATATTGGATCACAGTACATATATTAGATGATGTATTTATAAAGTTATTTTCTGCGAAAAATCGCAATAAAATCATGTGTTGGCTTATCAAAATTTCCTCGTTTATTCAGGGTGGGAAATCTAATAGATGTTACCTTGCATTTTTTTCCCATGAATTTAAACTAGAAAAGCAATTAAATGCTTCTCTACGTGTCAGCTGGTCTCATACGTATTTCACATTTACTTCATGGTCGATTATGCAATAGACCACACCATTACTTAGTTGAAGACTAGTATTGTTCTGACTTTAAACAACATAACTTTGTTATTCGGTCCATCACTTTGAGTTAGAAACAGAATTACTTGCTCACATTTATTGTATCGCTAGGAACTAGAATCACCTATGGCTTCGTCTTCACTTTACCTAGAAGATCCATAAATGAGATTTAGACTTGCTCGATTGTCTTGTTGATGAACAATTAATATCGAGGAATGACTTTGGAGGAATACAGAGTGGATCTGTGTCTGGATGGTTCTTGGTGATAAAGTTGCGTCATCTGGTTGGAATGGAGTTGATTTAATTTTTTTATTTTATTTGGGGATGCCAATGCATTAAAAACGTAACCTTAGGAACATTTGAACCCTCCCTCCTCCCTACAGTTGATGTCTATTCTGGACCATTTTTCGGCAACATCAGTGTATGGAAGGCGCCAGTTGTTTTTTTTTCTTCTCCTTCTTTCCTCTATTTCCTTGACTTTCTATTTATTCCTCTTCATCTGCCCTTATCAGTGTACCCCTTCACTAATCTTCTTTTTTATCAAGGTCCCGACTACTAGGATCAGGCAAATCCAAATAATATCGGATAACTTGTGGGTGGTTCTTTTTCTTCTTCACGAGTTTTTTCAATTTCAAACCTTCCATTTTTCGGCCAGATTTCACTGTTTGAAAAGGTTTTATATTATCTCGCCACAGGATAGGAGATAAAGCACATTCTTTTTTATGGTTTGTTTCATAAGTTGAAGATCATTGTTTGATTTCTATTCTCGTGATTTTCCTTCAGGGAGGGGTTGTGGGGACGTAAATGTGGAGACCCATCATCCTGTATAACCAGCCAGTCAGAGAAACGCGGGGGAGGGCGGGGTGTGTGGAGAGAGGGAGCAGACATTTCACCAGGTGCTCTTTAGTTTAGTATGGGATTCCCACAAGACTTTATGTTCTGCTGCAAATGAGAGAAATGCCCTGTTGTTAACAGCTCTAACAGTTACGGTAATGCCCTGTTGCTAGGACACAGAAAATGAGAGAAATGCCCTGTTGCTAGGACAAAAGAAAGGAGTAAATCCTGCTCCTCTTTGAAAAACAAAAAACAAGAAATACCCTGTTAAGAGTTCTATCGACTGGAGTAATGCAGTGCAACCCACAAGGCTGGAAGTTTGGGGAATAGACCCTACCAGGAGGGAGAAAGCTAAGGAGCGAAGGAGTGTACGGCTCCACATTGGAGAAAAATAAGAGTTATATTGAGGAGAATAAAAGGAGACCTAACATAGAGGCATGCAGGCCTTGTATAGCCTTCAAAATTCTAACCAAAAAGAGATAGACAGGATATTATCATTCACTGAGAAAAGTTAAGTGAAGAACGAAATAACGTTTAAAGAAGACTACTACAAGATTTCTTCATGTGTTATATTAGCAGTAACTAGATTTCTGGCCAACTGTTTATTTGTTGACTATGCCCTTTATTGCTGCACAGTCATGTACATTGTGGGGTTGGTGTAGTAGTTCAAATTTATGTGGACACTGATTTTTCACCCTGAAAGATGCTTGATTCTGTTCCATGACCTTCGCCCAAGGGTGTGCTTTATTTGGAAAGATATAGATGTACTAATATTTGTGATGCCTTCTATCTCCTTTAGCTCATCAAATTTTCGCATTTCTGTTTAGTCGTTCATTCTTTGCCTTTACATCTATAATTTTCTTACAATATGAACCAGAGAATACTGACGAATTTGAAACGGTCTGCTGTCAAAAAAAACTGGACTATGGGTATTTTTTACATCAAGTGCATATATTTTAATGAACCCTTGATGCATTGAAAAAATGCTGAAAATTTTTAATATTGTGTTGCAGAATATACTTCCCTATGAATGGGTGGAGAACAGTCTAAAGTCAGGAGAAAAAATTCCTGAAGATTCCTATGCTCTAAAGGTGCCATTAGAAGGGGAGAGTGATTCTGATAAACCTGCAGCTTCTGCACATTCTGAAATGTTCAATAACAATCATTTATGTGATGATTCAAAGAACAGGAGCATCAAGAGTTCAATGGAAGACGTGAAACTAATGTGTAGGGTTAAAAAGGATACGGAGAAGACAGGAGACCTAGGTTACAACCTGGGTAGACCAGAGCCTAAGGATAATGAGGTACAAACTGCTGAAGAACATATTCATCAAACCAGCAAGGGATACAGGATGGGTTCTGTGACTACACAAGATGTCACAACTGGCTCAAAAGATGTATGGTTGGAAATTATTTTATTTTAGTTTTACTTGAATTGAAATGCTTCCAATGAATCAAATCACACAGATTATACGCCCCATGTTTATTTATAAACTTTTTCCCCTATGAAATAGTATCTGCAATGAAAATCAACATTCTGCAATGGGTTTATCTGTCTAACTCAGTGCTCTACAGATGTCATTGTTGTACAATCCACCTGATTTAAATCGAAAAGTCACAGAGATATTTGGAAAGCTTATAAATATCTATCGAGGTATGTTTGTGAAGGATTTTGGAGCTTGTTATTTATGTAAAGGTTAAACCTCCTGATCTCCTGTAAATTATTCTTATTGAAGCACTAGGAGATGAGCGGAGGTCTTTCAGCTATTACAAGGCTATCCCAGTGATTGAAAAGCTACCTTTCACGATTGAAAGTGTTGAGCAAGTTAAACATCTTCCAGCAATTGGCAAGTCTATGAAGGAGCATGTTGGTGAATGCTCTCTAGCTAATATATTCTCTTTTGATGATGGCTATCTTCTTTGGAAAAAGCATATATTTCATTTAAACTTCATTATGAGAAATGAATAACCCCAATATCAAACTGTCATCTTTTCCTTTTTTTTTAAATCCATGTTGTTTTTTGAAAATTTTAAATTCAATTATTGCGTTTTGTTCTTTGTTAATTTTCAATGCATCAACTTGGAGAGCTAATTTATCAAACAATTAGAAGGCTGCGATCTGCATTCAATGACAAGATAGTGTCTGTAACATAAAGAAGTTGTTAAGAGCTATGGCTCTTCTTTTTCGCCAATCTGACATCATTTGCATTTTTTACTGCTGCCTGTTTGGTAGTGGAGAACTACTGTGATTGAGATGTAGCTGCCTGGAACCCCGAAAAAGCCTTTTTGATCTGTAAGAGTTTTGAGATGGATCACCAGGAGACCCATTCAATAATTCCACATCCATAGAAAATGAAATTACTAAAGAAAAGTATGACATTCTGTGGATCATATAGGTTCTATCACTGCATGTAAATTGAGTAGACTATGAAGTGATTGAGAAAATAAACGAATAGTAATCACAAGTGTGGATACATCATCCATGCCTTTTGTTGTTGGGATGTACTGGACAACTAAACCTTTTATGCTTTTGTTGAATTTCCTCTAGTTCGTTCATTTCTTGAAGAACGACATACCTTCTCGTGGAAGGGAAAAAGGAACTTCTATTCACTCCATATGAGGGGAAAAAACTTTAAAATCCTTTACATCAAGACAGGGGTCTGTTATTTATAACAGATCCATGGGAGAAGGTTCTAGACATATAGCCTTATATCCCGAGACATGCAAGTGAGGTTCACATGCCTTCTTTAAGTGAAGCACGTGATACACCTCACCCCAACTCCTAATACAGTTTTTACACTGTGTTTCAACATTCCCCCTCAAGTTGGTGAGTGGATATCGTCCATTTTCAGCTTGGAGAGCACTTGTTGCAGTTGAGTCGCAAGACACTTTTTTCAGCAAATCAGCTAGCTGAGTAGAGATGTAGGGAATACAGATTTCCTCAGATTCTAAGTTTTTCTTGATAAAGTGACGGCCTATCTCCATATGCTTTGTGCGATCATGTTGAATAGGATTGTGCGCAAGATTAATTGCAGATTTATTGTCATAGTAGAGCTTCATAAAACCTGAAATGGGAATCTTTAAGTCAGTGAGTAAAATCGTCACCCAAAGTAGTTCGCATATTCTATGCGCAAGTGTCTTGAATTCTGCATTAGCACTTGAGCGAGCAACAACATTCTATTTCTTGCTGCGTCAAGTAACCAAATTTCTTCTCATAAATATCATAAGACCTGAAGTTGACCGATGATCTAAAGGAGAACCAGCATAATTAGCATCAGTATACATCTCAACTATTACTTTATCACCACATTTGAAGATAATGCCTTTTCCAAGAGTTCCCTTTAAGTAGTGTAACACCTAATATGCAGCATAAAGATGGGATTTAGTTGGCTGATGCATGAACTGACTTAAGAGACTAACTGCATATGAGATGTCAGGTCTAGTTTGTGTGAGATATATCAATCATCCAATAAGACGTTGATACATTTCTCGATCAATAGACTCCTCCCCTTCACCAACACTAAGTTTGTGGTTAGGATCAAGGGGGGTGTTAGCTGGTTTGCATCCATACTTTCTAGTATCCTTTAGAAGATCTACCACATACTTTTGTTGAGAGATGAATACGTCCTTAGAAGAATGAGTTTCCTCAAACACCTAAAAAATATTTAAGACAACCCAAAGTCTTGATACCAAGTTCCTTGGCAAGATATTTGCTCAAATTTTCCTATTCAATGTCATCACTTTTAGTAATTATAATGTCGTCAACATAAACTAAGAGTATAGTAACTCCCCCTGATGAAGTATGTTTGAAAAATAATGTGTGATCAGCATTACTAAGACAATAATTAATTTTTCGCATGACAGTAGAAAATCTCTCAAACCATGCACGTGGAGATTGTTTAAGTCCATACAATGACTTTTTTAGTCTATAAACAAGTTAGAAAATAAATTTCCTCCATAACCAGGTGGATAATACATATATACTTCATCAGTAAAATCCCCATGAAGAAAGGCATTCTTCACATTATATTGTTGGATATTCCAACTAAAAATAGCAGCTAAGGATAAAATAATTTTGACTTTGTTCATTTTTTGCCACAAGAGAAACAGTTTTATGGTAGTCAATTCCATAAATTTGTGTATATCCTTTAGCTACGAGTCTGGCCTTGTACCTTTCAATTGATCCATGACCATTGCATTTTATAGAATAAACCCATTTATAGTCAACTGCCCGTTTATCCTTAGGGAGAGTCACAAGTTCTCATGTATTATTTCTCTCAATAGCATACATCTCATCATCCACGGCTTGTTTTCACTCTTTACTAGAGAGAGTTTTTGAAATATTAACTGGAATGGTAATACTATCCAAGGTACCAAGGAAGGTTCTATAAGATGGAGAAAGTTTATGATAGGAAATAAAGTTTGCTGAAGGGTATAATGGGTATTTTGTACAAGTTCGTGGAGGTTTCTTTAGGGCAATAGGAAGGTCATTGGACTGGGAACTAGTAGTATTTTCTGAAAGGATGAATTTGGTTTCTTGGTCATTGATTAAGGCTAGTTCAGAGTCTTGGGCTGATCTAGAATTTGGAGGTACTCATGTCCTTGAATAAACCTGACCAAATCTGAGTTTTTCAAGAAGCAGATCAGGAAGAGATGGACCTTGGTTAGACACATGAAATTGGTAGAATAATTTGACTCGGAAGAGAAGAAACTCTTTATGGGAAAAAATCAGGAAAAGGTGGAAATTGCAAAGAAGTGTCTTGAGAACTTTTCTGGTAGTAAAAAACTGATTCATGAAAGGTAATATCCATAGTTGTAAAGAATTTTTGAGTTAATGGATGATGACATTGATATCTTTTGAGTTTTTGAATATCTAACAAATATACATTTGTGGGATCTTGGATCTAATTTATCTTTAGCTGAATTATGATTATGAATGAATGAGACACATCTGAATATGCGAGGCTATAATGAGAAATGGAGATGATTAAGAGCGAAATAAGAAGCTAACCTTTCCGTAGGACTTTGGAGACCCAAGGTTCTAGTGGGAAGAACAAGAGTGATCGTGTAACCTCCAAGAGGTGTCAATTTTTTCTTTTTGCCAATCTGTTTTGCTGAGGAGTATAAACACATGAAGACTCATGTATAATACCCTCAGCCTGAAGAAAATAACTCAGATCATTGCTAAAGTATTCCTTAGCATTATCTAACTTGAATTTCTTTATAAGGATTATCAAATTAGGTTTTGATCATTGAACAGAAATGTTTCAACACAATTGAAACTTTTGATTTCTGCTTAAGAAGAAAGACTCGCATGCAATGGTTGCAGTCATCCACAAGGTAACAAACCATTTATTACCTAGTAGATCTACATTGGGACATGGTCCCCAAACATCACTATGGATGCAAGAGAAAGGAATCTCACTCCGTTCATTTCTAATTGAAAAAGAAATACAAGTATGTTTGGACAGTTCACATACGTCACACTTAAGTGTTTTTACAGACACTTTTTGAAACAAGGATGAAAACACTTTATAGTAGCGAAGGAAGGAGGACCTAATCTTTGATGAAGGAGCTGAATGTGACTTAGATCCTTGCGATGTTCTAGAGATGGGTGTGCTTCCATAAGACAGGTTTGGCTAGATCCCGCCAAGATGTCAACTCCTCGTTCTCTAGCAACTCCAATCCTCCCCGTTTGGACCTTATCAAGGATAACACAAAGGTCTTCATCAAAGAAGGCACGATAAGGTGTGTTTTTATCAAGGCTTTTTATAGAAATAAGGTTGGTGAAAAGTTTGGGAACATAGAGAACTTTGGTGAGGGTTCCTAAGGTTCAAGAGTTAAGTCTTCAATACCAACGACCGTAAGAAGTATACCATCAGCAGTAGACACTTTTTGGTCACCGAAACATGGGGTGTAGGTAATGAAATGATATGACGAATTTGTCATATGACTTGTTGCTCCTGAATCTATTACCCAACATCTAGTAATGTCTTGGGATGGAGCTCAAACACCAAGAGAAGAGTGGAACTTACCAATTTAATTACTTGTTGATGGCTGTGAACGTTGTGTTACCATTGCCTTCAATTGCTCTAACTCGAGGCAAAGTTTCTCTACTCCGCTTGATGGAGTTAAATTAATATTTCTTGAAAAAAGGGTCTGTTTGTTCAGAGTTTTGATTGGATGAAGAATCAATCACCATGTGAGCCTGATTCACTCGATTCTCAGAATTTCATGGGGTTTATAACATCGCTTGCTGGTATGACGGGGTTTCTTGTAATAAATGCACCAGAGGTTATCACAGTAATCATTTTTCTGATTCTTCCCTTGCACAGATGATGATTGATGGTTCGAATATTCTACTGATTTAATGGTGTCTTGGTTTGACTAAAAATGTTGTATTACCCGACTACTGAGTAGACAACATCAATTTTTGACAACTCTCTTCATTCAGTATAATTAATATCACCCCATTCAGATCTGGTCTCCTTTCAAATCCTAGAATTTGTTGTCTGATCTGATCAAAAATAGTTAGCCAAAACTTTAAAAACCCACCTTCGTTCTATAAAATCTCGTAAATGTAGAAATTTCTTTGAGTTCTTCAGTCCCAAGTTCAAGATAATAATCAAGCTCCTGCCATAGATTTTTAAGTTCTCCTGTGTACTCCATCACTGATTTTGAACCTTGAGTAATTGAATGAGATTTTATCTCCATTTCATATATGTGTGACTCATTCTTTTTCATCGAATATTTCATGTGTACTGTTCCCCACAAATTCTTTGCAGTTTTTATAAAGAAAAAACCTCTACTGATCTGGGGAATCATTGTTCCCAAAATCTATGTCTTTATCAAAGCATTCTCCTCTTGTCATTTTCTAAATTGCCTTGACATTTGATCTGGTGTAGTTTCCTCTAGATGACGTAGCATCCCTCTGCTAATAAGAACTTCCCTAATATATTCTGACCACTAGATGAGATTATATTCAGTCAACTTAAATTCTATAGGCATGGCAAGGAGTTCAATCATTAATCTTGATGATACAGGATTGACTTCCATAATAGTGGTAGAGATGTCACCTATTGAGGTCTCTCCTCCTTCAAACATATGAAAAATAATAAATCGGAATAGGAACAACTGCTTACTAAGTAGAAACAAAATGTAATTCTTGTAAGTCTTGAGAAGGCTCAAGAAACGATGTTGATCTTCCAAGTCCTCAAGAAGAGGCTTATAGAAACAGCGTAAATCTCTTATACAGAAAGAGATAATAAGAAAGGAGCAATCACACCTTAATTAGCTCTGACACCATGTGAATTTCCTCTAGCTCATTCGTTTCTTGAAGAACGACAGACCTTCTCGTGGAAAGGAAAAAGGAACCTCTATTCACACCATATGAGGGGGAAAAAACTTCAAGATCCTTTACATCGAGACAGGGGCCTGTTATTTATAACAGATCCATGGGAGAAGGTTCTAGACATAGAGCCTTACATCCCAAGACATGGAAGAAGCACATGATACACCTCACCCCAACTACTAATGCAGTTTTTACACTGTATTTCAACAGCTTTACATGTTGGCAGATATGGCCTCATGTTTCTTCTGTCCGCATGTGTCAGAATGTCTAGAACTTTCTAGGGGTCTGATACAGAAACTGGACCTCCCTCAACTTATAATAGTTTTTTCTTCTTATCAATAAAGACATTCTTTCTCTCCACGGGTGCTGAGGTATCTATCAGCACACCAGATCAGGAGTCATACCAACTACACCTTTTAAGTATATCGTTTGCATTCTCCTTCACTGATCCTGATGTCGTTATTCACAATTGCACTCTCCTTTTTCTTTCCCATCAAAGATTCTTTTTTCTATCATCACTATTAGTTGGCTTATCTAATGTTCCTGTCCATATAACAATAAACTGTAAGAACAATTTCAAGATCTCTTTCTTTTCATCCTGTATCCGAATTTTTTTGATCATGGGTTTTGGATTCCTCTAAAAATGGTGATACTTAAGACATTATTTTCAAAATTAGTCTTTGGATGGGATGACGGCTTGATTCTTTCAAGTTCTATGCCTGCGTTTGTAATTTTGTGTTGAGTTGCACGGGCTGGGATGATTGTAATAATATCAAAGGAAGATTTCCGTTGCTCTACATGATGGATGAGTCAGATGACTAACTTCAGATTCATTCTACCTGCAGATTCAGGAGATTGTGACAACTGGAAAGTTGTCAAAGTTGGAGCACTTTGAACATGATGAAAAGGTATTGTAGGTCATTGAAAACTAAAATTTATTTATTTTTCTACAATTTTTAATGAAGTGCATCTTTTATTTTTTTCAATAAAAACTGGGTATAGACCGGTTTGTGAATACATGTGATGAAAAAGTGTTAACAAGCAGCAAGATCCCAAATGTTGGATGCAGAAAGATGACTCAAGGGATAATAGAAATGCTAATCATGCTAATGCCATTCCGAATTTCCCCCGCTGAGCAGCAATTTGATACCTTTCTTTCTGTGGTCAGGACTAACCTCAGATGATGCTTCGCCAAGATTTGGAAATGGTGCATGCTTATGGTCCACTATGGACAATGGAGTGGGGATAAGTGTACCAATCTTGTCGAGTTATAAGTAAATTCAAAATAGCCTTAATCTTTCAATATAAAGGGGTATAGATATATAAATTAGGGTACATGTTGGATAAAATCGCAGTGGTTGAAATTATATTCGAAAAAGTAGAACAATAGCTCGTAAATCAAAAAGACTGAGCTTAAAGATCATAGATGGAAATCTTGTAGCTCAGAATACTTTCCTTTTATATTTTTCCCTTATGCATGTTCCAAATGAGAAGCACACGCATATATATATTTATATAAAATGGTGGGATCAACTCGAATGGATCCATGTACTTTAGCTATTTCCGAATTGAATCTGTGATGCCAAACCCAACGTTCTCCTACTTGGTCCATCTTGCTGTGGTCACAAACGAAGTTATTGGAAAAGAAATAAATAGATACATGCATGGATATAATTTGGAATATTGATCTTGAGGGTAGAAAGCAATTCAGCTTGACTACGATTTTTAACTTGAACAAAATAACCATACTTATATGAAATGGCAGGCAATTCGGATTTAAGGACTCTTGTCCAATGGTGAACAAGTCATGACAGAAATTGTATCCTGACTGTTGCATGACCTTTGACTCAACACATGTTTCATCAGTCAGTACTGTAGCAAGAAAAAAACATTCCATAGTATGTGTACCTCTGCAAACAAAGTAGAGTAAAACTGAGGACATGATTTAATCATATATTGAGTTCACAGATAGATATTTTTCATAACACAGATTTGATAAGCCTCATACTGGTTGTGTGACCATGAATGCACCTGGCCGTAACCCTTTATTTATGGTCAGCCTCCATATTACCTATATCAGTTCATATGCTAAGTACTTTAACTTCAGTATGTGCACTAGTGTGTGAGCGCACGGTTCTCAATTATCTTGACATAAGGAATCACATCCATTTCTCGTTTACATTATTAGTTTTGGATAGATATCTTGACATAATGTTATACTGGGCGAGCAATAATACATCTCAAATATCTTTAAACTCTGGAGATACGAGATAAGGATGAGCGTCAAGCAGTGCTTTTTTCTGCTGCAAATTGGTATCTTGTGTGAATGATTTTTTTGGGGGCAAACCTTTTCCTGAGAACTTATTGCGCACCATGATGATTCTTTTCTCCATTTGTATATTTTATGCTATAATTTTAAGTGTTTTTTATATTTGTTGTATTATTTATACAGTGTTGCAGTTAGTCTGGTTTTATTGCAGTGTTACTTTAGTATTACGGTCTAATCCATATGTTCTGCGATTTATTGTTTAAAGGTGAGGACACTTACCTTATTTGGTGAAATCTGGGGCATTGGACCGGCCACTGCTCTTAAACTTTATGAGAAAGGACACCGCTCTCTTGATGACTTAAAAAATGAGGAGTCATTGTCTCATGCTCAGAGATTAGGACTTCAATACTTTGATGATATCATGAAAAAGATTCCACGAGAGAAGGTAGTATTTAATTCCAATGAAATAGCTATCTATCCTTGAAATCTATTTCTTTTGCTGATGATTAACTGCTCCCTATCTCACTCAAATTAGGCAAAAGAAATGGAGTCTCTCTTACAAAAAGTTGGAGAAGCTATTTTACCTGGGGTGAGCAATATGGAAATATTATGATGGCCCAATGCATCATTTATTTATTTACCTACCAAAAAGCTGTCATCTCTGATGATGCTGATGCCAGTCAGCAATAGCAATGATTTAGCTAATTGAATGAATATTATTCCTTTCGTCTTCTTTCAGTCAGTGAAACATGTAAGGGTTAAACAAATAGAAAATTGAAAGGATTTGCGTGTTATAATCAAGCATATGATTCAAATGCAGTTTGTTAAAAAAGAAGCCATTGAAGAGAAGTCTACAAAAGAATTCTCAATGTGCCACTTCAGATACTTTCAACAGCAATTACAGTCTTCAGTATCAAGTTTAGGCCATGCTAGAATTTATGATGATGTAACTAAACAAGATACAGATGAGTCTTTCCTCTTTTATGCGCTTCTGTAAACTTCCCAGTTTTAAGTTTTGGCAGAAGGTCTCGAATTCTACCTGTTCATAAATATTTATAGCTAACACCATTGGTGGCCACTGGCTACAATCAAGAAAACGTTAGAAAGTAAAACTGTCATTTTAACATTTATCCGTATTTATGGATAGCTGGGATTTGTGCCTAGCGGTTCATGACTATCTCCAACTTCATGGCTAGATTGAAGTTGTTAGAATCTTCTGACTTGACATAGAATAATCTATAGTTGTAAAAAAGCGAATATCATTTTTTGACATTTGGGTCATTTTGACTGATGCTTCAAAGGTTGTCTAGTAATCATGCAATTGTTAAAAACCATGCTGCTTACTTTTTTCTTTTTCCCCCTCTATTTCATCCAGTTATTTGATTTTCCAGAATTTCAAACTTTTTCTTCTAATGCACTCATTTGGAGTCTCATAGCTGTCTTGAGTATTCTCAGGTGAAATATTTATAGGTAGGGAACCATAGTTTATGGTAATTCTCTTTCCTTTTTTTCTTACATTGAAACCGAAGTCAAATTGAGAGTCAACTACATTTCTGCTTTAAACTCCATGTAAAGCAGCTATGTAGAGATCTCAGCTGGGCAAAATCTTTCAATCTATAGCATTTTCATGGTTTATGATAAATGATTTCTTGCATGTATAAGGCTATTTTAACACTCATGATTTCAGGTAGTTATCTTTCGTCTAGGGCATTCTTTTGAGTCGGTCTCTAATTAACTCATAAGAAGTAGCGTTGTTTTGGAGTCATGGTGGTTCAAGATGAATTGCATATGAATTCGACTACCTGGGTACAGATTTTGTGCTTGATAGTACTAGCTAATGTGATTTCCTGGAGCTGGCTTGATTAAATATGAAAACCAATGCTTCGTAAAGTTTTCAATTATATGTATCTCTGAATGAACTTGATCCAACTTAAAATTGTCAATTATGATTTATTTCAAATTCATCTATCTTTTCCATTGACCAAATTCAAGGATCCAGTTAATCCCAAAACGTGTCAGCACCTTGCTTATGTGGATTGTACTTGTACAAATCCTATTATTTGGATTGATATTGTTTTAGTTGTCCTGGTTCTTCCCTGTCAGACCCAAGTTTGAGTCAGCCAGCTCTGGTTGGACACAGATACCTAAATGTAGCTTGCAAGTGTACATCTACAACCTATTTTATTTATTTGACAATTCGTCAATAATATTCTTAATATCTTTATTTCGTTTGGCTGTCTATAAGTTTTGCTGTTATGTGTTATTATGACTTATCGGGTCGTATTTGAATGTCATGGATCAGATGGACTTGAGACTGGATCACTCTAGATTAGGATTCTGATCAATTCTGACAAAATCTGCCCATTAGAATCGCGTCTATAGATTGACATGGAGATCGAGATCCGTTCTGCATTTCTGATTCTGACTTGAATCGCAATATCCCTGATTTGAATGAAATCACCAACAAAAGATGAGTTGTCTTTTGGATTTATTTATTTTATTTTATTTTTTTTACCAATGATAGCTCTTGAACTTCAACTTTAGCTTTCCCTAACTGTCACCTAATTCATTTCATTTATTCTTCCTAACCTCATAACAACATGCAGACTCGTAACAAGTGAATATGCATTATATGTTTTTTTAATAATCTAATGGGAAGAATATGACACCAGTCTCCATTGTCGTCCATCTTGTGTGTTATCCTATCCGGACATTAAATATAGACTCAAATTTTCCTGTTATCTTTGTACAGTGTAAGCCATCACTTTTTATTTTCTTATTATGAATCTAATTCTGGCAATTAATTTTTTTGTATCAATGGCCACATGCCATTTAATCAAATCCCTTTTTCGGACTTTTTTTCTTCGTTATCTTGCTCATTTGAAAAAAAAATCATTCTTTTGTTTTGAAGGTAATTATTGTTTGTGGAGGGTCCTATAGACGGGGAAAGGCATTTTGTGGTGATTTGGACATGATAATAACTCATCCAGATGGCCAAAGGTCTACGTAAACACATCTCACTTTATGTCACATGTTAATATGTAGAATACTGTATTTGACCTAAAATGTTTTTCAGTTGTTGAAGAATTGGGTATTTTTCTGTTTTATCCGTGATGATGTCTTGATATTCATCCAATTACTACTTATGTAATGTTGGCAACATGCTTAAGTTTATTTTTGCCTTGACAGCCTATTGTTAAGCTAGTCTTACTGATTTCAAAGAGTTTAGCAAACAACAAAATATGAACCAGGAAGATGAAGTTATTAATCAGCGAAATGTTGATACTTTTATGACAAACACTGTCGCTACAAAAATCACTTTCGGCTAATGTACTCTCCAAATTCAGCTTTGGAACTATTATAGTTAGGTAGGGATAAAGTGTTTGTTTATGCTTCACTAATTGGACTGTGTTTATGCATCAGTTAATTACTTATGAATATGACTAAATTAAATTACTTTGAGATAAAGCTTAAAGAGCATTGTTTTTCACAGAGCTGACTGGGGAAATGATACCATGGTGTTCGATTGGAGTACTGACTGATGAAGATAATTGTTTATCCATTGATTTATAGAGGCAAATAAATGTGAGGAGACACAATCCAGATAAGATATGATAGTAAGCATGCCATCAATGCTTTTAGTGTTTTTTTCCATGACATAAAGGGACTTTGTCACGGTTAAATAGGATATCAACAATTGATAAAAGGTTACATAGTTGTATTTGCAACGTAGAAATTTCATTATGCGTTTATGTGTATTGTTCGCTCTGTGTGAAAGCTCTTTTTACTAAGTTAGTTCATAAATGTTTTCATTTCTTGAAAATGAGGAAAGTTACACAGGTTTACAAATACTCCTAAAATCACCTGGGACTTCACTAGAGGTTAGAAATGTATTTTGGTAATATTTCTATGAAGACAACATGAATTTGAAAAATGTAACATTATCAGTCTAACCTTATATTTTTGGCACCATCAAAAATTTGGAAGGCTTCAAAAGTCAACAGAACGCATCTGATATGTCAAAATCTATTTCTTTGTTGAGACCTGAGTCGTATAGTATATGAAGGCTGCTGTACTGTCCTGTTCCTCTTTTTCTTTTACTGTTTTCCTAAAAATTCGCGTAAACATGGATGCCCAAGTGTTGCAGAATATGTCAAATATCGGCAACTATTATCGATAAAGACACGGTAGAAAGCAATTATTGCTCCCTCTTTATTAATAGAGGAAACTCAGGTTCTTTTCCCAGTCAACCAGAAAATGTCACGAAGGAATGAAAACGCTTTCTTATCGGGGACAATCATTTAGGCTGCCCTTTTTGCAAAGAAAGAGAAAAACAGAATTAGGATGAACTCAATACCTCAGGTCTTCTTATCGTTATCCTTAAAAGTGGTATAAAATCTTTAACTTAGATAAATTGGTTGGTTCCGTATCTCTATTAAAGGGAAATAAAAATAGTATCCTTCTTGACATCCACTTGCCTTAAGATAAAAGTAGCATCTTTTAATTCGGAAAGAAATTATTTCCAGGTTTAAAGTCATGATTCTCTCTATTGAATAATCTGTTTACTTTCATAGTAAATGACATGCAATTACCGCAGTTTGTTCTGCTCTTAAGTCCATTGCCAGCGTTGAAGGAATCATCACCTTGTAAAACGTCATTTTAAGTTGTCTGTTTGAAATATTCTTCGTTTGTTTAATAATGCTGATTTCTTGTCAGATTGCTTCTTCTAGGTTTCACTCTGTTTCTAGTTGAAAATCTCCTTTAGTCCATGTTCCGAATATTGCAGAAGTTTTATAACGACGCTGTGTTTCCATTGCGTATTAATACATTAATTTTTGTAGCTTTTTATTCTCAGTAAGAGTTATTTTAATGTTATATTAATGTTTGTATCTTTCTTACATGTCACATTGGTAAAAATCTATATATAACTAGTGTCTTGGACACTATAGTGACTTTTCAGCATATGCCTGCCTATAGCCTCTTTCTATTTTTCTTCAATGACAACGATTTCTTGTATATTATTGATTTCATTTGTTCCCAATAAGATTCCTAGATTTAACTTGACGTTCTCTCCAGCCACAAAGGATTTTTGGCTAAATATGTTAAATATTTGAAAGACATCAAGTTTTTGAGGGAAGATCTAGTCTTTAGCACTCACAGTGAAGAGGTGAGTTTCATACAGTCTGTGAACTTCTTTTAAAAAAATTATTTTCTTTTAAGTGGGCTTCATGGAGCAAACTCTTTTGAGTGGTAAATTTTATTTCACGTTGACCTTGTTCAAGAAATCAATTTTTCACATTTTTTGAAGATAAAAAATACCTATAGTTTTCTTAATTTACATCATTGACCAAGGAAGATGATCGTTTTTGTCTGACAACCTATTTTGTTTGAGATTGTTTATTTATGATGGAATTATTGCAGTAGTATCAACTAAAAGATACTTATCGTGTATTTACTGTTGTCTTCTATTTGCCTGCTTCGTTTTGCTGGATGGTCAAATGTTTAAATTTGGAGGCAATATATGTAATAGATTCGTCATAATGAAGAAAGTAATAAAGAACATCCGTGTTGTCGATTTCTATAAATTGTTCAAAAGTTGACCACTTGTATATTCCTTGCATGGTAAATTTAGACCAATATGATTGCAACCTTCGTCGTATATGGAAAAAATATCCTAGTAAGCATATATAACAGGGATAAGTGGCTGCACCTGAGGAGGTTGTTGCCAAATGAATATATTGGTACTTGATTAGTCCATTTGATGCTCTCAGAACTTTGGAATGGCATCAGATTCTCTGTTACATAGTTACAACCTGATTTATATGCAATTAACTTGTGTTGTAAGGCATAGGTTCATGTACATGTAGATAGAGCTTTCTCACTAGAACCAGTTCATTTGTGACCTAGTTTTCTTCGAGTCGGAATCCTGTCCTTGGATCCTTACGTGGAAGGACTACCTCGTCTTCTACGTATCTTCTTAGCTGAGCATTCGACTCATCCCATTTCTACTAGTTAAATATTATACTTCCAGGGCATATCTACACCTCGAGTTCCCAGAATTCTCGAAACAGCCTGAATCAGTGTACAGAGCCCTCCCTATGTGGGCATATAGTTTATTTATTTACATTCATACATCTGTTGGTAGTTTGGAATGTGTTGACCACATTTCATGTAGATTTTTCTCTCTTTGGGCAGTGTATGGCATTAAAGTAGGGTAGAAGATTACACATCATTTCCGTCAGTCATAATCAAAAAAATTGATTGAAAGAATAACTGAGCATTTTTTTTAGCAAAATGTATTTAAGATAGTATCTAAAATATGCCCCAAACTAGTTTACGTATATTCAAGTTTAACTTATGATTGAAGAACGCTTGAGTAGTCATGAACGTGTATTTCCCTTGTATTTGGTTGTGATAGGGGTTGTCCACTAATATCGTCTAACATTATATATTGATCTGAGTTGCTTGTTGGGTTGCATGTGGGTTCCTTCATGTACTCAACGTTACCATCTTTACTTCATGTATTTAGCAAAAAGCCTCCATTTCAACGGTTCTTAGGCATCTGCCTTCTCTTCTTCTTCGATGTGGATGTAGTGTCACCCATCTTTTTTTTTTCATAAGAATTAGATTGATGGTGAAATCCATGAAGAATACAAATGCCAGTGATACGACCTTTTTTATCTTTAGATTGGCAAAAGGCACATGAGGATGAGCATTTCTGACTGGTTGTGTAAACAGAGACTTTTTCCCTGGATTAGTATTTATTTGATCGAATATTAGAGACGCATTTCGGAAGACTGAATTTAGAGTGGTAGATATAAAGAACAATCCAAAATCTGTTGACACCCATTGAATCCAGATTTGAGTTAGTTTTTTAGAATTTATACCTCGAATTTTGTCCAAATCCCCCCCGTTAAGACCTAAGCATTCCCCTACATGTTGAAGCCTTGGAAGAGTTGGTGGCAGCCACCTTCTTGGGTCCCCTGAGACATTCTCTGTTCCAAGGACCAGAGGAAGATGCAGCTGGAGTTCTACTTTCCTCTCAGTGGGCATGGTGTCTGTCTTCTCTGTAGCACTTTCAAGCTGGAGAGCCGTAGAGAGGAAACTCTTTTGAAGAATAAAGGTTACACAGCCGTTGTACATCGTATAAGGCGTAGGAAGGTGAGGGCATAAAATAATCAACAGGGAATCCCCTTCTTACCACACCACTTGCTGCAGTAATCATTTTATTATGTTTCAGGAAGGACGCAGCTAAGAATTTCACCAATGCTGTGAGATGCTTCCCATGAAGAAGTCGGCATTTATGTGATGTACCCACGTGATTATGAACAATGTAACGTATATTAGAGGTAGTCTTTTGGTGATCTTGCCATGATGATGATACTGGTTGATGGAATATGAACATTAAACCTAATTCATCGGTGAAGTCAGCCGAACAGCTGTCAGTTCGTGGATTTATTTTGGACGACGATCTACATGGGTTGATGCAGGAAAAAATTGGAAGCGCAAGGATTTATCAAAAATTTAAGATGTGGACCTTAAAATGGCATAGATTGACTGGGGAATGGAAGACATCTTACCCCCTGGGCTAGCTAGAAGTTATCAATCCTCATCAAAGCCCTGAAAGAAAAAGACCAGAAAATGAATTGGGTGGTGTCTATTTCATGAGACCAGGACAAAAATCATTCGATCAATGCAATAATGTGTTCCACGATTGCTTGCATGTAATCTTTTTCCTATGCAGATGCTCCTGAAGAGATATGGTTTTCATACTATGGTTAGCAAAGCCGTAATCTCTTTAACTGGAACATCAAAATCATAAGTAACGTCTCATTATGCCGTTTTTAAAGAAAGCACTTGTTCTTGCTGTTGTTTTAGGCATATGATTCTCTCTACCGAAGTTTTTGTACTCATTCAGTAATCATGTTTAACGATGCTGCTAGAGTTCTACTGAGTGAACGTGTAGTAAATGATAGAAAAACTTTCAGGGAACTGATTCAGGCGTGGACACATACTTTGGGCTTTGCACAGAACCAGACCTAGATCAGCGCCATCGAATTGATCTTAAGGTACGTCAGGAAATTAAGTCTCATGCCAGGAGCTTTCCTTTCCAATAGACAATTATCCTTGCTGAGGGGATCTATCTGATTGGAAGGGAGATCGAGAGAGTAAGAAGGTATTTTCATACTACTTTTGCTCGTGTGGTTGAAGATTTCTCCACAAGATTTCCTCCATTCTAATTGAAAAATTGAAGCAATACTAATTTTATATTCTGTATTATTCATGATTTTGTACTGCATTATTTTTTATTGTCGTATGAACTGATTCTTCTCCACGTTTAGGTGTACCCACGTGATATATATGCTTTTGGGTTGATTGCATGGACGGGGAATGATGTGCTAAATAGGCGGTCAGTACTCTTACACCTACTTACTCTGGATACCTGTTCCTTGATTCCTTTTTTTAGAAAAGTTCGAGAAATCCTAAAGCTATTTCCGGTGAAAGAATTTCAGTTCGCCGTTTATGGAAAAAAGACAGAATTGCGATTTTGATGGAGACATCACCTTGATTCCCAGAAAACTCTCGAGTGACATGTTTAGATATGGAGAATACAATAAGTAAAAAAAAAAAGTAGTAAATTTTCTCTAATTAGTCCATCCATATAAAACGAGGGACTGGTTAAGAACTTCCCATTCTGACATAAAGAACACATAGAACACAAGCTCCCTCCTGACTCCAAGAGGGGATGTGGGTAATAAGGTGCCTCATGATTCCTCACTAAACTGGGGTCCTTGTGGGTGGAGTTTTGCTGTGAGCGGTACTATTTCCTTAAAGCTGTTAAATTGGCGTTGATTTCAGGTTGAGGCTGTTAGCAGAATCCAAGGGCTACCGCCTTGATGACACCGGGCTATTTGTAGCTACTCAAGGCTCGCATGGCAAAAGGGTGAGGATTAAGCCACATAAATTGATCAACCCACGTATTTTTCAGTTCTTATTTGGGAAAGAAATGGATCAAACTTTCCGCAGGGTGCAAAATCAAGTGCGAGCGTGCATTGTCACTCAGAAAGGGAGGTGTTTGATGTGCTTGGGTTTCCCTGGCTGGAACCACATCAGAGGAATTTGTGAGAGCAAGTCTTTTGGGTATATAACATGTTTGTCCATGTATATAAATTTGTACAGATATATACTATATATTTGGTAGATTCAAATCCCCAACATTGGGAGTAAGTCTTTTGGGTATATAGCATGTTTGTCCATTTATATAAATTTGTACAGACATATATTATATATTTGGTAGATTTGAATCCCCAGCATTAGATCTTATTAAGGAAACTGACCCATAGCTTGGCTCCACCTACAAACAGATGTGTTAGCAATAAATGATAAAAGCTTAAAATGGATGGCTTTCTTCTACTTGCTGCCAATTGGTTCTGAGTTTCATGGTCTACCTCTTTTAGATGGCAGGAAAACTCCCTATTTGTGAAATCCATTTGAATCATAAACATTCAACATGTAAGAGATCATGCTACTGAGTCTACTTAACGTCATAATTAAAAAAATATATGGCTCATTTTTACTTACTTCTACAAAGTGTCTAGATGACTAAGGAAACTATCCAAGCCATCACAAATAGAGTGCTACACAAGAATACAAAGTCAATGGCTTGAGGGCTTGGTCAAATGTGTGTAAAGTATACTTTTTGTAAAATATTTATTACTTATGTATGTATTTAATTAATGTATTTAAATTATTATTTAGTGACTATTAACTAAAGGTTATGAGTGTATACTTTTATTTCATAAGGTAAGATGAATTCTTAATTCTTTTTTTTTACCATAGACCTATTATATGTTTCTTATTTGAGAAATATTTAATAACTTTAGCATATTTTTGTATCTAAAATTATCACATAGAGATTTCACCTTCTCAATTGCTTTATGGGTCAATTATGCACATCTTCTATTACCTATCAAATAGAGTTGAATGATTTGACTTTTAATAAATAGAAAATATGAAAATATTACTCCAAACACTATTCATACTGAAAATTCAAACATGAAGTTTGATAAGGCTCCACGCACATATGCTAGAAAGAAGAAGGCCCAAAGCTTGATAAGTCAATAACAGTTAGTATTATTGAGGGAAGGCACAATTATGGCAAGGAGTAGTTATGGCAAAGAGCATTTATGGCAAGAACAATTATGACAAGAGACTAATTGCTTAAATAAGAGAGGGAAAGGAGAGGATATAAAGAGGGGTAGATCAAGAAGGAGGGGGGAGGATTGTATGCGACCCTCCATCTATTCTAGGTTCTAGGGTTGTATGCGACCCTCTATCTGTTCTGGGTTTTTTTATTGTGTTTTATCTTTGATATTTCTATTCTAGATATTATTTTTTCATCTAATACGAAATATTCCTAGTTCTTTAATCTGGGTTCTTATCACTAGTATCAGAGCCAAACTGGGCTATTCATGTATGGTTAAAGGGCTTACTATTGCAAGGATGGAATCTTTGGAAGCTGATCTCGAAGCTCTTAAGAAAGATAATAGCAGTACAAAAGAAATGCTACAATAACCCACCCAACAACTAGCAACCTTGATGGCATGTCTACCAAATGGACCTCCACCAGAGCAGTCTCAAAGACAACCAGAACAACACTCACTTCAAAATCCGGAGCAAAGGAAGAGCAATTACAAGCCCAATTGCCGAACTGAGCTTCCAAATTTCACTAGCAATAATCTTGATGTATGGTTACTACGGGCTGAGAGGTATTTTCGTATTAACCAAATACTAAAACATGATCATTTAGAAACAATAATGTTGAGCATGGAGGGTGATGCCCTAGATTGGTATTTGTGGATGGAACATCGCTTTCTATTTCGTGATTGATATGATTTGGTCGTTTAATCAAACACCAGAACATGATCGTTTAAAATCTAACTTAGTGGTCAATTTGGTTCATTAGTAGCTAACAACATGTATTAGAAACTTTTGAACCTAAAACAAGAGAGTTCCACATTAGAATATACGATAGAGTTTGAACCAATCTCAACCTATCTTCTAAACATACCAACAGAAATACTAGAGCATACATATCTAAAAAGACTCAAGCCTGAAATCCAATCAGGATTATCTATGTCCAAGCCTATTGGGTTATGTGAAATTATGGTACTTCAGTACAAGCTAAAGCTCATATCTGTACTCTATGGTAAGCATGAAAGTAGGAACCACGACCACCCAAACATGTTATAATTGCTTATACCCCACACCACAAAGGCCTCCTTTGATATCTAATTTCAGAAATGAGCAATTGAATTTGGAGAAAACCCAAGTGACCACAGCTAGTGCCTCAAATAAAGGTGGGATGTCCACATATACTTCACAAATTATGAGCAATAACAAGGGAAACAGAAGACAAATTCAATTGACAAAAATTGAACTACAAGAAAGAAGAAACAAAGGATTGTGTTTTTATTGTAATGATAGGTTTGGGCCAAGCCACATATGTAGGCGGAACCTTAATATACTCATTGTCCAAGAGGAGGAGCAGTCCCAAGAAGAGTTCCAAGAGGAAGATTGGGCTCCACTAAAATGTCGCTCACAAGAGGAAGATACTTTATTCGTAGCCCATGTCTCATTAAACTCTATTAGGGGATTGACTTAGCATGAAACTATGAAGGTAAAAGACATCATGCATAATCAATAGGTAACCATTCTTATAGATACTGGTGCTACCCATAATTTCATATGCAATAAGTTGCAGGAAGAGCTATCTTTATCTATCAGCAAATTCCACAGTTATGGTATTGTGATGGGCAACTAGCATACCGTGCAAGATCATAGGAGATGTCATAACATTCCACTCAAAATCCAAGATCTCCTCATTATTCAAGATTGTCTTCCCTTGGATTTAAGTAGCACAAGTGTCGTATTGAGAATGTAGTGACTTAAAACATTGATGGATACATTCATATTATGGGAAACTAATCATGAAATTTATGCTCAACAACACGATCTACACCATTCGTGGGGATGCAAGTTTAAACAAAACAACAATATCTTTCAAAGCAACAAAACATGAATTAAAAAGAAGCCACATATGTGTAGTAGAATTACACCAATTGTCTAGTACTGCATTGAATTTAAACGCCTCACTGGAACAATTAGAGATAGTAGGTAGACTACAAAAACAATTCCCATAGGTCTTTGAAGCCCTGTTAGGGCTTCCTCCAGAAAGAATAGATGATCATGCCATCAATTTATTACCAAGTACTCAGCTTATTAATCTACAACCATATAAGTATACACGATTTCAAAAGGATGAAATAGAACAACTTGTCCATGAGTTATGTACTGCAGACATCATTCAACCCTCTAAAAGTCTATTTGCTAGCCCCAAACTACTTGTAAAAAAAAGGATGGCAGTTGCAATTTTGTATTGATTATAAGGCCTTAAATAAATCCACAAATCTAAACAGGTTCCCTATTCCTATTGTCGATGAGTTACTGGAAGAGTTGCATGGAATGTCAATTTTTTCTAAACTAGATTTAAAGTCTGATTACTATCAAATCCATATGAAGCAAGAAGACATTTAGAAAACCACTTTCAAGACCCATGAAGGCCACTAGGAATTCAAGGTTATGTCATTTGGGCTCATTAATGCCCCAACCACATTTCAGTACTTAATGAATGATATATTCAGACCTTATCAATGGAAATTCATATTGATATTTTTTGATAATATCTTGGTATACAATAAGACTCATAAAGAATATGATGAACATTTGGATAATGTCTTCCTTATTCTTGCAGCTAATAGCCTTTATATCAATGAAAAAAAATGTCAATTCAAGCAATCTCAATTGGAATACCTTAGTAATTGGGTTTCTACAAAAGGAGTATCTACAGATCAAGGAAAATTTTCAACAATTTGGGACTGGTCTAGTCCTAAGAATTTGAAAGAATTACAAGGATTCTTAAGACTAATAACTGTCTATGATTGCCGGATTTGTCAAATGTTATGCCACTTTATCATGGCCCTTGATTAAATTGCTCAAGAAGTTTTCCATAAATTGAAGGTGGCGATGACTTCCACACCAGTTTTGGCCCTACTTAATTTCTCTTAGAAATTTGTTGTTGAAATAGATGCTTCAAAGCACGACATAGGTGCATTATTGATGTAGGAAGGATGACCAATAGCTTATTTCAGCCATGCTTTCAAGGAACACTCTCGTCTAAAGTTTACCTATGAGAGATAACTCATCGCCATTGTGATGGTAGTCAAAAAGTGAAAGCATTATCTCATGCTCCACCCTTTCATTATTCAAACAAACCAATATAATTTGAAATTCTTGTTCGACCAAAAGGAGATTCACTCAAAATATCACAAATGGCTCACTACACTAATGAGATTTAATTTTCAAATACAATATAAATAAGGCAAGAAAAATGTAACTATAGATGCATTATCTAGAGCACCACGATTGACCGAGGTAGTGGTGGCACCCATGTGCATTGCACAAGGAGTGGATGTAACCACAATCAACAAAGAGGTGGAAGATGACTCACAACTATCTAAAATCAAAATTGCACTCATATAAGGCTCAACTTCTTTCTCACATTACTCAATTCAACAAGGATCCCTTCTCTACAAAGGCAGGCTGGTGCTATCCCTTACATCTACTCTTCTATCCACATTATGACGTGAATTTCATGACAGCCCACTGGGGGGTCATGCTTAATTTTTAAAAACCTATCGACGAATTGCTCAACATGTCTATGGGCCTACCATGAAGAAAATGATCAAACAGAATATTAATGAATGCATTATCTATCAATTAAATAAGGTTTCAACCTTGTCACAATAGGATTTTTGTAGCCCCTACTTATTCCGAATATGATCTGGACCTCTCCATGGATTTTATAGAGGGTCTACCTAAATCGAAAGGCTATGACTCCATTCTCGTCATAGTGGACAGACTCAACAAATTTGGTCACTTTATACCCCTTAGACATACATTCACAGCCAAACATTGCCCAAATCTTTGCAACGGAAGTCATCAAGCTGCATGGCATTCCAAGATCTATTGTGATTGATAGAGGGACCATATTTACCAGTGCTTTTTAGAAAGCACTCAACAAACATCAAGGCACAGAATTAAAAATGAGTTCTTCTTATCACCCCAAACATATGGGCAAATAGAGGTGGCGAACTGAAGCTTAGAGAATTATCTCTAATGCTTTACTGATGATAAACCTAAGTTATGGAGTGACTGGTTACATTGGGCTGTTAGCTACTTCACATCATTCTGTTATCAAGATGACCCCTTTTAAAGCAATGTATGGATGGGACCCTCCCACACTTACACGTTATGGATCTCCTATGTCACCAATTGATGTAGTCGACACTTATCTAAAAGAAAGAGATGATATACTTCAACCTCTCAAGAAACATCTCTTGGCTGCACAGTCCAAGATGAAAGCACAAGCTAACAAACATTGACAAGACAAAGAGTTTAAAGTGAGAGATTTGGCTTATATCAGGTTCTAACCTTATCGTATGAAATCATTAGCCAAGAAAGCTAATGAAAAATTGAGTCCCATATTTTTTTGGCCCTTACCCTATCCAAGAGCACATTGGTTAGGTGGCATACAAATTGAAACTTCTCAACTCCATCACTATTCACCCAATTTTCCACATTTCTCAACTTCACAAAGCACTAGGGATTTTGCTTACTGTCAACCCATATTCTAGGCATACTGACTAATGCTTTGGAATGGAATGTGACCCCCCAAGATATCCTCGCCATTCAGAATTCCTCTTTTGACACAGAAGTCTTGGTCAAATGGGTTGATCTCCTTGATTTTGAAGCTTCATAGGAACTAGCTTCATCCCTCCACAAGCAATTTTCGGACTTCTACCTTGAAGACAAGGTAAAGCTCATGGGGGAGAGTATTGATAAGGCTCCACGCACATCTGCTAGAAGGAAGAAGGCCCAAAGCCCAATAAGTCAATAACGGTTAGTATTATTGAGGGAAGGCACAATTATGGCAAGGAATAATATGACAAGGAGCAATTATGACAAAGAGCAGTTATGACAAGAGTAGTTATGGCAAGAGACTAACTGCCTAAATAAGAGAGGGAAAGGAGAGGATATAAAGAGGGGCAGATTAGGAAGGAGAGGGGGGGGGGGCGGAGAAATCGGAGTTAGTATCTTGTGCATCTACGAGAAGGGGTTGGAGGATTGTATGCGACCCTCCATCTATTCTAGGTTCTAGGGTTGTATGCGACCCTCTATCTATTCTGAATTCTTTATTGTGTTTTATCTTTGATATTTCTGTTCTAGAGATTGTTCTTTCATCTAATAAGAAATATTCATAGTTCTTTGATCCGGGTTCTTATCAAAATCTCACAACTTGTTGCTACATGTCAAAATTTGTTTAAGAAACCTTGCTATTGGATGCATTGCTAGAAAAGTCTATGAGACCCTCATACAAGTGACCAAATTCTATGAGATCCTCAAGTAAATATAAAAAATATGAATGTCTACAAGTTAGGATCACATGGAAGAATCCATAAAGTTTAAATTTCCTTTATCAAGACAGTTGAGATAACTTGAGTGTGGGAGCCACAACCTGAATACAATTTGAATGTATTAAAGTATATTGTAACAAATATCAACTAAACTTAATGCAAATCCTCCTATTTTGATGACTTAAAATATTCTTTTTATTGCAAGGATTAGTTACATAGTTGTTCTGAATCTTCTCAAACTACAAAAGTTAATTCTCTGAATAACTCATTTTCATCAGTATGCAATAGCTTTGTCTTGTCAATTCCAACCATCACTAATAAACTTGGTGAAAATGTGAAAAATAATACCATTTATGAAAAGTTTAAAAAATATATTTAGACCATTCTAGTAAGTTATGAGAATCTACTAAATATTTTATCTAAATTATTGTTAATCATATGCACTATGACAACATTAAAGTTGAATTAATCAAGATAATGTTAACTGAGTCTATCAAGCAATATAAAATAAATCAACTTATATAATACAAGTTAAATAATATCATGTGATAATATGAGGCCACCTCACCTTTGTTATCATAGTATAAATCATTTGTATTCATCTCATGTAATCGACATGTATAACTTCCCAAGATATGACTTTATAGTTTTAGTGGAGCTGATATTCAAATATAATATTCATAGATTTGTCAAGAGATATGTAATAAAGTTTTAGTTTGGATCTTCCAACAATGCATATAGTAATTTGGACATAAGTAGAATATTGATCCATCTATGAAAGAGAGGAGTCAAATAATTTGGAGAGAGAGATCAAATTGACCAAGATGAACTCCAAAGTTCATAGGTATGCAAGAAGCATGTCCATGAAAGATTGGATTCAATTGCGATAAATCCTAATCCTTTTGAATCAATCCCTAGAGCATTGTAACTCTTGATTCCTTGAAAAAAATGGCATTAAACTTAGTTGAAGAATCAGTATCTCATGTTATACTTGTCATCTTGACATAAGTAGAGGCTTCCTTATATATTTTCTAGTCTCAAATGAGGGCCTAAAAATGAGCTCTTGTGAACATCAAGAAGTCTATGCCCAACTACCAAACAAGGAGGATGGTTCATGCAATTAACTTGAGATGGGATGGGATGATTAATCAATGGGCATTGCCAGCATGTGTTATGTTGTAGGATTGTTGTGTGCTAAGCAATGGGTCTCCAATATGAGCTTTTTTTTATTTATGAACTTCTTTCAATGGGTGGGCTTAATGTTGAGCTATTTATGCACTTGTCTATTACACCATTTTTTTGGAAAAATAAATTGTAAATATACGAGGAAAGTGGTGGATCTATTAATACCTAATCAATGGTGGGCATGTATCAAGATCCTTAGGTACCTCAATGTATTCATTAGAAAAAATTTATTAAAACTTATTCCTGGATATACTACCATAATGTAGATAATGATATATTAGGACATATTTCTACAAAGTGGTTCTATTGAAGTTGGGATATCTTCATATGAATCACTAAATGCAAATACTCTATTGTATTTATGTTAAAATTTGTTCATAAAATTAAGACTTAGGACGCCCTAAATAGATTTTATGATGGATGAAAGTTTACAACATACTTTTCAACAATGACATGACCCTCTTTAAAATCCTCACAAACTAGATCATATGCCGTTTTAAGAAGATTATTATGATACTTATTCAATATTAATCTTTAATAAACTAATATTTTAATTTATTTAATGAAGAAGAGTTTGTCCTTGGGGTGACAGGATTCAGTAAATCTATATGTGCTTGCTTCCTTTTTTCCATTTTTAATAGGAGGCGGCTTAATATTTGGTACAATAGATCCATGCTTGTGCAAGTTCTCAAAGAAAAGAGATGGAACCCGGAATAATACCTCATTTATGCTAGCTTCATCTTTAGGAGCCCACATCCTGATCACAAGTTTGAATCGTATCTGCAATATATTTGGCTAAAATAGCATAAATATAGATGCAACGCCTATAATGCTGAAGCGAGTGCTTGAGAGGGTAGCTATAATTTATCGATATTGATAAAAATGCATATATTATTATAAGAATTCCTAGCTAAAACCCCTGCGCTGTCCCCTGTGCGGATATTGCTGCTGGGGAGTGGAGGCGGAGCTCCAGGTGGTGGCGCCGGAAAGGGGAGAGAGATGGGCTGGAGCTGCGGGACTCCTGTCGTCTCCACCGTCGCCAACCTCCATTGTCTGCCCAGGAGAACCCCAACTTGGGGGCCGTGTTTCTCTGCCTCTGCTCGTCCTCTTCTTTCCCCTTCTTCAGATTACCCTGCTCTCAGCTCCCCCTCTCAGCTGGCTCTCTCCCGCTGCGCCTACCTCCGCTTTGTCTTGATCCCGGCTCCCCGCCGGAGCTCCCCCTGCTCCTCCCAGAGGGGCGGGAGGCACCTCCCAAAGGTCTCGGAGTACGTCTTCCCGGATCCCATCCCCGAGTTCGCAGAAGCTGTGGGTTCTCTCTCTCTCTCTCCACCTGGGTGTTCATTTTTTCTTTTCTCTCAGTGAGATGATTCGCCTTTCTTCCTCGGGGCACTGTAGAATGATCGGCGTGCCGCATCTGTTCTTGATCGGGTTTTCCATCTTGTATCTCAGGAGACTGACAAGTTCAGGAAGCACATGATGGAACGGCTCTCCAAGAAGGACATATTCGGGAATTCTTTGGAAGAAATCGTCGGAATCTGCTCGGGGGTCAGTTTGTCCTCTCTTTCACCAAGAACATAAATATATATGCACTCTTGCTTTCAAGATGGTGGAGAGGTACATGTTCCAGCATGCTTAATGGTTCACTGCCTTCCCCAGCTGTGTACCTGTCTGAGCTTTGCACAGTTCTTTCCTAAATTAGGTTTTTTTCATATTCATAAACCTAACGAAAACTTTGTGAATTGGGATAAACATGTGTTTCATATGTGACATTTTCCTATGTTTTGTGTATATTTTTCATGAATACTTTGATCTCTCTTCTGGGGTAAGAAATCGTACTTCCTTGTGAACTTGATTCTGAGGAAGCACGTGATCATGCTGAACTAGTATATCCAGTACAAACGATCCATCCGCATAATCTTCCTAAATCTTTCAAACATAGAAATATAAATAGCCCAGGGAGAAATAGCTTTAGAATGGTTTTCTATTGGAGGTGCTCATCAGCAGTAGTCTCTATTTATAAAAACTTGGGAGACTAGTCGCTGCCAAACAACACCCAAGTGAGAATGGTCTCTGTTGCCAAACCCCACATAATTTCAACATTTTTGACCTCTTCATTGCTACAGATAATTGAAACATTCAAAGCCAAACAGCACCCATTTTGCATGCTTTACTGTGTTTTGTGGTCAGTTTCATGCGTGATCGGCTTAAGAGTCCGTACTAAAAAAATGGAATTTGATTTTGATTATGGAATCATTTATGTTATGAGCCATTTTAGCTTGGATTCTCACTTACCGTTTCCAGTGTAAATCATGGACAGATTCTGAGTGAATTCTTGCACACAGAGTACGGAGGCCCTGGGACCCTTTTAGTGATCCCATTCATCGACATGGCCGACACAATCAATGAAAGGGGCCTGCCCGGGGGCCCTCAAGCTGCCCGGGCCGCAGTTGTGTGGGCTCAAAAGTACGTTGACAACGACTGGAAGGAGTGGACAGGTGCTGCAACTACCAGGTAGAGGGTATTCAGAAGCCAGTCTACTCCCATATACAGATGATTCATCTTCACTGCTTCAGACATCTCCTTTCCTAGTAGCCTCTTGGGGGTGGTTGTTGTTAGGAAGTCTTTAACCTAATTCCATGGGGATGAACTCGATTTAAGCAGTTTTGGATTTACCTTGTAAACCCCTATCCCTAAGTATAAACCCTTTTCTACCTGCAATTTTGTGTATGCAGAGGCCTTTGTTGGCTTGTGATGCTTGCCAAATGTTTTCTAAGCATAATCCCGTCTTGCTTTTCTTCTCCTCAGTGGTGCAAGTAGCCCTCTGAATTTGGAACGAAACCCTTGGGATCTCGAATATTTGGAAAATGTTTATGTATTTTTGGAACCTTCCTTAGTATATATAAACTAGTCTCTCGTGGGTTGCTATAAACATCTTAATCTCTCCATGGGATTCAAGCAGTGGGCACAATGAGCTAGACACTTATGCAGAACCCCTTGGGGGTTTATTTACCAAGCCCTAAACCCTAAATCTAACCTTTGTGTACAGAAAGTTGTGTGTATGCAGAAAGGCCCCCATTTTGTGGGCCTATGGTGATTATCAATGTTCCCTCAGTTTTTTTTTTCTTTTTTTTTTCTCAGTGGTTAAAATAGCCGTCTAAATTAAGAATGCAACCATTATTTTTGCATTTTTTAATCTTCTCCTCTGCGAATAGAATGTCTCTTGGTTGCTATCTGGCTTGTAACCTATTTTCAGTGTTTTTGTCTAAACTGGGCTCCATCTACACCACTATAATCAATTGCTGGCATAAATAATCTAAGTAGAAAAATTCAAGATCACCACTTCTCCAGTTGCAATGTGATGTCCCTGTTCTCCAGTTGTAGTATTTTTTTTTACTTTCATTGCAAACGTGTTTGTAGGGCCACTAAAGAACTAGGAAAGCCACTACCAATTCAATTCATTTGCTGGGTATGGCGTTCCATGGGTGGTCATTTCTGAGGCTAAAAGTTCAGGCTTAGCCTTGAGAATGGTCTCTATTATAGACCCTTGTGTGACCCAGACATGGTCCTATCCAGAGGGTAGAGAGAGAGAGAGAGAGAGGGTGACAACACTGGATAACCATCTAGCATGGGTGACAACACTGGGTAGTCATTAATGATGAGAAGAAAAATATTAGTGTATAACTTTAATAAATATTTCAAGAAATAGTAGCTTTTAATGAGAAAAATCTATTGGCCAAATGTGAATTAATTAATGGCATAGGCCCACCCCCACCCCCCCACAACTTCTATGGTGATAGGAGCTCATTTTCTAGATTTCTTGAAGACCTGGGTATGTTCCTAGACTTCCTTAGAAAAAGGCCTGAAGCCCAGCCTGGCCCATGAATGATGTTGCGATTTGTGCAATTATTCTCTGCATGAGAGCACTTCCTTAAATAGAAAGAAATACGTACCGAAATATCACATTGCCTCAGCGTAGGCCCTCTTCAAACTCAGGTGTCTGGGGAAATTTCTCACACATTTTGGTTTGAAATGTTTGATACAAGGCATTATGATGTAAGGAACCAATGAGGTCAAATTCTGAGCTTTGGTCCTGATAAAAATTGTAACTTTGGCATTTGGGTTGGCTAATCCTCTTTCCTTCAACCCTCTCACTAGACCCAGAGAGCCCTTCAGCTCTTCAATAGGCTTTTCCTTCAGGTACTTCTCACAAGCATGACCATAATAGGCAGTATATATTCAGGCTAAGTATAAATATACTGGCTCATGAGACTTCATCTTGCCGGATTCCCTCTCATCTTCTGGTTTCTAACTCCAGTACGGTGTCTTCATTGCTCTTCAGTAATAAATGCAGCTGACTTGAGCTCTGTGATTTGATGTCACAGCCCACAATATGGGTCTAGAATTAGAATTATCATATCAAAAGCATGCTTACATATAAAATGTAAATGATTGCACCAAATTTTACTCCAATTGAGCCATAAAACCTAAGTCAAATAACTAATCCTATAAATAAGCCTAATATCATCATGATAGGATGCATCTGGGTATTCTCTTCTTTGAACACCTAGCCTAGTTTGTCCATCAGCTGAATATTACGCTTTCATAGCTCTTGATATTTTTCCTATGCTTATCACGGGCTGTTCAACCTCATTCCAACAAAATTATCACCTAAGAAATAAGTGAAGGATGTTAAATGCAAAATAGATTCTGTATAGCTCCCTTTAACTAAATTTGGGTTGAGATCGATGAACCTAGGAATGAATCTTTCACAGAGGTGGATGGACATAAACCTGAATAGCCTTTAGAAATCCATACTCACTTTAGACCCAAGTTTCTACATGATAACCATCTTTGAATCCCTTGAGTTCTCAAGCTATGACTGTGGGATCAGAAAACATATTGGCATGAAGAACTGGAGAGAGACAAACGAAGGGTTGAGAAGGTTCAATAAGACATTGATTAGCTATTGCGACATCTCTTCAGTAGCACCAATTGTGGACGACTCCTGCTGATAAAAAAAGAAGTTTGGGTCTAGAAAGTTGTGTCACTAATTCATTTGAGCTTTCAGCTTCAGCTATAAACTTGCACAAACTAGGTATGGATCATCTGCCAAGGGCGTGAGGCTCTATGTAGACATGCTTTTTTGGAGCTTGGAGGTCACAGTGGAAAGATCCTAAAATCTCCACTCCAGGTCAAGAGGTTGTGAACGAGTTGCTGAGATTGGATACTCTCAACTCAGAATGCCAAGCTCTAAAAGCCTTTTATTTCTGTATTTGAACATACCCACCTGCCTCATAAAGAAAAAGAAAAGTATCAGATAGTTTTTAGCTAAATCAAAGGAAATAAAGCAGTGGTTCTGCATCAAAAAATATTTAAGCAACTAACCTTCAGCTTCAGCTTAGCTGAAAGAAATCCCTCAACTTTTGGGCTTACGGGAAACTTCTTGTATGCAGCTGGACCGAGCTGAGTCTGAGCACAACATAACTCTTGACATGAGGAGGCAACCCAAGAAGGAAAGCCTCTGCAGGACTGCCTAGGACGCAGATGAATTAGCTAAAAATTATCAGTGGTTGCCGCCTGAGGAGAATATCCTGAAGGTGTAGTCATATAAAAATGGCTTACATCAATGCGTAAAACTATAGACAAAGTCACATTATGTGGAATTCATCATCCCCTTTCCCCATTCTGTGCCTTCCCTTCGGTAGAGTAATTGGACTTCGTCTGTGAAGGTGTATTCACACTCCAAAAAGGGCTCAATATTCTACTTACACTCTGAAGAAACCCACTCAAGAACAATCTCTTGAGTGTGGAAAGCACGCCTCCTCGTGATGCTTTCGAGCAGCAACCAAGGGAATTCACCAGTCAGTGGCCCTGATAGATTTCATGCTAAGATCAGCATGGGAAGCGACATGGTGACATCTCTCCACACTACACGGCAACACTGTTGGGCAAACAGCAGACGATTATTGCCATCTCGGTAGAAGGAAAACCCATTACATGTTTCGTGTGTTAGGAGATGATCCGTGACCAGCCCAGCTTCTTGCTCAGGCATTTATCTTTCGGGGAAGATATTCTTCCTCCAACACCTCCCAGGCGCATCATCTCTGCAGTCAAAGATTAAGGTGCTGCCTATCATATCCACATGAACTATAGCATGATCATTCATCTGCGTGAGGGATTAATAACTACTTACCCCTTTGACTCGCAAGCTCTTGATCCAGCTCTTCCTTCCATTTCCTCCGCCTCTCACAGAAGTTGAAACTATAATTCAACATAACGCTTTAGAAAGGAATAAGTGAACGCTTGTAAAAACTATATTAATTAAAATTCATTGAATATGATGAAACATAATGTTTTCCCTGTTCTTTTCACTGAAAATTAAAAATAGAGTTAAAAAAAAAATGCTGCCGGCTTATCCACTTGCAGAGAGGTTTCAAATAAACTAGCCTCAGCTAACCTCAAATCACTGGGATGTTGTTTTGCAATGTCAGGTGTCCCTTCCGACTCATTAAGCTGGGGTGAAGGAATTTCCCTCAAAACTCGGTCACCACTATTACCACTTGAGGCATGCCTCCCAGGGCTTACACTAGCTGGAGCATCAACCTGGGGAGTGGATAGCTCAGGCCTGGCCCTTCTTGGTGACGACTTGCTTTCCTCCGGAATATTGCTGGCAATATGTTGCAATTTGGAGGCATTTATAGTGTTGTAGAATTCCTCATAAAGTGGTGTCTGCAGCTTCTTTAGATCCCTCGCCTGACAAGATAATGTTGGAGATAGTACCGATGACGTGGGTAAAATCAGGTGGTTTTCACATAATATAACGATAAATGAGTCATGTACTCCTAATTCACCTTTTCATCAAGAAAAACCCTAATTTTTGTTTCAGTGACTTCGTCATCATCCTCACAAATTGACTCACAGGGAAATATGCCATGATTTTCTCTCTCTCCAGATCCACAGTTATGTTCCTCAGAGACTACTCTTCTTTGTTCCTGAGTAGCATCAACTTCGCAATGCCAGCAATCCTCAAAGGGTTCAGACATTGGGTTAAAGCTCTACAAGAAAAAAACCATAATTAAAAAAAAAACCCAGATATGATACTATCACGAACAACATATGGGCAAGAAATGATCTCAATAAACCTTGCCAGAGAAAAAATGAAAGTACAGAAGTTTTACTTTTCCAATAGTCGAGAAGTCATCTTGGTCATCAAGCTGGCACATTTGGTCACTATCATCCATCTCCCAAATAGGCCTGGCACTAATGAGCTTTTCAGGGCTTAATGCTGAGAATATTTCGCTTCCAAACTCATCCACATTCTTCACAACTCCACACGTAGCTGTGGCTTGCATTACTGTATTACGGCTGCAGTTTAAAGACCCTTCCAAAGTCAATAGTAATTGGACAACAATATAGCATATGAAGATAAGGACGACTTGAGATGGCACCCACGAGTTTTCCAGCTCACATTCAGATGTCTGAAGAGCACTTGGAGATCTTGCCTGGCAGTTATACACATCGTAAGTATAAAAGCAAAAAATTAATAATGTGGAACAAAGTAGTAGAAGTCAAAGCATACACGCACCGTATCTGAAGAACAAGACGACAGACGGGCGTCTTGACATTCCCCGGTGACAAAAGGATGCTGTGCAGCAATTCAAAGAAGATTATTACAGTGAACAATTCTCAAAAGAGAATTTAATCAATGATGGCAAGAGATTAGAAACGAGAGGTCATTACACACAGACCTACAACAGTAAAAAGTTTTGAGCACTGTGTATGAGTTTTACCTGAAGAAGCTCAGAAGCTGTTGACCTCATGTTTGGTTCCCTTCAAGGTCGAGGCATTATTAGAATGGGGGGTAGTACAACAAAATTACCTAGATGACTACCATATACCGAAAGAACTAGCTAGCGATATCAATCTTAAAATGCATTTCAGTAATATGCTTCCATGGGATCCTTGATAATGCATCTGAAACATTCATATAGGCTCCCAAATAAGTCCTTAGGAAGAAAATAAAATGGGAGAATATGCAGATTGGATTCGATGATCAAATAAACACTCCAGTACTTATTAAAATGTGTTGAAGTAATCAATCAAGGAGTCAGTAGCTTTAATGTTAAATTTTTGGAAAGAGATTTCAAAGATAAAACATTACTTCTGTGAGAACTAGATGGAAATGCAGGTTACTTTGTTTTGAAAACAGGTCTATAATGAAATTAAAACTAAAATCAGCTTTAACATTTCGAATTGCATATCTGACTTATATCATTTAAACTAGTCAGTTATTCATCACGAGTCACAAAATCCGCTTTTCTCTATTATGAATTGCCTTCAAATGATCTTAAGAGTCAAATATTTAGCCACAGAACCAAAGGTTTATTGGTGTATTAAAATATAGGAAAGTGGTCTCTGCACTTCTTGCTGCAAATAAATAATAAATGGCAATGGAGATTCAGTGAATACTTCTGTAAACATCTCAAAAGAAAATCCTTCGCCTCTGGGGATAAATTCTCTGGGATCGGCGGATGTGACTTTGTCGTTCCAATGTGATACAGAACAGCAACCTGAGGAAACTGAATATCAGTAGCAAGCGAACACCTGAATCAACCGTACATAAAACACGAAATGGAAACAACTGGTCCACATTGCTCTTCGCCAAAGATGAATCTTGCACAATAAATGAGTTGAAAGAAAAGAAAAGTTGGCAATATGTGCCATGATACCTACATGAAAATGATTAAGGCTATAGAGAAAATCACTGACTCTGATATAATACAAGTGAATAACGAAAAAACAAAAAAGAATAACCATCAGTTACCTCTTGATACTGCTGACTCCAAGGAGGTTTACCAGTGGCCATCTCGATAACCGTGCAGCCAACACTCCAAATGTCAGCAGAGCTACGACATTGAAAATGTACAATCAGAAGAGATGAGTTTACCCATTGCAATAAGAAAACTGCGGCAGGGAATGAAAAAAACAAGAAATCTAATGTCATATGGAAGAGAAAAAAAGAATATGATAGGTGAACAGTAAAACTGTCAAATGATAGAAGGAAACTAACTAGCAAAGGAAGCATAGAGCAAATAATGAAGGATAACATCATGAGGGAAGAAAACTAAAAGGTAATGAGCTTCAGAAAGTCTTCTAAAAAATAAAGACTGTCATCAGAAAAATTTTAATTTAAATTATTTTCGAATATTTTAAAAAAATAAACAAAATTATCAGAAAAAGCGCAGAGCTTATCCTAATGGGTAAAATGATGCATACATTGCAGAAACACCGCTAGAAAGGAGGATGTCCATCACAAAATTATTACCATCGCCAGACAACCTAGTTGGTTGCTGCCAACTTGCAGCATGTAATGGGTAACTCTTATCACCATCCCTCCTTGATGAGGAACATAGGGCACCATCCGTATGGTAATAATGTCAAATCAGGTTAATAGGAACATAAGAGGAAACACTTAAGCCATGAAGCACTGAATGGGGCCCGTTATAATAGCTATGACCAAGTCGGACGTTTTCATTTAAATAGTTATTTCCCTCCTTTCCTCTCAGCATCGTGTTTGTCTCTACTATCATGTGAATTCCTCGTGGTTTTCTTCTTTCTCCTTGGTATTAGAGCCAACATTCGATCATCTCTAAGTGTTCTGTACAACCAGTTAAGAATTTGTAAGTTCTTCTCTCCTAGTAAGTTCGATTATCTGCAACAAATAGTTTTTGTTCTTCAACAACACTGAGGAAACTTTGGCGAGATTCAAAAACTTACCATCATCACCCGAGCCCACTGGCAACAAATCACTCCTTCAAAATGGTTGGACTTCCAGCAGGAGCTTTTGGTTTCACTGACAACTTCATTCATGGTGAGTAGATGCCATCATGAGGTTCCATATACACCACCATGGCGTGAAAGTTGAGGTAATGTTGCCCATGCAGTGTTTAATAGGCAGTAGCTACGTTTAAGGATGGCGAAATAGAGAGAAGGGAAAACGTTTGTACATATAGGAGAGCAGCTAAGGGGACAAAAGCAGGTTGAGAAGGGCACAAGAGTTTACAAACGGAAACTTGTGAGGAGCACTTGAAATGAATAACGGGGAAAGAGAGACAATGGGAGTATGAAGAGTGTATTTACAAAAAAAAAGTGTCACTGATGACAGAGGAGAGGAGAATGGGAGCAAACGACCCACTAAGACTCGCGTATCTGCAACTACATCCGTGAGCGGCTCCGGTGGCGACTAGATCAACGTGTCAGGGGGCCAACTTGACTCGAATTCCAAGTCTAGACTAAAAGAAGAAAAAAAGAGTAGCACTAGAGTAGTTTTACATGGAACATATCCTCTTCGTTGAACTTAGCCATCAATAACTTACACAGGTCCCCCACAATTCACATCCATCAACTAAATTCACTTAAGATATTTATTTATGTTGAAAGGGAGCAGAATCAGCCTAAAATGCTCTGTAACAGGAAAAGGATATTGAAAGATAGCATTTTGATTACCTATACGAATTTATTAATAAACTCAGCAAGGCTGTGCTCTTCAAAACATCTCTCAGTGTATGTCTCATTGAACACAGTGTTGACTGAAAAATAAAGGCGTTTTTAGAAGTTTGAACAATTATTCAATGCATCATCGATGATGCAGACAAAGCAGAGTTTTCACTTTCACAATTCAAGGCATCTTCCTAAAAGTTAGTTTTTCAATGCTTCATCCAAGTTCTTTTCAACACCCCCTTCTCAAGTCAAAAGACTCACAAACATATTTCCATGTCTTGACAAGAGCATCAATTTATCCTCTTTACGCGTCTACCCCAGGTCAAACGACTTTTTCAGGTTTTAGGCTACATCAATAACAATTTTTATGTTCTATCTAAACATTTAATGACTCTCATATTGCTAATATTTTATAAAATAACTAGGATAGTCATTGTTTTGCAAGCCTTTCCTTCCAATCATAGACGGACTCAATAATCAAATAATATGTTATAACCTGGGTTTAATTCAAACAGCTAGTACTCATGGAGGTCATATCCCAATTCATATCCCTCTTGGTTTCAAGTAAGGACCTGCATGCTTAGATTAGTCCTGAATATATAATAGCACAAATTTCATATTTATTTTCAAAAAAAAAAAATAACGAAATTACACCTTATGGCAAATGCTTTACCCCCACTAGCTCTAGAGTTAAAAATAGCATCTTCACCAATAGTGAGCACCTTTTATAAAAAGTAAAAAGTCTAAATCTTTTAAAAAATAAGATCTTAGAAAAAAATCTGCTTAGGAATAAAATTTCCAAGATAAACGGAACAGTTTCGAAGCATAAAAAAAGAAAACGTGTTCTGCTTCTTATAGTCCACTTGATGACTCTATTCGGGCTGTGAGTTACACATTTTTAACTTTCTTCAATTCTAGTGATTTTTTTCTACATCAATCTTCCTACTTAAAAGAACTTGTCTTCAAGTTTTCTTGTACTAGTACAGCATGCGGACCTCTAATATTGATTAGATGTCAAGAATCTTTCATTAGATGCAACTTTGGCCATGAAGTTTGTTCTGGATCTTCTCTATCAATAAAATGGGTTACATGAGCTCCATTCACAATGTTCATGCACAATCCACCAACTTACATGTTAGAAATTTCCCAAGTTTTTCCTCACTAGCTAGCTCCCTATGCGATGGAGATGAGTTTTAATCATAAATTAGCCATCCAAGATCACTACATTGAAAACACACAGGTGTCCTTACCAATCATGAACACTAGCAATGGTTGCAAAGTAGAATGAATATCATCCCAACTTTGATTGACACTGTCTTGGGTCTCAAAAAACTCAACTCTTAAAAGAGCTCCTACCACACAAACAATGTTATCAACAAGGCTGCCCCCATCACGTGCACAAAATATCTTCAAACAGGCAAACTGAAGACTAAAAAACCTTATTCTAATTCCATTTGATTTAGTGAAAGCTAAGGATGATAGTTCAAACCTTAAATTGACAAGAAATAGAAACAACAATCCTAGAATCACTAAGGAATTATAGACTAATCCTTGAATCTATAATAAAAATAGAACGTCTCTTGAATTTATAAGGAGAGGGACAAATCGAATAATATTATTAGTCAAAAAAAATATCTGTAATGCATGCTTCTTTATATAATCAAAAAGTGATTCTAAAGCCCCAGGACAATAGGATTTAATAAGAAAATCTACTAACATTTAAACTTTTCTTAGTTAAGGGAAAAATCTAATAAGCTTAAGAAAATAAAACTTGTCTTGGGCCTTATAGACAACCTAAATGATTCTATTTAGATCTTCAAATTTTCCATCTTTTCAAGCTGTCTAGGTAGCCATCTAGGCCACACTTTTCTGACATTCACATTATCGGCAATTTTATTCTATATCACAGATCGTCTAAGTTGGCGCAGAGTGTAAATGAACAACATAAAATCATTTATCTTTCTCTTTTCCATCAAAAAAGTTAATCATTAGTCCTCTGCACAGAGCTTCACTGATACCAGTTAGTATCCCTATCCACTATTAATTTTATTTTAAAAATTAAATAATTTTCTCCCGAGTATCTCAAAAAATGATTTATACGACACATGCTGAAGAAATGGACACAATAGTAGCTTTACAAGCATCAAAAATTTCAACGGACCAAAATTTGTATAAACACAACGATTAAAAGTGAAAAGAATGATTTCAATAGAGAATATAGGTCAAAGATAATGTAAAACCAATGCAATAACTACTTAATATCTAACATCATACATAAAGCAATGAAATGATCAATCATATTTAACAAGAACAGAGTCTAGTTGCCTTCCTGTTAAATAAGCTTCAGAATAAATGTTATAACTATGTTCATCTATGAAGAAGCTTAAAGAATTTTGGTTCTTACAAGCTGTGTCCTGTCTGGACAATTACTTCTGGAGCCATCCAATACGGTGTGCCTTTCATAGATTTGGCGGCATTTAAGGTTGCCTATAAGAGTAACAATGACGTCACTAAGTAAAAAAGAAACCAAAAGAGGGAACTAAATACATAATGACGGAGTTGATTATGGAAATACTTCCTTTAAGAAAATATAATCAGAAATTTAAGGAAGAAATTCCTTATCATTATACTAGTAGAAAAGCCTCAGAACAACAATAGGAATATGGTTTCCAAAGTTTTCCACTTTAAAATGAACTCTAAACTAGAAGAGAAGCAGAAGAAATAAGAATAGAGAATTCATAACAATACAAGAAACTGACACTTTCAAAAGAAAGGATCGAAGGGAACGAGGCCTTAGGTGCACTTACCAGTTTGGCTACCCTTTTTGATGCACCGAAGTCAGCAAGCTTGATACAACCTTTGTTGTCTACAAGAATATTTGCTCCCTGGAATGCATGATAAGACCATTTTATTCTTTTAACAGAGGTATGAGAGGTGGCGAGCCTTCACCATATAGAGCCATATGTATAAGCGAAACCTTTATATCCCTGTGTATGATTCCATTCTGATGAAGGTATCCGAGTCCTTGGAGAAGCTGCTTCGTGTACGTTCTTATTACCTGTAGTTTACATATTTCAGGACAGTATGCAGGAATAAATAATTTTGAATACCACTCAGAGAGAAAACGACTTACAGCCTCCGGGAAAGAGCCGAATTTTCCCAATAAAGAAGATATGGATCCACCAGGAACAAATTCTAACAGAATATTCAAAGTATCCTCTTCTCTAGCTGTTCCCAGATATCTCTACCATGATGAATAGATTAATAGGATAAGAGAACAGAGTACTCAATTCCGAAAAAGAAGAAAATATTAATGCTAATGTGATGTTCACCACAATATTTGGATGAGAAAGCTTTTTAAGAAGCTTGACTTCTTCCTCGAGCTCCCGTATGTTATCCTATACAAAGTTCAAAGTTCATAGTTCAAAGAAGTAAACGCTGAATAAGTAAACCAAATAAGTTCTGTCCCGTCACAGATCTGGCCCCCAACATCAGAAATCAGCCTACAAGACTACACTTTTTGAAAGAAAAACGACTGCAACTGACAAAACTCCAAGGGAAACCCATCTGGGCCTTCATTATTTTTTATAAGCATTTTGGATGGTAAAATAATGGATTTTTTTCAACATTAAGATATCAAACGTTATAAAAGAAAACAAAGGTCATATCAGTATTATGAAAAAATCAAGAATAAATTAGGAGAAAACCAGATGATCAAAATCCTCACCTGGGCCTTCTCCTTGAAAGCACTACTTGTCCCAATCATAACCTGTACGGTGAGCAGATATGCACGATTAGAGAAAGATTCCAAATTCAATATGAAAATCAATTATCATAGCCAAGGGAAAAAAGTGAGGATGCAAGTATAAATATATGCACGGAAACACACGCAGAGGAAACCTGCTTTACGGCGAGCAGCTCTCCCGAGTCGAGGTTCATGCCCATGTACACATGCCCAAATGCACCGCAACCAATGAGTTCACCCTTCCTCCACCTGATTGCGGGGACGCAATCCTGCGCAGAGGAAGCAGTATCCACGGCCGGTGGCTCTGGCAGAGGAGCAAGACTCTGGATTCTGGACAGGAGCCCCATCCCGATACCTCCCAGTCCGACCTTCGACTTCCTCAAGCAAGATCCGATCCTTTCCGCGATGCCCCCACCAACGGCGCCCGACTCATCCGCGTGGGGATTCTGACGAAACACGAGAGACCTTCTGACGGATCCGAAGATGTCCTGCATCGTATCCTCACTCCAGCTTCACCAACCACTCGCCTTCTTCAGCTGTCCCCTGCCTCGGTCACGATCGATCAGGGCTTCATTCGAACGGAATACCAGAAGAGCAGCGTCACCAGCAGCGACAAACGAGCCATGAATACAGCATTCCCCCCTCTCTCTCTCTCTCTCTCTCTCTCTCTCTCTCTCTCTCTCTCTCTCTAGCCCTCGCCCGCCTCTCCCTCTTTTGAAAGTAGTCCCGGGGGGGCAGACGGAATTAACCCCTCCTCCCCCGTCCCAGCACTCAGGCCCCGCCCCCAAGCCGTAGGCGGCAGTTTAAAAAACCCGGTCCAAGCCTCCGCCGTAAACTCACCGCTACAACTCTCAATGGCCTTGCCGGGTGTAATCCCAGTTTTGAACCACCACAAAACAAAAGAAAAATTACAATCAGACCCACGTGGCAATTTCTTCGGCCACGCGTCTCAACAGCCCCAGTCCGTCCAAGTCCATCGCAGAGATAGGCAGCCCTTCAATGAGTAAAGCACTATTGAGACCTGCTTTAAAGAACATACTGGAAAAAAAATGATTACAAAAACGGAAAATAAAAATAATTCCATATGACTAATCATAGTGAAATACTCTTCAGGCATGATTATTCACTGGGTCGAGCTTAAAATTTGGTGGGTTCCTCGAAAGCAAGCTCCTTTCCTTGTTCTTTTCCCTTGGCAATTCGTTCATGGCATCCCCAGAAGAGTGATCTTTTCTGTGCACTAGAAGAATGAGAAGGCGTAGAGAGACAGTTTGTCTTGCAACGCTTTTTTTAATGAATTTCCCATTTTTTTAGGACCATTGTATTTTATTCAATTTTAGAAACATTCATGGGCTTTGGACACCATGTGAGAACTGTGCACTTTATCAAACCTAGCTACCATGCATTATTACCATTGAAATTGCTTTTTTCTAATAAAATATATGTGTGAACCTTGGGTTTGGACCCTTTGCTGACAATAATCAATATTTTTCAAAAAAAAAAACTATGATGATTTCTAGATAGATGTAAGAATAATTTTATAATGTATGAGAGGAAAATGGGAGGCTGATGTTACGAAGGAGGCAGTGTTTAGGGGAAGGAGAGGGGGCTAAAAAGCCGCAATTTTCTTCTATAAAATCTTCAAATACAGAGACCCAGTTTCTAGATAGATGTAAGAATAATTAATTTAATATATATATATGCTCATTTCTAGATAGATGTAAGAATAATTACAAAAATGTATGGGAAGAATCTGGGAGGCGGGAGGCTGATGTTAGCAATGAGGGAGGGAGGGGCTAAAAAGCCACAATTTTCTTCTATAAAATCTTCAAATACAGGGACCCGGTTTAGAGGGAAGCAGAGGGTGAACCCCGCAGGTCTCAGAAGTGAAGCCAAGGACAGCAGCGGCTGTCTGTCGGGCCTTCTTTATTGGTGAAGACTCTCGATCTGGTACCGGATGGTGTGATCCTTCCATACGCCCATCTCCAAATAAGCCTCATAGAACTCCACATCGCCGCTCGGCCTTGCAGCCACCACGGCGGTGCTCCTCGTGCCATATCGGCCCTGCAAGAGGCCCCAGATGGAAGAAATTATCGTCTGATCCGAAGCACAGATCATGGAGAGAAGGTTGGGCCAACTTCTCTGATGAAAAGTCATAAACGGGTGAAGCCTCATGCAATGATCCTTGACTCGTTTGGTGATTAGTCAGGGCAAGGGTCAAGAGTGCAACCGAAGGTGAGGATGGCTAAACCCTTTGACTAATCCTCATGACGGGGTCAAAATAAAGCAATTGGAGAAGATAATTATCGAGTCCTTAGTGAAGAGTCGTCACAGGGTCAAAAGAGTCTACCAGAGAAGAAGATGACCAAGTCCTTCAGGGGGGTGGGGGGGCTCACCCTCTTTGTGTCAACCTCAACGAATATAGAGCTCAAGTTCCACTCCCAGTCCGAGTCACAGCCAGTGTTGGGGAGACGATCCCTCTCAGCCTTGACTCTGTCACACATTAGCTGCTTGACCAGTTCTCTGGCGGGGATCTCCTCTTCCGCATCGTATTTGTACAGTAGCTCTTTGAATCCCTTGCCGAGGCGTAGTGCCTAAAAGAAAAGCAGATCCACAACCCCACACCCATCAATCGCAGTTCTATGCAATGAACGATTATTATCAGTCCAAAAAGGTAGAAACTTTGTCATATGCCCAACTCATTTAGGAAGGAAATAACTCAAAACCCAAAGATCAGCCTAAAGTGCTGCATTGCCTCCCTCAAATATTAATGCAGGGAAAGTGTAGCAGCCTGTGAGAGGCAGAGAAGAACAAGAAGAAATCAACCAATGTCAAATAAACAGACAATTTTTTTGCCAATCAGTGGAGATGGCCAGGTTGAAACCAACCCACCGTCATTTTTTCTATCCCTCCCTCACACTCCCTCTCCCTCTCCCTCTCCAGTGATGAAGGCTGCGTCAAAAAGCTATGAATGAATGGCCAACATCAAGCATCATCAAGAGGTGTAGAGGACCACAATTATCCAGGTGGGTAGTGAGATCTGGCGACAACAGGCTGTGTTCGTAATGAAATCGTTCGTGCAAACGAACATGGATTTCCTAGAATAGAAATAGGATGCATCAGAGACGAGCTCACCTTGTGCCAGGGGGAATCAAGGCCTGCATTTGAGAGCACATGGAGGCCAGGGGGCACCAGTTTGATGGAGGCAGGCTCTCCCTTTGGCCTGTTGGAGACATAAACCATGGTTTTCGAACAAAGATCAGCTAGCACCAGGTTGAAGCCATTGTACTTGTCTGCTTCACCAGCTACTTCCTCCGCAAACTCCAGAGGGCTTTTTTCACACTGTAACCAGAAGTGGGCATCAGCAACTGCGGAATGAGAGAGAGACAGAGACAGAGAGAGGGAAATACCTCCAAGAACTTGACAGGCAAAGCCCCTCTGCTCTTGGCGTCGGGGAAGGGATCAGGCTCCAGGACATTGGTCAGGAAAGCTAGTCTCCCATTTCTGGTGCATCCAAGCCAAGTCCCCCCTGCCTGCACATCCCTCCCTCCCAGTATCTTCTGAGTGCCGTCCCCCCACCATTCTGCTGTCATGGTAGGCCTGACAGTCCATCACCGCCAACAAAAATCTCAACACAGGAACAAAAATTATCTGATAGAATCAGAGTAAAAACCCACAAACAGCAGAATTGAACGTGAAGAAATCAACCGGAAAACAATGCAGATGGTAAGGATTTGACCTTTCATGGTATTCGTCCCTGTTGAGGACGAGTAGGAATGGATAGGAAGGATGGGCTTGCCAAATCCACGCAGATATGCACATCTTCCCTTTCTCCTCTCTTCTCTCCTCCTCTCTTCTCCCGCGAACCGGACGGACTCTACAGAAAGAGGTGTGCGAGTCTAGATTTAATATGAGATTGCCCGCACAGCAGGAACCACCCACGCATCAAGAGCAAAGTCTAGGGTTGCCAAACAGTCGCCAATAGCGCCGTTCCCGGAACCCACCCTACCAAACAAGACAGCCAGAACGAGGAAACCCCATCAATTCTCTCATAAAAACCAGCCTAGGAATCGCAGAGCTGCTGCCACACACAGAACTCAGAAATATTTGCCTTCCCAGGTGGGTGGATCGGTGGGGTTTCGCTTAATTCCAAACCGCATTGTTAGGTTTTCAGAATTAAATGCTCGAGATGGGCGAACAGGAAGCATTGAAAGCAACAAAAGGACCCTGGAACAGCAGGAAGAGCGATTGAGAAAACGACGAAGAGCAGAGTCCACGCCTACCTTCCTCCTTGTGGAACCAGATCCTGGCGAATTGGGCGGAGCTATCTCGCTAGGCTCCAAAAACCCTGCAGAAAACCTCCAATGTATTCCTCCGGAGATGCCACGGCTAGGGAGGAGGTTCCTCCGTCAGATCTATATACCACTCTTGTCTCAATCTTGGCATACGTGGAGGAAGAGATCGTCGAGAGCCCACCTCCAGTCTTCTGGTTCTATCCCCTCCCCGAAGCCTGTCGATTTCAACGGCGGCGGAGAACATCGGTTACCGCCGACTGCCGCCGGTAAATACGGTAAGAGGGGAGGCGGTATGTTGTTTTACGCATTGGTCCCTCTTTTTTTCAACATTTATTTATATTTATGATTACTGCGACTCCCGCCCCTCCCCCCGCCCATAGTTTTCTGAGGATAAATATATATATATATATATATATACATATATCCTTATGAGGTTTTATCCAAGAGGCTTAATCATCTGAAGCTATTTTGAAATTAAAAAAAAAATAGATGATAAGATAATGTCTCAATCACTAGAAGAAATGTCCCCAAAAAAATCATCCATGTCCAATCAAGCACCCACTCCCCCTATCCCCCTCATCATACCTCCTACCTAATTTTAGGGCCTTCCTCTAAATTTTTGCCTAACTCATTCTCTCCCAGTTCATGTGTTCAATTGGGCACATTCCATTATTAGTATGTTCTATGTAGAGCCATGCACAACTAACTCATGTCATAGGTGACTGCCCACCATTCCTAAAGTGTACTAGAGTTGCATCATCTGACAAACATCATAGACTGTTTGTAATAATCACAACACATTATACCTATTTCATGTGATATGTACCACCCATGTGGCACATTATTAGTATATTCATATCTCAGTGATACTTTTTAATGGTCATCATGTCGGGTCACATTATCTAAGGGTCAATGTGGAGCCATGGGATGTCATGCTTGGCAAATAGAAGAAAATCTTGTGAAAAAGTATTTCCCCTTTGTATACAAATATTACCATTTCATTTGAATATATTTTCTTTATTTATTTTTTATATTCATGGTAGGATGAAGTAAAAACTAAATGTGTGTCGAGTCAACTTGTTAGGTGGAGATATAATTCCTCTATGAGATAAAACATCTATCACCATGTTATTAGGATATATTGGTTCCATGCTTCATGACCCCTTGTCATAAGTGTGATGTTTCTCGAAGTGGTAACATATGGGTTACAAAATCATAAGATAATTATCAAGGATCACTAACCAATGTGTATGGTCCAATGCATCCAACAAGCCTTGTGTTTACACAAGTGATTATAGGTTATTGTTAGAATTTGTGGATTTACATATCAAAGTAAAAAGAGATAATAATTCTTGGGCATGCATCATCTTTGTTTGATGATTTTTCTAATCAAAGAAATTCGTATGTTTTGTTTAATAAGGTCATAATTGAAAATCGTTTCACTCATTCATTAGATATGATGTTGACTAAGAAATATCTAACATAAAGGATTTCAAGCACCATAAATCGCAATAATATTTTCAAATTCTTATGCTCGGTTATCATAATAATCATATTCATTAACAATTTATTTTTATATTATCTAGCCACATCCTCTTTGTTCTACCCATTCATTAGGAAACCATAAAGTATAAAATTTACGTATTAATATTGATATGATTACATAATAATCAACGTACATACAAGTGTCAATCTCAATCTTGATTTTCAAATATGTGAAGATAAATATGGTCCCTTTCCACACCCACATTCTCCTTGTCAATTGATTTTAGGTTCCAAGAATCAATTTCTAAGTCTGCAATTGGAATAAGTTCATTAATTGTGGATTTGTTGAGTCAACACTTTAGTCAATCGATTCCAAGTAGAATGGTCACAAAAAAATCTAGATCAAAATGATCCAATAGGGTTAGGTTAGGGATCAAAAATCTAATGAAATTACATAAAGGAGACTTTAATTGTTCAAATAATTTTTTTAGTACTCTAAAATGAAATCCTAGATTTGTACCCTTTGCCTTAGATCTATTATTCTGAAAATAGGTATTGAGATTAATTTTTATATTAATAGAAAAAATATATCTAAGTACAGTCTCTTGTGATTTTACACATCACTATTAAATGAGTTTCCAAAAAAATAATTAACACATTTATAATCTGTGCATATACAATTTTGTTTTGATACCTTGTCATGGGAAAAAAAATGAATTGTGGGCTTCTAGAAGTAATCAAGGCCATTGGTTGTAAGATTCATTGGGTACAAATGGTCAACATATGTTACTCAATGATAAATGATGCTCAATCTTAAGAGCATTAAAAATGAACATATTTCTTTGCCACATTCAAAGTTGCTTGTAAGTCATCTCATTTCCCATTCAAGGCATAGAATGGTCAACAAGGAAGAAGAGGTCAAACTTGTGTTGATCTTTTCTTGTTAACATCTATTTAATATATCTTGTCTAAGGCATCAATGAGAGATAAATTCCAAACTTTACAATAGTGTACAAATATTGGTATTCTTAGTCATATGAAAATTTACAGGTTTACAAGTTAGAACCATGAACTCCCCCATGGATGAATGAGTGCTCGGTCAACTTAAAACCTTTTGACTTTTCGTTTGTGACTAATATTTATGACAAAAAAGTTAAAAATAAACTCAGCATATGCTTCTCTTGTTGATCAGATTTATTGGGCATCCTGATATCTTGGTATTTAATGGTTTAATCATTCCAAAATGTCAACGTATACCTTGTCATTGTCATAACTACAGTCATATTAAGGCATTAAAGTTAGACCAAAATATATACTTGACCAACTGATTGAAACAATTGAATATAAAATTGAACCACATTAATTTCAATTCTCACAATTGAATACAAAACTCATATGTTTTTACGAAATAATACAATATATTTTAATGCAATTATTTCCCAAATATTTTCCAATGTGAATCAATGCACACATTTAGGAACAAGTCAAAGCTTGTGGATTAGTCCAATCTATTTCAGCCCCAACTTACATCATTGTCCATTAGTGATTGTTGTCCTATCATTTTCCAAACATGTACAAAATTCCTCAATTTTTTGACAAAATTTAAATTTAATTATCTCACTAGAAAATCCATAGAAATGGGAAATATTTATGAAATTAAGTTGGTTAAAGGTCTAATTTAGGAATTTAATCACACTAAATAAAAAGTATGACATCTTCATAGTTCAATGTTGAATAAGCCTAGTCAAAGTAGCCTAAAGCTGGTGATCCGTTAGCCACATGTGTGGGGATACATAGGGTTGAAAGTTCTAATCATCATTAATTACGTGGAAGGGGCTGAATCACCCACCAAGAGTCTCTCTTTCAATAGACTCGACATCCATCATTTATTCAACGCTAGAATTTGCTGAACTTCGGATGTGTGTTTGAGAGAGAGAAAGAAAGAGAGAGAGAGAGAGAGAGAGAGGGAGAGAGATAGAGGGAGAGAGGGAGAGAGAGGGAGAGAGAGAGAGAGAGAGAGAGAGAGAGAGAGAGAGAGAGAGAGAGAGAGAGAGAGAGAGAGAGAGAGAGAGAGAGAGAGAGAGAGAGAGAGAGAGAGAGGGAGAGAGAGAGAGAGAGAGAGAGAGAGAGAGAGAGAGAGAGAGAGAGAGAGAGAGAGGGAGAGAGAGAGAGAGGAGAGAGAGAGAGAGAGGGAGAGAGAGAGGGAGAGAGAGAGAGAGGGAGATGCAACACAAGGGAATCAAAAACAAAATAATCGCCATAAATACCCACCTGCACTATGAAATAATTCTTCGAGGGTCATCTTCACGGATCAGGCATCATTTTCATTGAAACCCAAACCAGTACTATATTCTGCAAAAAAATTGCACAAGGACTGCTACCCATCCGCGACCAGCTTCTCTCTGTGCTCCCTAAGAACACGGGAGTTACCTGTTGTTCTCTACAGAAGACCTTCTATGTACATTTGATTGGAATCTAGTGGAAGGCTAAGATATCTCCAACTCACCGCATATATATGTACAACGGATATATATGTAGAGAGATATAGTATATATACAATGGATATATCAAAGGATTCTCTAGCTGGCCCCTCATCCTCGTGGTAAGTCTCTCTGCGGAGGGTTTCCTACACCGAATCTATCCTTCCTTCTCAGAGAGACGATCCTCTTGATGGAGAAGCGCCACTTGAGGACGGAGATGAGGGTCCTCCAGCTGCGGTTGACCTTCCCGCGGGCGGCGGCGGCGGCGAGGAAGCCGGTGACGGCGCTGCCGAGGTCGGCGGGGGAATCGGGGCGGAGGCCGCCGCCGGCGAGCAGCGGAGCGTCGGCGTCGAAATAGTGGAGCTGGTCGTCGCCGTCGCCGGCGAAGAGGGGCTGGCTGGTGGACTCGCCGTCGAAGATGAGGGAGGTGGGGAATAGGTCGCCGGAGTCGGCGTAGAGGCCGTGGCTGAGGAAGCCGGGGTCGTACCGGGACTCGATGCTGTCCATGGCTTGGAGGACGGAGGCGGCGGCGGCGTCGAAGCTCCGCCGGCGCGCCGCCGTGGGGAGGACGGAGGAGATCATCTCCGGGGAGGAGATGGTGGGGTGGGCGAAGCCGAAGCCGTCGGTGCGGCAGGAGCCGGAGAACTCGTGGTAGAAGCTCTCCACCAGGGGCTGCCCGCCGGCGGTGTAGGAGACGGAGGAGGCGTGGGAGGAGCCGCCGGTGGCGGCGCCGCCGTCACACAGGGAGACCTCCTCCCAGTGCTCATACGCCGCCTTCACGAGCTTGTGGGAATCTGCCTGAAACAAGCCACCCCCGGCCCCGTGAGTTTCAGAGACGACGGCATTCTACCGAAGAAGAAGACGAAGAAGAAGAAGAAGAAGAAAAAGAAAAAGAAGGCTTGCCTTCTGGGCTTCAGAGAGCTCGCCGGCGGGGACGTACTGCCCGTCGGAGACGACGCCGACGACCTCGCCGACGATATTAAACGCCACACCCGTCTTCTGCTGCCTACCCGGGTAGTAGGTGTACACTTGGCTGCCGAGCACGCAGGTCCTCGCGTGCTCTACGGTAACCTCCCACATCTTCGCAGACATACCGGTGCCCAAAATCTGCAGAAAGTTGCAATTTGATAAATTTTCATTCACAGCCCAGAGTTAGCAAGACGAAGAAGAGCAAAGCTTTGGTCTCTTTCTACCGGCGGGCGATGAAAGAATCACGAACTGACGGGAAGGAAGAGGAGGGCTGGGGCCATACGTTTCTGAGCCGCTGAGTGTCGAGGTGCAGCATCGTGAGGAAATCCTTCACCGTGTTGATGTTCTCGCTGCCGAGGCGCTTGTGGAACGCGCCGTCCTTGCCAATCTTCTCCAGCCGCCAGACCTCGTCGGCGAGGGACGGCGGGTAGTGTTTCTTGTACACTGCAAGCAAGCATATTCTCAAATTCTTCAATTCACGACAATCTCATCCACCTGCCCGCAACCAAAAACTATGAAGAATACACGCCATTTTCCATTTCATCTCATACACCCCCTGCTTAGACTGAAATCATATACGCAGATGCAAATATTCTTGAGATCATGATGATGATGATGATGATGATGATGATGATGGTGATGAAGATAACATGAATTGATGTGTTTGCATGTGTATGTATGTATGATCAACGAGGAACTCACATTCGCCACGATGATCTTTGACCATGAAGGGCTCGGTTTTGGCTTCCCTGATGCGGATTCCATTGAAGTAGCCATCCTCAACTCTGGCCCCAAGTCGGAACTTTCGGCTCCTCGTCCAGCTTGAATTGTCCGTGAAGGCGAGCTCCCCTAGCACGCCAGTCCCCTCAGTGAGATCCAGAAACACGTCCCCCGAGAGCAGGGGACGCTTGCCCTCTCTTTCCTTGACGATGTTGCTCTTAAACTCATCAAACGTCCAGATCTCTTCTTCCACCTCGAAATCCCCTTCCAGAACAACTATTTCCACCTTCATCAAAGACTCCGGGCCCGACACAACTATTTTCCTGGTCAAGGTGTCGACCAGAGCTAAGCTTATTCCAGAGCAATCCTCGCCTTCGATCTTCGTCCCAGTAAATATGGGCAGAGAGAGCTTGCTGACAAATTGCAGCTGCAAGCTTCTTGAGGACGATGGATATATTTGTTTTCCACATTGCCTGTATGATTATCAAAGGAAAAACAAGCTTTTAAGAGACCATGGAGCAACCGTAAAAGCTAAATTAAATGGCAGCCAGGCTACATTCTCTGAGTTCTCACCGTTTCATGGTAGCCAAGTGCTTAGCCAATGCCATCTCTACTTCTTCTTTCACCTGAGAAAAATGTTGCTCCTTCAGCGTTCCACACTTGTATGGCATAAAGGAGATGCTAATGAACGTAAAATCACATAATTGCTTTTTTAAAAATACTCATTGGATGTTATTCGTACTAAAAATTCATGAGAAAGGATCTGACTACCTTTGTAAATAAAACTTTGGGGTCTGACATTTGTATACTCCTCTTTCTTCCACTCTCCATTCCTCACTATTTTATTTATCTCCATTGGTTCCGTCAATCTGGTTTCAGAAGATTGTTGAAAAAAACACCGTTTTCCAAAGATTACCTGTGTTGAGCTCATTTGGATTGGATATCAATTAATCTGAATTTAGACCATTATGGAAATAGTTAGGTTTCCACCCATTTAAAGAAAAGCACCCAAATCCTCCAATACCCTTGGCTGATAAAATTGAGTTCATTCTCCCATAGAATGAACAGTCCTGAGCTCTCCAATACCCTTGGCTGATAAAATTGAGTTCATTCTCCCACAGACTCAGAGAAAACCTTCAACTAGCCATGGGAATTCATCATGGGTTCTTTACAGAAGAAATCTATGGAGAATGGGTTGATTAATCTGGGAATTGTTCATTCGAGTAGTTTGTCTGAAAATAAGGTGGGTGAGAATAGCTAAGGCGACGAAACCAACTTTTTGACATGAAATCAGGGGAGATAGACAAACTTTAAGGTCAAGGTTCACTTCCTCTGCTTCTGCCGCAAAATACAAAGCAGAAATAATAATAATAATAATATCATCCACCATTCGCAGGATGCCTCTGCCTGTACTTCTCTCTATCTATCCAACAATCCAACTCTCTCTCTCTCTCTCTCTCTCTCTCTCTCCCTCCCTCCCTCTCTCTGCCAGCTGATATTTGCATCAGTTCGCAGAAACCGTCAGAATCATTTCTCAAAGCTATGCTACTGAAAGGGGGTACATCGGCGTGAAGTCAAGCTGATTATATCAGAATTGGTAACCAAGCAAGTTGAACTTGCGAAGAAGCCAGACCCCTCCATAACAAGCAACAGAAGTTCATCATCTGGAAGGAAAATGGGTTTCTGAGACGATGTGCACTTACAACTCTTCGAAGCTGGGGTTCTATCACCGAGAGCAATTTCTGCAGCGCGTTCATCTTCATCACTTCTACTATGACACTGGGAAGTGAATTGAGAGAAGAAAACACAGTCAGATACACCAAGTCAACGCGACCTCAATCCTAAAAGCAGAGGGTAAGGGAATAATAATTCCCTTCGTGATTTTTTCTTGGAAAAAATCCCAAAAAGGCGCGCAAGAAGGAAAATCCTTCCACATCCTCCTCCGACAGACATGAAACCCACGCTATTTCAGCCCACACCCGTTTCACTTGTCGCATGCAGATAAAAACAGCTTATCTCATAGAATAAACAGAATCCAGTTCAATTTCCAATAAAATACCTCCCCATGATCCCCGGGGATGGCCAATCCCCGCTACACAAATCAGAATAGATTCGATCTTGGCGGCACCGATCCCTATTTGCGGAATAAAATAATGAGTGGCAAGCAAACAGAGCACCATCCGCCCTGCGCGCCAATCTCACCTTCCGAGATCGGGGACCTTCTGTCTCTTCTCTCCGGGGCTGCAGCCATCGTACCCCATCCCTCCCTTTCCTTTTTCCTCCTCGAGATGCCGTTTCTGCGCCATCCTCTGCCTCCCTGGGCCAATAAGGGAGGATCCTTGGCGGCCAACAAGGGGGGGCACAGCGGGGCCGACCTCGTCCAGAGGAAGCCCGCCCCTCGCGATGAGCTTTACCTTCCAAAAACAACCAGCGCCGCCCCCCGCAGCTTCTCCTCCCTCGTTGCTGTGGTCCGCTCTCATCCCCCTTCCTCCTCTCGTCACTCCATTCCCTCCTCCCTATTTATACCTGCGCTTCAACTAGGTCCTTCCGTTACAAACGAGAGAAGAGAGAGAGAGGAGAGAGAGAGAGAGAGGGGAGCACGACGACCACGATTAAATTGCGCCACGTACCCCCAAGGGAGAAGGGCATTCTCGTACCCATTGTACGGTTGAAACTGGGGTGGTGGCGAGGCGTTGAGTGGGGCCCACAAAAAAACGCGTTGGGGCCCACCAGCACAAAGTCGTGCGAACTAAAAAAGGGTGGGCGGAGGCGTGGATCCGAAGTTTCGGTTCTGCTGGAGGCCCATTTATCGATCAATTGAGTACGACGATCCGGAGTCTGTTTATACGGCCGCTTGTCCTCTAGCCCCCCACTGCTTCCTCGTCCTCCCTCTCTCTCTCTCTCTGAATGGCAATCTATCCGTTTGCCACTCCACCTACATCTCTCCCTCACTCCATCTTTCTCTCCCTCACGGTCTATCTTCTCTCTCTCTTTCTCTCTCATTGAATGGCTGGGATGGTCAGCGCCACGGCAGGTGGGATACCGAGCACGTTGGACATGGAAGGACTGTTCCATGTGTTCCAGCACTCTGCACACCGCCGGAGGAAGCTTCGACGATGAGGCCCCCGGCGACTCACGGAGGATCCGCATTGGGGGGAAGCCTCTTGGCTGTGCAATTATTGCTGTCTTGGCTGCTTGGATTGGTATGCTCTTCCTCTCTCACTCTCTCGCTCCCATCCTCTCCCACGGAATCCCACCCAATTATTTGATAAATAATAGATGCATAGATCCCCCGATCAACCGCGATTAAGGGCGTCTTAAATCCAATAAATCACGCAGAATCAATCAAATAAGGCAGAAAATTGGGGACAGAGGATCCCCATGATTCACTAGAATTAGGGTTCTTGTGTGGAATCCAAAGTTCTCCCCCTCTTTCATAGGATTTCTAGATAGAATCATAACTCGAGGAAATCCAGTCCGCTAGGGGCTGTGATGGCAAATCTTCTGTCGCTATTTTCTCCCATCGAAATCATGCCAATGTCTACATAATTAGGCTTCATGAGGAGACGTAATTTTAAGGTTGATTCTCAAGTTAGTAGGGAAACAAGGTCAAATCACACACTACTTTCACACTGATTCAATCTAATCCATATTATCTCAACAATTTATGAATGATAGCAAGTCTACAGAGGTGAGACAAGGCATCTTAATTTTCAGCAAAATCAGCATAAATACAAAATATAAATAGGATCTTGATCCATATCATGATGGCACCGTAGACAAAAAGAAAACACAAGTTCAGTTAGACTGTCATATGGGTTACTTAAAGAATTGGCAAATAAGTAATTTACTTGTAAAGAACATATGATGTGTATCAAACCATGAAATGTGGGCACCCAAAATTCAGAATCTTGTTGAGAATGATGCACAAAAATTAGAAAACTTATTGCACGAGGGCAATAGATTAAATATTACACTTATGTTGTCATTTTCTTTTACCCCCCTTGCTTGGATTTCATGTATTGTATTGGGATTAATGGATACCTTGGGAAAGCTCTATTTGACACTGTGGAAATTGTAATGCTTAGGATGATTTTGATTCCACGATGGTTCTTATCATGTCTCAATCCTTTTTTAAAACTCCTTCATTTAAAATGAATTTACTTTTATTGGTAAACATTCATAATCTTACGAGCATGATGTTTCCATTCATCAAACTGATACTTGTGACATGCATATATCATCAATTTTCTACAAATTTCCTCATTTGGAAATCCTTTCATACAAGAGAGAGTCTACTTAAAATTTTATTATATACTTAGAAATGGGATAATTTTTCTGAGTAATATACCTTAGTAAGTATGTATGATACACATAGTATAACTATCAAAATGCACTCTCATTGTTGTCTCTCGTTGAGCACTTGATTAATGAATCGCTTCTCATGCTAGTTACATCTTGGTATGGATCAAGAGAGGATGTTAATTTTTTATTATTTGAGCCACTATGAGCAAATTATATTCCAATGGTGGTGGAGAATGCAACCAAACATAAAAATGTCATGAATAATGACCATTGGGTGAGTCCACAAGAATAATGTTAAGACTCTAGTACATCAAGATGTACCAAGTAGACGGCAACAAATGGATTGTAAAAGGAATCCCATCTCAATAATTGAGAGGGGGGGTCCATCATGCAAAGTAAAATGAAAGTTTTTATTCAATATTTTTCCATAAAAGCATAATAATTTCTTCATTTTATTATCAAGCCAAATTAAGTTGTTGAGAACTGGAAATCTTATTTCTTAAGATCAAGTATTATTACAAACATCATTGTAAATTTTTGAGATACTTATTAGCTGGACATTGATATAATGAGATGTTTCAAGACAATAAATAATTGTCGATATGTTTTTAGTATTATTTTCTTAGTATCTTTTGAGGTTCAGTTTCATGTAGCATCTATCTTGGTCCTTGCACAAAAAGGATGTACATCTTGTTCAATATCAGCAAAGGATTGCTTATTTACAATTATTCACTTTTATTATATGATGTACAATTAAATTATAGATTTTAATAATTTAAGTCATACTAAACATGGGCATATATTAATCTATTTGAATATTTAGCAATTCAGCTCAAAATCAATTTACAATTAATTGAATAGTTTCATAGATTTTTAATCACATATTTGGTTTTTCACATTGAATGTGACACTGCTCCAACATATAAGCACATCAACTTAGCTATCGTAGAATGGACAACAGATATATAATGTCACATATATAGTTAAGATGTGAGATCCCAGAATGGGATAAATAAGATCAGCTGAGATTGACTCACTAAGTGACAAGTATAATTTCCCAATTTTTTATCCAATTATGTGGCATACAACTTAAAAATCATGTTTTGTTGAAAATGACGAGAGCCATCTATAAAAAAAATATGCGGCCTCCTCACGAATGTCTCAATTAAAGATCATGCCAGATTGTCCCCTATTTAGACTCAATTTTAAATGCTTACTTATATATATATTATTGTTTTGATCGTTTGTCATTTATGAAAGAATCTCTTTAGTACTTTATGAAGATAGTGATCTTTTTTCTTGTGTGTGTTTGTACTACTGATGAAGCTTCCACGATGGTTCCAATCAAGTATATATTTTCTTGAATCCATTGTAAGAACTTTGAACTTAAGATTGAATGTTGATATTCTAATTAAAGAATAGGACTAGTACAGTAAGAGGATTTTTGTCATCAATGCTTTTCTAACCTAACATGTGGTGAATGTTCTGTTTAATTTATTTATCCTCTGTCTATTGTTATAAAAAAAATTCCATTTATGCTCTTACTTTACTCATTTTCCATCAACTCATAAGAAAATTAAATGGTGATTTGAGATGTAATTAATAGATCTACTATGTTTAAGCGTTCTATCTTAGTTGCTTCACTAAGAACACTGAAAGATTTTGAATTATGTCTCATAACAATATATATTGTGATAGATCATCATTCATTTAAAAAATGGAGAACACAATCTTTATTTAATTTTAGTAATGTCAAAAAGTAAATATAATGATGCAAAGGAAATAAAAAAACTGAAGCCTCAAAATAGGATTTAGAAATAATGATTTTATAAGCACCTTTTCCAAAAGCTATAATTAAATTCCTTATTCAGTGAACAATGTCAAAATCCAACATTACAAGTTATTATATCTCCATATCTACGAAAGGACTATAAGGATCTACCCAGTAGTAATTTATATTTATTAGTTTATACAACGACCATATAGTATGAATTTGGAAAATTACATAGGATCACCATACTTGAAGCTTCTCAAATCAACTATTCCAATATGCATATGGAATTCAACTTGGCCCAATTTACATTTATTATTTATACGAGGATCTACCCAGTATTAATTTTTGATTTATTTCTTTATACAGTGGTTATATATTATTAATTTAGAAAATTACATAGGATCACCATACTAGAAGCTTTTCAAATGAACTGTCCCAATATTCATATGAAGCTCAACTTGGCCAATTTTTTTTTGTGATGGACATGGTTGGCATAAAATTGAATATAGGTTTAAATATAGAGTTATTAGAAGATGACATATATATCTCATCAAATAATTTTGCTATTCGGCATTATGTGTTGTTAGGCAATCAAGCATATTTGAAAAATATCACCAAGTAGTAATTATTAAAGAAAATATCAGGATGATTTTAAATTTTTCACAAATAAAGTTTTTTCTTCAATGGTTTATTGCAGAAATGGTATTCCTTTCGTTCAAAGTTCATAATATGATACAAGAAATGATTATGGTTTCACTTAATCATCCAAAAAGCAACTCGATGATTTTACTGACTGCTTTCTTGTAAGCATGAAAAAATATTTTTAGCATTCAAACTGTGGCGTCAGGTTGATGAATCCTGGTTTATTTTTCAGAAGAACTGAGTTTTCTTTTTTGTAAAAGTCATTAATCCCATAATTATGTTAAAGGAAATTCGAAGAAGCTTTTGCTCAAAATATTCAAGAACACTTGTGAAACAACCCAGATATTCAAGAAGCTAGGCTGCTTGGGATCTTCCTTTCAATCCTTTCAATCCTACACCGCCAATCAATTCGAGAACAGCCCGAGAAATGGAAAAGATTAAACCCTTGTAAATCCATCTCCAAATGGCGTCATCGATTAGTGGCATCTCATTTACTCGTGGGAAACGAAAAGTGTTCTAACCGATGCGAGAGCAACAACCGCGCAAAGGAAACCAAGGAAGAGAGATCTCACAGAATGAGAACAAGTGACAGACGACGAGCAGGGAACGGATCTCAGAGAACAGATCGCGCAAGAGCAGAAGAAGTGGGGGAGTGGAGAACGCGAGGGAGGATTGCTCAGGATAGTGATAGAATGGATTTGGTTAATCTTCCTCATAGGAACTGATCAGATTAACGAGATTTAAGAACACCATCATCATAGCAACCCTGCCGCGGATCTCTATAGGCCTCCGGAAACCCACAGCACCAACGCGGCACCCAACCAGTAGAACAGGGCGCGTCGAAGCACAGGGAAGAGAAGCGAGAGAGGGGAAAGTAGGGCGACGGGAAAGATGTAAAGGAATCGCTGAAACCCTAGCTTCTGCTGGGTATATATAGGCTGCTCAAAACGGTAATCGTGACCTCGAATCGAACGGCGTTTGGCAACGGCCGTCAGTATTGCGATTGCATTTATAGAAGAAATGTGACGTCAGCATTGCCTGGCCGAAGAACGGGCCCCAGAGAGGACTGGATTTATCTTTAAAATCATGCTTGTTTTCATTTCATTAAAATACTATATATTTTGTAATATATATATATATATATATATTTCCACGGAGTTCATGATTTTTAAATTTTTTCCCTTGACAATATCGTGTATTAAAATGTCATTTTGGAAAAAGAAAATACCTTGAGCTCATTGTTTTGTTAGAGTATGTAACAAAGTATGCAAAAAATATGTTGACATTTGAAATAGGCCCAAGAAATATATAGTGCCATAGAAAATAAATTTCCTTGCAACATAATATTTGAAAAAATCAGCATATCCTTTTCCCTAACTTTAGATTACCTAGTCCAATCAATTGAACTCAATCATCTATAGAGATGTGATCTTCTACATGGCCTCTACCCACATCTCAAAGTGGGGACCTAAGCCAACACCAAGGTGTAGTCAATTGGCCCTCTCAAGAACATTCAGATAAACCTAACATTTATGTATCATTTAATCGTAAATATTAAGGAGTACAATGAAAGCTAACCACATTCTACTCATTTCTCGTTTATGTGGACTTGCTTATTATATATGAAAGATTTGACATTGTTTTTAATTAAACGTATTTTCAGTTATTAAAACTATTTAAACATTACTTAGAAGGTCAATGGTGAAAATAATTATGTATAGTGATAAGTATGTAGAATGTTGTGATTGGTTAAGATTATTGGGTATGTGAGGACAAAAAAGATACCTATGAAGAAGGGGAGGAGGGGGATTTTGTATTTGTAAGCAGCTGTAAAAAGGCTCCCATATAAAAATTCTTATATGAAAATAGATGTGTTTCTTCTCTAGTTAACTAAGTTAGGTGAAATATACACTCTTAAATTTTATAATGGTTTAATGCTTCAAGACTGCTACACTGTTGGAATCCTTGGTCTCTAAGTTTCACTAACTCATAAGTACAAATTGTTAAATACAATAAGTTCTACTTATTACCACTAGACTTATAACTCTAGAAACTTATTGTGAATTCAAAAATTAAATTCATAATTCTGAGGTTGGCCAAACAATTCATCTTGTCTCTTCGATGCTCGCATCCTTAGAGAGCTGATTGAATTAATATCTTCTAGATTCACAATTCTACTACACTTCAACTACACTCATCACTTCTGCATTCATATCTCTATGTGGCCAATTGGACAAGATTCATATTTAACTCTTCTTGATTTGGAGTTCTAGAGAGCTAATTAAGTTCTCACCCAAGTAATTTCTTTTTAGTTCATGACTTTAGTGAGCCCAATATTAGTTTTTTAGGATTCACAATTCTAAAACCTCAAAGTTTTCATTTTTTAAGGGATGAACATCCCTCCCCAAACACTAGAAGAAAATGCAAGCACAAAGATAATGTGATTCGAAGAAAAACACACCATATTTATGTGGTTTGGAAAATTCTTCTACATCCATAGTTGCACGTCTTTGTTATTACTTCAAAGAGAGAATTATTTTTTCACACACATAACAAGAGGTGTGGCCCACCCCTTTTATACCTTAGGGTTAGGGTAACCACATTAAGAAAACTTATGATATTACACCCTAATCTGAAATTGAACCTGCATACTTATCATAAATCCGGCTTTTTTACTAGTGTAGCTTCTATGAACTTTCTTCTTAATTTGATGATGGAGTGAATTCTTTTCTATTGAGATATATGTTTACAAACTAAAACTCGATATCCTTCAAAAGTTTAATGAGAAAATGAATCATTTACTTACCTTGGAAAGATTTGACTACTCTAAAATCTTGACTAGTCAAGAGTAGGATGAACGCTAGTAATAAAATGACTCATTTCTTCTAATATCAGGTTTTTCTTAACTTGTCATTAGTTTGACAAATACGTGGGATTTATTTTTTAATTAAAGGTAGTTTTGTGATTAAAATAAATGACTCTTTATAGTTCATGAGGTTTATAATTGCGAGAAACTTTAATATCAGGTTTATAAGAACGATTTATTAGAGAAAATCTCGTTGTAAAGGCCAACATCTCCAGCCATGTGATGCGACCCTTGGAAAGAGACCACCAAGAAACTTTACAGGGTGGCCACTGTCCCAACGTTGACCCTGCGCACTCCTAAATCGTCCAAGAATCTCCCCGGGGCACAAAGTTCCACGTGGCGGGACCACATGAACCCACGGGTTCTGCCGACGGCTTGATCTCCTATGTACCCACCTAGCTCCAACGGCATCCCCCCGCCCACCACGACCGGATCCAATTCCGCCGCCGTGGCTCGCCGCCGATACCGGTGAGCTCCACGGGATGCCCTTAGCGACGGGTCAACGAGGTGATCTTGGAATCCCACCAAATCCGGACGAGAGAAAGGGTGAGAGAAGTAAGAGAGAGAGAGAGAGAGAGAGAGAGAGAGAGAGAGGACCGAGTTCCCCAGTTGTTAAACTCGCAATACACGCTGTGGAGATGCCCAGAATATGGATATGCTCAGACTTCACATCAGAGGCCACCCATCATCCCCCTTTGGACGGAAGCAGGCACGGGGCTCTCTCATGGTGTGAGGACAAGGAGACCCCGATGAGGAAAAAGGCAGAAGGAGAGCGAGAGCGAGAGAGAGAGATGGGTTTCCTCACTAAGACAAGCAGATACCGATATTCGAAATCCAGTCACCTACCAGACAGGTGCCATCAGCAAAGTCCACGGCTATCCCGTCCCCATCCTCTCTGGCCGTGAAGTCTCGTTAGCACCTGGATTATCTATTTGGTGGTCAATTGATGCTTTATTAAAAAAAGTCTCTGGTTATTCCCAAGAGAGAGAGCTTAGATGAAGTGAAGGATTTGGAAGATTATAAGGCTAGTCGAGGGGAAATGTTCCCCTATTAACTAGACGCTTTTCTGGGTCCTATATTCGTGTTTGCTCTTTCTCAGCCGTCGTAAACCACCCTCTCTCTCTCTCTCTCTCTCTCTTGCTGTTTGTCGAAGTACGCCCATTGTTCTTGGCGAGGGACGCCAAATGGGAGAAGAATCGCCGTCGCAGGAGCAAATACCACATGCCTACTCCAGCGATCACTTCTCAGATCTCCGGTTCATCCCTTCGTTGGACTTGCACTGCCGGCCCCCTCTCCCTCTCCCTCTCCAACGGTGCATCGTCACACTCCCCGGCGACTCTTCCCACGTCTCCTCGCTATTAGTCAACGGGGGCTCCCTCTACAGCGGCTCCTCTAACGGGAAGATCAGATCATGGCGGCTCAAGGGGAGCTTCTCCGAAAACGGCATTATCGTCGCCGCTTCCCGAAGTGGAGTCAAGTCCATGGTCGTCGCCGGAAACAGGCTCTTCACCGCCCACCACGACCATAAAATCCTCGTCTGGAGGATCGCCGCCAGGTTTGGCCGCCGCTACCGCCTCTCCTCCACGCTCCCCACCGCCGGCGACAAGTTCCTCAGCCTGCTCTCGCCGGAGAACTACGTGGAAGTGCGGCGGCATAGGAGAACCACCTGGGTCAACCACGCCGACGCCGTCTCCTCCGTCGCCTTCTCCGACGACGGCGCCGTCCTGTACTCCGTTTCCTGGGATCGGACTCTCAAAGTATGGCGGGTGGCCGACGGCAGGTGCTTGGAATCGGTGGCCGGAGCCCACCAGGACGCCATCAACTCGGTCACGGCGGCGGCCGACGGCGCCGTCTACACCGGATCGGCGGACGGCACCATCAATGTCTCCACTGTTCTTGATCAAGGTTCTCAATGTTCTCAATCCTTAATCTTCTGTGATCTAACGTGAAGAAAGCAGGTATGGAGGAGGTGTCGGGGGGAGAAGAAGCACTCTCTAGCCGCCACGCTAGAACGGCACAAGTCTGCGGTCAACGCGCTTGCATTGAGCCCCGACGGGCGGGTGCTCTACTCCGGCGCCGGCGACCGGTCAGTTGTCGTCTGGGAGACCGGCGGCGGAGCGTCTTCTTCCGGCATAGCGGTGGCGGGAGCTCTCAGGGGCCACAGCGGCGCCGTTCTGTGCCTAGCGGCGATGGCAGAGCTGGTGTGCAGTGGGTCGGCGGACATGACGGCGAGGGTCTGGTGGCGGAAAGGGGCGGCGGAGTACTCCTGCCTGGCAGTGCTCCGAGGACACAGAGGACCGGTGAAGTGCGTGGCGGCGGCGACAGCTGAGCAAGACGAGAACGCGGCGGCCGTCGGCGGAGGCGTCTGCCACGCCATCTACACCGGCAGCCTGGACGGCGATATAAAAGTCTGGAGAGTCTGTGCTCCATGACCATCTTCCGTTAACTCCTAGGTCAATGTCCGAAAAAGCGGTGCTCTGGTCCCCTCCTTTCGTAGTCCAGCCACAAAGACAGGTTCTTGCTAAGTCAACGATGAGAATATTTGGGGTAGTCCTTAACCCGGTCATGTCTAACCTAGAGTCTTCTTAATCTTGGCCTTGACCAGGGTTTTGATAATCCCGGGCTTTGACTAGGTCAGTATTGGAAGTTGACTCACTTGTTGCTTGTACAGTGAGTGATCTCTCTCTCTCTCTCTCTCTCTCTCTCCCTCCGTATGCAAAGATATAGAAATATAGGTTCTCCCGGTCAAAGACATGACTATTTTAATATAGCCCTAGTTTTGTTTAGACGATCAACCCAGTAAGTGGGAAGAGGATAGGTCGACCCATCACGCCACACCCTGAGGAGCCCAATGGTGAAGAATTAGTACGTGAAGGAGAATTTATAAAACAGAGAATGAGAGAGAGAGAGAGAGAGAGAGAGAGAGAGAGAGAGAGAGAGAGAGAGAGAGAGAGAGGATAAGAACGGAGGTAGAGGAGGATTCAGTACCCTGATCAAGAGGGTATAAGGGTGAAGCGATTTCGAGCTTCCGGACAGACTTAGTCGAGTTTGGATTGTAGAGAAGTCGAGGTAAAGAATTTAGGGTAGAAGTCTTAGCTACCCTTTGCTGTGGCCTTTTTAGGCCAACATCCTTCATGCTCTCCAAGCTAAGCCTCCTGTCGCGAGGAGATGCCCGACACAATTCGGGGGGAAGATAGAAGCCCTTCTCTCTGGCTGTATCGCACAGAGAGCGAGAGCGACCGAGAGAGAGAGAGAGAGAGAGAGAGAGAGAGAGAGAGAGAGAGAGAGAGAGAGAGAGAGAGAGAGAGAGAGAGAGAGAGAGAGAGAGAGAGAGAGAGAGAGAGAGAGAGAGAGAGAGAGAGAGAGAGAGAGAGAGAGAGAGAGAGAGAGAGAGAAAGATAGAGAGAGAGAGAGAGAGGGAGGAGGGTGGGTGGGTAGGAGCTGTAGGCGAGTGAGCTATACTTCCACATTTTGTAGGAAAATAAGAAGAGGAAGCTAACTTCCACATTTTCCTTTATTTATTCGAAACTAAACGTCGGAGAAAATAAGCATGCACTGTACCGTCGTATTCTTCCGAGAAATTATTTCCCAATTTTCACGTCTTTTTTGGAGTTGTTACCCATCTCCTCTCCCATATTTAATATCTACGAATTTAATAGCGATCTGTGGTGTTGTCTTGTTGAATAATGGATTTTTCCTCTTCTTCAAAAAATCACGAATAATGTCAACGAGAGGGCATGGCCTCGGAGGAGGGGAAAGTGGAGCCGAATATGAACGTGAGCGACTCGAGCAAGGAGGTACAGTTAGAGAGCGGAGGAGAGAAGATAGGGAGAGGCTGCTGTGTGGTGAAAGGACTCTCAAGGGCAGTTAATGCAGCTGGATGCCGAGATGAGATCAGGGTAAGGAATGGAGTGGCCGTCCTTCCCTCCATCGCGGGCCCAATGCATTTTTTGCTCGCCTCTCTATCTCTCCCTTCAGGACATTTAATCCTCAAGGTTTCACATCCTCCGTCGGCATCTCTCTCTCTCTCTCCCTCTCCCTCTCATTCTCCACCTTCGGGGCATTTAATCCTCAAGGTTTCACATCCTCCGACGACCTCTCTCTCCCTCTCGACGCGCCCATGTATTTGCGCGTCTGTCCGTGTTTTGTACGGTGAGCGGCAGTGTCTGAGAGAGATTTTAAGTCCTCTTTCACTAGAAAATACTCTCGGCAATTCGAGGGAGAAAGCGGAAGCCCTTACCTTATCATACGGACACAGAGAGAGACGGAGACAGAGAGAGGAGGGAGGGAGACACAGAGAGAGGACTAAATGATCGGAAGATGAAAGGCTTGTGAATAGGGAGAGGGTAGGAGGGATATTAGTGCACTGCATTGCACAGCGGACGATGGGAGGAGCGACAGCCATGTCCTAACCCTCCAGTTTTGAAGATACTAAATAGAGAGCAAACTATCCCTGTTGAACCCTTTTGGCCACGCCTGAATGGGGGAAGTTTCAGGCGGACGGGAGTGGGATGCTCATAATACTAGGAGAGGGAGGGGGAGAGAGAGAGAGAGAGCTAATGATGAAGTCAGATTAATGTCGATTGAAATCAAGCCAGCTTAGCACAGCGGGTCATGACTCAGGGACAAAATCATCACCGATTATACGTTTTAGGAGATAAATTTGGAGTGTAATCGTAAGTTCTTTCAAATAATAGACTAGTTTTGCAAGGCCAAGAGCACCCTTCAATCGGAGGCCTCACCCAAAGCTTGTAGGTTTTCTGCAGGCCTGAGCCTTATGAAACCTGCTCATACTTCGGCCGGGACCATAAAGGCTCATGACCGGTCAGACCCGTTGGCATCCATGTACTATTTATCCTTGGTCAATACTTTTCAATAATTATGGGAGGGAAAAAAATGGGGACGTAGATTTTGTTGTTACACCATCCTAAACAACTACAGTTCGCAGTTCTTCCTCTCCCATCCTGTAAAAGGCTCCCTTATCTCTCTCTCTCTCTCTCTCTCTCCTTGGCTTCTTGACTAGGTAGCAGAACGTTGCAAAAGTATTGATGATGCAACCGAGGAGAAGCACGTGGCGAGCTATGGACGTCGTGGGCTCGTCATGCAGCGGCGGCAACCTGAAGCAGCTGGACCGCCGCCATCCTCACCTCGTCCCCTCGTCATGGTCATTCGCCGCCTCTGAGCCCGCCGGTTGTCGCTCTCCAAGAACCGAGAACGGAGGCAGCGCCGCCATGGCGGGGAAGAAAAAGATCGCCGAGTCCCTCGGTGGAAGCAATGAGGGACGGGGCAAGGCGACCTCCTCCCTCTTGTGGAATGACGTCACCTCCTTCTCCGACTCTCCTCCTTCGGGGATACACAGCAGCTCCAGCATCGAGGTCGCATTTCTTTCTTTCTCTCTCTCTCTCTCTCATCGTCAGAAACTGTGTATCCTCTTCCGTTTTCTTGTTGCCCCCTGTTGATGCCCTTCAAACGGATTTTCTTGCCGGTTCTTACTGCTGTTTCCTATCCGGCATTCCTGGGGATCTTCAGAGGCGGCGCGGAGAAGAGAGCAAGAAGGCGACGTCGTCTGAAGCGGGACGGCGGAGATGGAATGGACCCGATCGGCTAGAATTCCAGCGAGAGGATTCAGATTCGCCGTTGCTGAGGAGAAGAGCCAACGGTAGCTCCTCCCCTCGCGCTCGAGATTTCTCTGCCTCCGAGTTACCTCTCTGAATCGTTTCTCTGGATTCGCTATGAAAGATGCGGAGAGTGCCTCCAAGTCTTGGAGCCACCGCAGCTCCGATTACGAGGGTCGGCAATCCGTCGTCTCCTCGGAGTACTTGTCTTGCGACTCATCTCTTACCGACGCCGGCGACGGGGAAGAAGAAGAAGAAGAAGAGCAAGGGAGAGAACGCAGATATAGCGGAGCAGCCAACCTTTCCTCAGGTCTCTAAGCGGAATCTTCTCTTTGACTGACAACGGCGATGGTTTCTACCTGCTGAAGGTTTCCATGGTATCGAACGTTTTACAGGCGGCAATGGGGATCAGAATCACTGCTCCATCGACGAGGATCTCCAATGGGAGGGCCCAAGGAACAGCAGACCAGCCGTCTGCTCTCTCTCCTCAGAGGACGCGAGGATCATAGTCGAGGCTCGGCTCGCGCAGTGGCAGGAAGCCAGAACAGCCAAGCTCAAGAACAAGTAAGCGTCCTTCCCGCGTTTCTCAGATATCTTTCGTCTTCCACCTTCCGTCTTCTGTGATTTCTCAGCTTCTGGCCCACCGCCTCTTCAGGCTGAGGAAGAGAGAGGATGGCATCGTCCCCCCTGTTCGTCCTTTCTCTGATTGTACGAGTATAATCCATAGGTGCCTCTTTCGCGACGAGCAGATGAGGAGGACGACGCTGATCACCCAGAAGAAGAGCGAGCAGAAGTGCCCCACGGAGAAGAAGAGGGCAGGAAGAGGGCTACCGCGTACGTTCATCTGCTTCAGATCCACCCATGCGTAGAGGAAGATCATCCGACTCATCCAGCCCCCCATCCAACTACGTCGGCAAGTTCTTGCAGTGAAACGAGGAGCCAATCCCTACGTTTCTCTGATGCATATCAGAGAATGTCCCTGCAAGTTTCCTTAAAATTATCCGCTGCTCTCTCCATCCAATTTATATACATTATCCATTTTACCTGCTTGAGAATAATTGTAGAAGTATGGGGTAACAGTAGCCTGCTTCATACAGAATTTTAGACCATGCTTTGGGAGGATCAAGTTCACCCGCATGAGCCACACCAGATTCAGTTTGCAGTAATGGGGAAAATTACTCGACCAAAAAAATATAACTATATTTATTTCAATTAATGTAAACAGTACATCCACCAACAAATCAAAGTGCAGTTCCTCCGGGCAAAATGGGGTCATGTACCTACCTTAATCTTTGATCACTTAGCTCTGATTATGATGAAAACTGATATTCAAGTTCGAATTTTTTTCGTCTTCGTGTAATATCTCCATAATTTATTAGTTATTAAGATTATACTTTTTTTATCGTGCTTTAATAAACAATCATAATATATATTTCGATATGAAAGTATGAAGATATATAGTACATATAGATAGATTTGACCGTTCGTATGTTGTTAAATGCCAATTACTTCAATGTCTAGGAAGTTCATCAACTTTCAACATGAGTTATAGACCCTTAACCCACCCCCTGCCTTGAATAACTAAAGTGACTTCTTTCATAGGAAATAAACAACTTAATACAGAATTTTAGTAATCCCTCAAATGGTAACTTTCAGATCTCATGCTCCTCCTTGTAGAATGTTTGGTACACTTCTGCATTTTTAACAAGTCTAAACTTTGAGCGGGGAAGAGCTGTGTAAAATCATCTATGATTTAATCATTTATTAAACAATACTTATTGAAATTTCTTCTTTTCTAGAAACATCTTTGATCAAATGATGCTCAATCTTGACACGATTTTTCTAACTATAACTATTATGATTTTGGTCATTAAAATGGTTGTTTTTTATCATAAAAAGCATGCTTGTCGCCCTTCATTTGATTTTGTAGCATCAATCTTTGCTTTAAAATATAGCGAAGTTGGAGAATGACAATTAAATGATGAAACATGCTCCATCATCTTCCTTGAATAGTTGGTTTTGCTGCATCAAGGCTTCCAATGTTTCTCTTAGCATTCAGAAACTAGATCTTAAGGATTAATCCACTCACTCCATCGATGGTGCACTAATTTTTTGCCTTCAAAACCATCAATTTTGATGTTGACAAAACATAGAAAATGGCTTTCGAGAGTTCTCTAAGTGGTTCATGGATGTCAAGGGGTCTGGCCTACCCTGGGCCTCTACGGTCCTGGCCGAAGTACGAACAAATTTTATCAGGCTCAATCTTGGAGAAAAGCCTACATGGACTAGGTGACGCCTCCAAATGAAGGATCATATTGGCCCAAAAAGGCCCATTTAAGGCGAGCCTATGGTTTTAAAAATTCTCAATCGTCACCCATATCAGGTCTTCTAGGCTCTATTGCCCCTAATTTTACTACTGATAAAACTATAAATGGCGTGGTAAAGTTGATGACGCATGGTGTGATATTTTTCACCTTTAAATGTGTGTTGTATGATAAGAATTATAATACACGAATGAATTACTCAATAGAACGCCGTCAAAATATAAATTATTTAATTATTATAAGAAATGGTTTTGGAAGCTCATTATTGGATTAAGAAAATTTGAAATAACCATTTCATTGGGTGAGTTTAATGATTTAAAATCATGCTATGCGTCAGTTAATGAAATTGATGCTCATGAGACTGAAAAATCCTTGGAGCTCCTTCTTTGTTCATTCCCAAATGATTCCGAATCTAGCTTAAATCATCACTATTCATTTAAAGTTTTCAGTCATCATATTCCAATTTATGATCATGGGATCTAAAAGTTGCTCCCCTTTTAAGTCGTTTATGTATGGAAAAAAGTAAACTTAATTTTCTTGGAAATCCAGGAATCTTGACTTCTCTGTTTGGTATTCACGGTAACCTTATATGTTTTGGCCCTTGCAAAACAAGTTTGTTTTTTTGTAGGAGCTTACAATTACACTCCAAATTTTAATCTCCCAAAACGTATTATCGTTGATGATTTTGTCCCCGAGTCATGACCCGCTGTGCTAAGCTGGCTTGATTTCAATCAACATTAATCTGACTTCATTATTCTTTCTCTCTTTCTCTCTCTCTCTCTCCTCCCCCTCTCTCCTAGTATTGTGAACATCTCACTCCCATCCGCCTGAAACTTCTCCCCTTCCGGCGTGGCCAAAAGGTTGAACAGGGATCGTTTACGTGCTCCTGTTTGCTCTCTATCTTGTCTCTTCAAAGCTGGAGGGGTAGGACATGGCTATCGTTCCTCCCACCGCCCACTGTACGATGCAGTGCACTAATATCCATCCACCCCTCCCAATTTACCTGCCTTTCATCTCCCGGTGATTTAGCCCCCTCTGTCTCCCTCCCTCCTCTCTCTGTCTTCGTCTCTCTGTGTCCGTATGACAAGGTAAGGGCTCCTGCTTTTTCCCTCGAATTGCCGAGAGCATCTTCCTGTGAAAGAGGGCTTAAAATCTCGCTCAGACACTGCCGCTCATCGTACAAAGCCCGGACAGACGCATAGATACATGGGCGTGTCGAGGGAGAGAGAGAGGTCGGCGGAGGACGTGAAACCTTGAGGATTAAATGCCCCGAAGGTGGAGAGAGAGAGAGAGAGAGAGAGAGAGAGAGAGAGAGAGAGAGAGAGAGAGATCGGGAGAGAGAGGCCACTCCCTTCTCTACCCTTTCTCATCTTGGCAGCTGCATTAACGCCTTTCGAGAACCCTTCTTTCACCAGGCAGCAGCCTCTCCCTATCTCTCCTCTCTCACTGTACCTCTTTCCACGAGTCGCCCACGTTCATGTTCGGCTGCACTGTTTCCTCCTTCGAGGCCATTCCCCCTCATTGACAACATTCATGATTTTTTGAAGCAGAGGATAAATCCATTATTCAACAAGGGAACACGACAGATGGCTATTAAATTCGTGGATATTAAATATGGGAGACAAGATGGGTGACGACTCCAGAAAAGACGTGAAAATTGGGAAATAATTTCTCGGAAGAATACAACCGGTGCGTCGCATGCATATTTTTTCCGACGTTTTGTTTCAAATAACTAATGAAAAATATGGAAGGAAGTTTCCTCGTCTTATTTTCCTACATCTTTGACTTTAAGTGGCTCAAGAGGGTTTCAAGTGGCACACCCGCCTATACACCCCCCACCCTCCCCACCCACACTCTCCACTATCTCCGTCTCTGTCTGTCTGTCTGTCTGTCTGTCTCTGTCTCTCTCTCTCTCTCTCTCTCTCGCCCGCTCGCTCGCACTCGCTCCCGCTCTCTATGCGATACAGCCAGAGAGGGAGGACCTCTGGCTTTCCCCCGAATTGTGTTGGGCATAACTGGGCGAGCGTGTACCGGTCTGCCGCCCTCCCTCAGACAGAGCCCAGCGATACTACACATCATTGCAGTCAAAAGGAAGAGAAATTGAGGGCGAAGGAGAGAGAGTGAGGGAGATAGAGAAACAGAGACGCTCTCTCCCAGCTGTTGATATTTTGACTGTGTATTCTATAAAACTCACCAGATTTATTACCGGCGCGAGGTTTATCACTTGGAATGGATATTACTTCTTCAGATACCTACATAGATTTCACGGGAAGAAGCAGATGTCACAAGAAAGAGTTGGTTCCTATTGCTGCTGATGAGTTGGTGTAGTCGTAGTTGATGAATTAGTTTGCTTCCCAGCAGCGTACGGACTATGAGGACTATTTGTCTAGACGTCCTTCGGCCTCAGTGGAGGAAGATTGGATCTCTTCAAGGAAGATATTTCCGCCTCAGTGGACTATTCTCGTACTACTTCGCAGTCGGAGTAAGAAGGCGGGACGGGAGGAAATCTGAACGTCTAGATATTGCAAGATAAACGAAGAGATTGGATTTCTTCTCACTCGTGGAAGAAGACATCTGCTTGACCCAGCCCAAGCCCACGATTTAAAGAGAGAGAAACTGACACGGGTTCATACCTTATGCGAAGGAGAAGAAAAGCTAGGGTTTCCGAGAGAGAACCCGGTGCTTCACCAGCCCTAATTTTTTTCAATATTTATGGAGATCTCCCTGCCGTCTCCGGCCTCCTGATGAATCACAGAGAATCAGGACAAGAAGCTCACCTCCATGAATGCAGCGACAGTGCTTGCACCTGGAAAGGAATCCTTCATGCTTAAAAGACCATCGTTATTTCCCATTTCTTCCAACTCAAGAAAACATAAAAACCTCATTATCCCTTTGTTCCCCATGGAAACTTTACAGAGAAGAACGGCAAACCAGTGAGAAGCTTTAAATCCATGACAGTAAGAAAGACCATCCATAACAGAAGAAGATCAACAGCAGATGGATTTTTCCTCGGTGAAGGAAAGGATCGGACCAAGACGCTTAATTCCCCATAGAAGAGCAGCACTTCAGGAAGCGGGAGAGTTGGGTGGGGAGTCACCTCTCTCCTTCGCTTCTCCTACCCGCTTTCTCCTTCTGGGTCTTCCTCCCCAACATCTTGCCCACCGTCTTCCTCTTCGTCTTCTTCTTCTTGCGTGGAAGGGACCGTAACGATGGAGAGCGGTGACGGAAAGCGGCTGCGGCGGTG